AACATCTATATCACCTGTATATGCCCTTGTACTTTCATCTTTTGACAGTTTTATTAAATACCAGCCCATTAAGGAATCGTTCAGTTGATGAAATTTACTCTCAAATAACCCTTTAACAATGAAAGAGTACTCGTTCATAGAGCTGTAAACTGTAATTTTCGGACAACTGGGTTTCGGACAACTGGGTTTCGGAGAATTGGGTTTCGGACAACTGGGTTGACCCCATAAGATAGTTCTGTAATATTATAAGTTTAACTTATGAATATTTGTAATTTGATTGGTTTAACATATCCAGATCTATAATATGATTGGTTTAACATATTCAAATCTATAATATGATTGGTTTAACATGTCCAAATCTATAATAGGATTGGTTCGACTCATCCAAATGTATAATATGATTGGTTTGACTCATCCACATCTATACTAGGATTGGTTCGACTCATCCATATGTATAATATGATTGGTTTGACTCATCCACATCTATACTAGGATTGGTTCGACTCATCCAAATGTATTATATGATTGGTTTGACTCATCCACATCTATACTAGGATTGGTTCGACTCATCCAAATGTATAATATGATTGGTTCGACTCATCCAAATGTATAATATGATTGGTTCGACTCATCCAAATGTATAATATGATTGGTTTGACTCATCCAAATGTATAATATGATTGGTTTGACTCATCCAAATGTATAATATGATTGGTTTGACTTATCTGTGCTTTAAGTTGTTAAATGTGAGCCAATCAAAGCTAAGTAGGTCAAAGTGAACTCAAGCATTTTTAAAATCATGGTCAAGGACAAAATCTTAGGCAGCTTTCTTTAAGCAAGGGATTTTATTACAGACAAAAAATTGTATATCTGTTTCAGAAGAACTAATCATTATTCAATGGATAAGTTGGAAACAACATAAATGTGGTATTCTGTAGAGTACAGTTGTTCAGATGCATAGTAGTTTTCCATGTGAAGCATAACTAGTAAGATTTCTTTTCAATAACAAGCACAAACTAGCAATTATCAGTTCAAACCATGTTGATACCGTAACTTGCCTTGCTTTCAGGCACTCAAACTTACTCCGACTGAGGCAGTCACCATTGGAAATGCGTTTAAATGTAAGGATTACACTACCTTCCAAGCTAGTGGAATTTATGCAGAAAGTATTAAATACCAGTTCCTCAGAGAAGATGAGGGCATAGTTCTTGGCAAGAAGAAAGATAATGGGGCTTTAACATTGCAAGCTAGTAAAACTGGTAAGTTTATTGACATACCATTAAAAAATAATGTTTATAAATGATTCTAATATTAAAGGCCCCATCTAAAGTTTGAAAATATGTTTTTATTATTCATTTTCTTATCTTATTTTTCATGACTTAAACAGTTATCAAGAGATTTTTTTCAAAAAAGTTAAGGGAAAGATTTTTATTTTTCAAATATTCAAATTTCCCACCAAAGTTGAAATTTTTTAGTCATCAAATATTCGACTATTCAGTGCATTAAGTCAATAACTAGTTGCAATATCTGACTTATGATTTCTGTTCATTGCCAAATAATTGAGTTCTGGCATTCATTTCAGCCCCTTATTGCAGTTTGTTGCCATTTTGTGATTCTATATGTAGGAAGGTTTACAAGATTATCATTGTAATCATGTGAGCAATTGGCATTATCATTCATTATTATTCACATCAATTTTAAAGCCTCATAAGAGACCAACTAAGAGTTCACTTAAATCACAGGCCCCAATAATTATGCAGTGCATTTTTATTTTGAAAATTTTTTAGAATGAATTTTTAGAAATGCTGCATAGTCAAGTCGATGATTTTTGCGCAATTTCACTAAGTTCTTTATTTATATTTCAAAAATTGATGATTCCATATCTAGCAATCAGAGCAAAATATACTCTCAGTTTTCTACAAGTTGAAATACTGAATTCTGCAAGTGAAATTAGGCCGTAAGAAGTAAATTCTTTGTTTTGCATCCTGGCAAAATCTACATCATGTAATTGTTCAAGGAAAACAAACACAAACTCAAGAAAAAACACAAACTTGTTTGCTAGGAAATGTATACATTTTATGGGCATGAAAAAGGGATTAATACCAATTAGCAGTGGTTACAAACACATATCTATACATCATACAGTGGAGACGATAACCCCATTTAACGTGTAACACGGAGATTGCCATTTTGCACGTCAATTGACGTGAATCACGCCAATAAGCATAATGTCCATTGTAATTCATAATTTAAACACCAGGTTAATTAGAAGACCTAGTGTTTAATATATATACAATCTAAGTAATATATATTTTATAGTACATATACTTTGGTAAACATTAATGATATATTAAATCCCAGGGAAGTATTTCATTCCAAAATTGTGGAGAAAAATGCCGTTCAATCTTGTGAATTTTCTGTCAATGTTACGAACCAATGAAGTCACCACCGAACTTGCATTCTTGGAAAGTCTAAATCGATCGATGGAACGCTTTTTATTGCATTTTCTTCAAGTAATTAATCTAATCTAGCACTTGTATGCAGGAATTCGCGATCCTATGTGGGAATTTTGCGCTAGAACTAATCAAAGTTACCTCTCACGAATCCTAGAAAAACGCCATATTGGAATTACTAATACTCCTTCAATTGTCTAGATATCGTCTTTCCGACGGGTTTTATGACAAAATTGGTACTGACCCAATGTTATTTTAATCTCTTAACACAACGTGATCCCCAATTCCGAGAAAAGACCACTGGAAATCACTAAAATGGGGTCTACTTTCCCTCTTCTTTTTGACCGGAAGTGTTTTCCTGACCTCGGTGTGTTGCCGATTTTTTCGTTTTTTTCTGGCTGGATTTAGTTTTAAACCTTCTTTACAATGATCTAATGATTACCTTAAATGAATTTTGAACAATTTAAATTCCTATCCTTATTAGATCAGAATGTATTAGTTTTCTTTCGATCATTTGTTTACTTCCGGTTTGCTGTTGAATAAATATTCCGAGTAAACATTGACGTAAGCACATGATAATAGTTGTTAGTTCAAAATGCAACCCGGACAATAGCAAATGTTTATGATTATAACTATTACATACGATGCAGATCATGATTTACCCACTAGTTTCCCAGTTTATAACTGCCTGTTGTCCTGCCGATAATATGTGAAACTTTTACAAGATAATAGTTTGCACGTCAATTGCCGTGCAAAATATTGCATGTCACTTGACGGACATGACGGCAATTGCCGTTATTATCTATTGACATGCGCACTTATGCGTCATAATTTCACGTCAATTGTCGTGCAACATGGCAATTGCCGTACTTCACGTTAAATGGGGTTATCGTCTCCACTGTCATATGCAATATATTTAAATATGTCTATGAAACATTATATTTCAAACAATGTATGCCGAAGTAATCAATAACGCTGTCAATGTAGACGAACATCAAATTGTCCGCCATTTCTGACTCAGACGAAACAAAATGTGATGGTACTTTCAGACCATTTGGATGTGTTTGTTTTTTTCCGATTTACTCAAAATCGTGCAAGCCAAAACGAAGAATCTACTTCTTATGGCCTGGAAAAAAGGAAATGCAAGGAAAAAATGGCAATTCTGTGGGATTTCCATTCTTGGTGTTCATAATGAAATGAAAGACTATTATCAAGGTTATGTGTCTCTTCCTTGACCGTTGCTTTCCTGCAGTGATCTACTACTATTTGATGGCTGAATATCCTATCACTGTCAGCATACAATTGTCTTTCGGGGAACTTTATTACTTACACATTTTGGTCCATTCCCTTTTTTGTGACAAAACGATCCATTTTCTATGAATTTATTTTTGAAAATAAAGTAGGTCATGCTCACTTGATTGCAATCTGATGTCGAATCAAAGGTTCTAAGTTGAACTTTCCCATCAACAATAATTTAATAATCTTTTCTTTATATTTTCATTTTTGATTCAATCATGATAAAAAGAATGATTTTGAATAAGTTGAATTGAAGGTAAAATGATATTGTGATACAAATTGGTGCCTGAAGACCAATTCCCACCTCTGCTCTGCGAATACAGAATTCTGGGAGGAGTGGAATTGTTCAAATAAGAGAAAATTGGGGTATTCAGGGGTTTCATTAGAATTTCCCACAAAGGGCTAATTAATGAAAACAACAGGCAAAATTAATGGAAACCATAAATTTAAGGAAAAGTTGAAATCTTCTTAAAAGCAACAGGCGATTTTGTGAAAGCAACAGGTGAAAATTGCCTGTTGCCTGCCATTAATGAAACCCCTGGTATTGCAAAATAATTTTTCAACAAACTCTGTAATTTTGCATTATATATTTCAGCTGTTGTGATAGGCCATACGAAAGAAGGAGGCCAACAAGGAAGCACCAACAAGGCGGTGGACACTATTGCCAAATACCTGGAAGGTTTGAACATGTAGTGTCTCTATACTATAACACACACCTCGGTCAACACTACAACATGGTGGCATATCCATAACACATAACAGATATTTGTTACAGATGAAACATTTTAGAACTGATGTTTTAATAGGGACATAAGGTAGTGGGTGTTTGATACAACGGATTGGCTCACTTGTATTTCGGATATATTAATGAACTATTTGGAAAGAATTTTTCCAAGTTGTTGATACATTTTTATTTATCCTCTTGTTCCAGATTAATCCAGAAAATGTAATTGTATTATAACTTGATAAGCTAGCTGTAAAAACCCTCTGAAAGTAGAAATAGAATAACTCACATTCATATGAATCTCTAACCAACAATCACTGTTTTTTAACTCTGAAGAAAACTGTTTCTTGTTTTTGTAATTTGATAAACTTGGGACTATAGACATATAACAAGGCAGCATTGAAATTGCATGAGTACAATACTAATGTACAATAGATATTAATTAGCAACAGAGATGTGTCAACTTTGAACTTGTAAGATGAGGCTAGGTTCAATTATTCAGGAAGTTTTAAACATCTCTTTATTCTATGATTCTTGTGATGTCAAAGCTTGCTTATTGGAAGCAAATTCTTGAATATTTGCAAATTGATAAACCTATACCCAAACCATTCATTTTGCAGTATGTTCTTGGAAACTATTTCAATGTTGTATACTTTGGGACCAAAACTGATATCTTGAATTGGAGCTGGTTTGATGGGCATATTCAGAGGATGATACTTTATGTGGTTACTACTACTTTGGTTACTATTTTCTATTTTATAAATGATAGTTTGGCCTTTTTGACCACTCCTACACAGTCTTGTTTGAATGTAATATCTCATGAATATGCCCTTGGCTGTAAAATACTCAAATGTAATTCACGAGTGACAAATTGATCTAAGTCTGCAATATCGTAGTTAGGAGTATTTCAATCAATAAAATTGACATGATACATCCAAACTTGAGTGTATATTTGATTCTACTTTGAAAGTTCAGAATAGTTTGTTTTGCTTACTACTGAAACAATGTATTAAGAACCAGTAGACTTGTACCTTTTTGTACACATTGTTTTGAAACTTGCCAGTTATTGTTATGTGGGTATGTACTTTTGATAATTAAATTTCTCAATGCTAATGTGAACATTTTTACAATTTTGTCAGTGTGTGAAAAAATATATACTTATTTCTCTATCAAGTAATATATGACTGTAACAATATTTACAAATCGAATCTTATGTTATATTTTTCTGGGATAAACCATGGGCTTTCTCTTGAACCTTTGGTTTATCATTCCCAATCTACTATGTATGCATACTATGAGTGCCCTTTTGTGTGGTATTCATTATTATATTATTCCGGTGATATTCATATCCTGAACTTCAGATAAAATTATACGCCTATCCTACTAGTTGAGCAAGAGAAATTCAAAATTGGATCAAAAAACAAGTGACCCTGGCCTATATTTCTGACAATTATCTGAAATGATGAACTCGGAAGAAGTACATGTTTGGTACATGTATATGAAGCTGCAACACATAATTGACCGAGTCAAAAGTTAAAAAACAACCTGTAGTCATTGATTTTAAACTGTTGATAGCACAGGCTAAGGTCAAATCATTTTAAAAGTCGATCGTTGTTGAGTTTTTATAATAACGATAATTTTGCTGGTGCTGCCATCTTTATATTGCCCCAAAACTATAGTTGATAAGGTACCTGACGTATATTTGGAATTTCAAGTAAAATACTATTTTCGTGTCAATGTTAAAGCAAGTGGATCACCCATTACTTTTATATCCGTCATTGCTTTTTTGGATCTGAAACTAACAAGGGAGCAAACACAATTGGCTCCATATTTTTGATGAATCAAAATTAAAAATTAAGCCCGAAAAATAACTAGTAATACCAACAAAAAAGGCCCACTAATGGGAGCCAGGATTCGTATAGATGGCAGGTTGTTGTTCACATCTGGCGCATTGGTTTGTGTGTAAATATTGCTGTTTAAAAAACTTCAAGTTCACTACACATATCAAACAAATACCATATTTCCTTCATTATTATTATTTACAAACATGTTTTAAGATTCAAAATCAAATGGTTTGGGATATTTTTAATCACATTTATCTTGGGAGATTTTGGAGCAATATAAACATGTTAAAGTATGCTATTAAACCCACTGAATTTTTCGCCAGTATTGACAGTCCTGAAGGCCATTGGGTCACTAAGAATTTTTTCAGGGCCAAACTAAGGGGGGTTGGGCCTCCTGATATGATAGCCTTCGATCCGGCAAATATTTCTGTGCTATTTTCCGAATTAGCATGCGTTAACGTCGTATTGGTGAGAAACACGCGGATTAACCAATTAATATGCATTTTGATCCGTCATTTGGAAGTCGAAATGACGAACAACCCGGTTAGTCAAAAAAGGCTTGAATTAGTCGACTAACGGCCACTAACCATGATTTTATGACTTTTTATGCCACTGCAACTATCGAATGCCGCTTGGTTGAATTAGCGAACAGATCATAAGCCAGTGTAAGTAATAGTGCAGAATCAGCAGATTAACCCATTATAAAAATCAACGATCGGGTTTGACTCGACTGAAGCAAACGGAATGCATGACAGATACTATTCATTAAATGAGTTGGCCATCAGAATTGCAATTAACCTGTCGGCCAGCCAGTTACATTCGGAAATCAAGCTTTTAATACCAACAAAAAGTTCCGAAAAGCAAGCCCAATGTCCTGTTTAAGAACCCCTATTCTTTCTTTTGAAAATGGATTCTAGCAATACTATCCCATATATTTTATTTGTTGAGACTCGATCAACTTGAGTTCTTCTGAGAAAATGAGGATTTTAGCAAGAGTGCATTGACTCTTAACATGGGGACATACACTATTGACTTAGCACAGGTGTGAAAGAAATGATGGTCCCCCAGGGATTATGGTCCCCTTTCTTAACGGCCCTTACTGGCCCTGATTGCGTATAAGATAAGGAGGGAAAGAGTTGTATTTAGGTCACCATATAAATCAATGGAGAGTAGGACCATCATTTGATAGGACCTCCTACCCCATACACCGGGATACCATTGGGTATGTCACCATGTAAAGCCATTGTACCCTTGCTGAAATCCTCAGTTTCTCAGAAGAACTCAAGTTGATCGAATCTCAACAAGTAGATTCCTGTAAGATAGTATTGCTAGCAATTTCTAAAGTTTGAATAGGGGTTCTTAACAGGACATAAAGCTTAGCTCATCAGAATACCCTTTTTCCTTTTACCCCCAGGGGAAGAGGGTCGAAGGAGGTTCGGATTTTGGACACCTGTTTGGGAGGATCCCTTGCCTTTTGTGAATGGTGATCGACGTACTCTACCATTTAGAGTAAAGGACCACGAATTGTTTGTAGAATGGATTTGGGGAGTTTTTTCTTTCACTTTGCTTGTGTTTTTCATGCCAAAACGTGTCAGGAACATATAGATACTCGAATGATGTTGATTGGACATCAGGGTGCAGAGAAATCGTAATTTTAGGCCACTTTAAATTGAAATCAATCCCTTAAATTATGGGCCTGGAAATTCGTAGACAAAACTTTACATACACGATTCTGGGATGGAAGATCAAGAAATGACTGCCTTAATTTGTTAATACTCTAAAATATCTCTAAAAACTAATAATTTCGAGATTTTCATCCAGATAAAAATGTCTGAAAATTTGAACTCAATCCGTACAACACGGTTCCTCTGGAACTGCGAGGACAAAATTTAGTGAGACGAAAAACACCGACCGCCGATGTTGATAAAGGACCATACAGCTTTCTTATTTACAGAGGGTATCGAATTTAACAGAACAATATGTGGTCATTAAAATATGTTTCAACTTCAACAACATCGTTCCACAAAGCATTCACATGCAAAATGTCACCGCCTGGCCTGGCTCCCACTTTTTGGACTAGTGTACCCTTATAGCACTCATTTCGAGGGGTGGATTATGCCCTAGCTTATATATTAGCCATGTAATGCACACTGGCGGCTCCAGAAGCTAACAAGGGGACCCACATTTTGAGTCAGCCCCCCCCCCCCTGGATACGCAAGTGATGCACATATTTTGCATATTTTATATTGTTTCATATGAAAGGAATATCCGTTGATTTTTTTTGTTTGATTTGGTAATAAAGTACCCTATTGCAAATTAAATACAAATTCTGCTAAACAGATGATTATTCCAAAGTGCCTTACTGTAAAAATTCAACATTCAATTCACAGAGGGTATTGAATTGAACAGAACAGTATGTGGTCATTAAAATATAGTTTGTAATTGGTAATGAATGGATTATAAATATAGGAATTAAAAAGGGAATAAAAAGGATCTGTTGAGAATTTAAAAACATTCTCAATTACTTAAATACATTTTAGAAAATTTAAATTGTGAATACACAACTTCATATTCACACAAAAATACCATGGCTTACCCTCCCAAGCTTAACAATTAGGGGATTAACAAATGTTTTATTAATTGATTTAATATACAATCAATCCTCCAGGTACATTCATTGAATACTGAGTCATACATTAAGTGATGATCCAATAAAGCCCAATAAATTGGGAAAAGTTATTTAAGTAAATATACATATACTGTATCAAGAGGTTTTGTGTATAAAAATAAAGCAAAAATAAAACTCAATATTTTCAAATTGCTGTACACCTAAAATTACACTAAAGTAAATGGCACCTCTTACAATAAGTGTTTGTCACAACATTAAAAAAGTATTTAAAATCTATGAACATCTACAGAATGTCAAAAACAAAATATATCCACGATGCAGTAAAACTTGGGTAAAAATAGGTAATAATGTATTGTATCATGCTGGAGTTAATACGGACCTTACAGAGTAATGCCTCAGTCCCATTTGATCTATGACAACCATACTACGATAGTAGCTTCCGAAAATTGAGAGAAATATGCAGCATAAAATATAGTGATAAGCAGTACGAATACGATGTAGATTTTCTTTATAGATTTTTTGAAGCTGAAGAGCAAATGTGGCTGAGGCTTATCAACCTAATGTTCAGAATCCATATAACCACCCATTGCAGCATATATCATCCAATCTTGGAGCGTATGTCTTAGTGTTTCATTGTATAATCATTCCTTATTGTTTTAGGCTATCATAAAAGAACACTTGGTCAAGATCTTATAGATTTTCTGATTTTCCACTATCCTCAAAAAGGGTGGCCATACAAACTCTGAACTGTACGCTATATCTGTGAAATTCAATCATAAAAGGCTAACAATTCAAAGGTTAGTCCAAAATTTAATTCCCTTAGAGTTGATATACACTGTAACACACCATGTACCTAAAAGTTGTTGTTTTCAGCAGAGGAGGTTTTTTGACACCCTGTATATGACTTGAGTTTTAATATATAAGAATAAATCACCTTTTCCTCAAAAAATCTCTGGAACAAATCTCTGAATATGTTTTCTTTGGGTTTAAATGTTTCAAAGACATACTTTTAGCAATGGCTGATTGGAAAACTTCCAACGGACACAGATCATCATGAATTTCATCCTCACAAAACATGAGATCCCTAGTCCTATCTTTACCATTATAGACAAATCTAACATATTGTTTTTCAGTTGACTTTGAAGAATAATGTTCAAATATTGCTCTTGAAGCTAATCCTGGCCATTCACCTGATGAGATTCTTAGTGCATGAATAAGAGGCATTAGGGAGGAATCATGGCCTGAGTATAGCGAAAACCGAATCTTGGATTTACCCTCAGCAATGGCTTGCATCCTCTGAGTTATATCCAAAAGGAATGGGTAAACTTTGAGCATGCTAACAGCAATATTCAAATCATTTTTAACATCTATGGCACCCATGTGGTCGAGAATTTTCCAGTTTTGATCAACCATTGGTATTTGAATGCATTTGTCCTTGAAACACGGAAGATCACGCCTATGACACATGTATCCCATGAATATATCTAGAAGCATGCCTGGGGACACAAATCTAGCGGCAGTTAATCCCATAGTCTTGGTAAGCTGATGCTTTATAACAGCAAGCCCTGTACTGTTTTGCAAGTAAGCAATAAGCTGGTGGAGCCATCTACTCTCAAGCTCCTGTAACAAAGGACAATTTGTGTCACATGGAATTCCCAGATCCTCTGAGCAGAAATATACAGAATTGGTTTGTTCAATATTGATCTTGTTAAGGTCAAAGTTTGGATGAAATTCACTCATCAATGCAATTGCACTCTGGTATGTCCGACTGCTGTCTGTGCTTACAAGAATATACTGTTCAGGATCAAAATCTGTCTTCAGGAGATTCCAGAAGTCTATATATTGTTCCCTGAGGTGCTCTCCATTGAGTAAATGCTGAAGGACACCTATAGCTGTAAGCTGTGCTGGTTGGCATAGTAACGTATCAGGATATAATGAATAATGTTCAAAGGTCGATCGCTTTACAGGTTGTTTTATCTTCTTGAGAAATTTCACAACTTTTGGATTTCCGGAATGGTCGCTGTTTTCTAGATCACAAAACATTAGTTTCATTTGTTCTGAGCCTGGGAGAGAGTGCATGGGGGCTCTGTCTCCATGACGAATCATCATGTGTACGGATCGCAGTTCATAACCATCCTTCACCCGACCTGAAAGATAATAAAATCAAAATCTCATCTGAATTTTTCAGATCCAATAATCAAAAAAGAAACAATTTGAAGAAGTATTTGAAGTTCTGTTATCTCAGCCAAGTTAAACGTATGAATGGTCCTTCAACATCTATTACTTTACTTTTGCGTTAAGAATTTTACAATGCTTTATTAAATTTCTTCCTATTCATAATCAAAGATACTGGTAGTATCAAGTGGTACTGGTACCTTTCAATAGAACAAGTATTTGAATCAATCTATTTTTCATAATGGCTTGGACAGAGGGAAAAAACATCATATTACAGAATGACTCAGATGTATCAATGTACCAAAAGGGCCAAAATATTTTTACTGCATAAGTAACAGGCATTTTCAAAATAGACTTCCAACAAAACTTCTTCTGTATCCTAACAAAGTACAATTTTGCTATAACTTTTGTTCTCTTGCATTTTTCTTCATGAAACTTTCACAACTAAAGAGACATATATCTGACCTTATTCTTCACAGATATCCTGACAATCAACCTGGTATTGACAAAGTTATGGTTACTATGGTAACCACTGTCATGGGCATGGGGGGCAACCTTGAGGGTTTCCATGATAAACCATTGTTATACATCTGTTGATATGGTCAAATTCTGATGTTATCAGTTTGTAGTTGTACTAACAAAGAGCTATGATATCACAATATGTATAGTATAAACCCAAACCAAAATCTCAATCAGCTGATATCTGCAAAGAACACCTCCCTAGCCACACACTTCAAGGATGGCTTGAATAATATGTACTGGGTGGGTTGTCAAGCAGCAACCGTGCATTGATGCGGTAACTGGTCAACTCGTACCCAAGACAACTCGTACCCAAGTATATATTTTGGACTGGGCATGTGAATAGATATACAATTGTAACATACTGTTCAGAATAGTTTAAAGTTTGAAGAAGAATTTTCGGAAGAAATTGATTTAATTTTGTGACATTTTGAGCTGAGTGTCAATTTATATTGACTATTATTTTATATTGGTCACAGATTCAGGATGTTCGAGTGAAGAGATGTTTATTCCACATATTCATAATCATTTTTCAAAAAATTGTATGTTTATGAGTGTTTGGAACAAGTGTCAGATCAAATGTTGTAATTATATTTATTTGTATATATGTTTGACAAAAAAATGTTGTGAACAAGCGCTTCAAGCACTTCTTTTATTTAATAAAAAAATGCTTTACTGATCCATTGAGAAAAAATGTCGTCTAAATTCAAAATAATATTGAGGCTTATTTGATTCACATTACAACCTGAAAGCATTACTAACTCATTTTTTCCCCCAATGTGCACCCATTATACTGAAAATAATCTTGGGTACGAGTTGTCTTGGGTACCAGTTATCTTGGGTACGAGTTGTCTTGGGTACGAGTTGACTAGGAAACATTGATGCTAAGGGTGCACCTCATGAATGCAGCCCCATAGCCAGCCTTTGCCAAGAAGCATGTTTCAAAAAAATTCCAGGGGGTACACTTTACAGAACTTTGGACCAAATTCACTTGAAAAGTGCTCAGAATGGTGAAAAACAAAAATTTTTGGCAAGGGGATGGGGGTTGGTTTGACCACTGAAGACCAAACATCAACGGCTGAACATACAGAAAAAATTGGAGACTACGCTGTATTACAAAATGTCACCACTTCTGGAGGTGACATAAAAAACTAATAAAAAACAAGCAAACAAATACAAACAACTCATATGCACCTTCTACTCCAGTGACAGCTACTTCAGGACTGTTGCAGTACTCATGTGTTCTTGATAGTTCATCCCTGTCATCCTCTCTCTCCCTATGTCCCTGTTGCCTCACCTTCAGACCTTTGGCATACTGCAACTCTGGGGATTGGCCCACAGACCGACCCTTCTGACGACTCAGGTAAATGTCTAAAATGCATGAGAAAACGCTCTATTGTAAAGGCTTATCTTTTAGGAGTTAGGACTACCAGGGGATTTAAAGGTCGAAGCCTTTAATAGTTAGAACTGCAAGAGGTTTAACAGTCAATTAAAGTTAGGAGTGTCAGGGGCTTTACAAAACAAAATGTTAAATAATTACGACTAACAGGAGTTTAGCATGGCAAACCTGTAATAGCTAACATAATCAGGGGGTTACATTATTAAACAAACTTTCAAAACATTTCAAAGACAACACAACTCACTGGCGGATCCAAGAACTATCAAGGGGCCCAAATTTCAAGTCAGCAGCTTGCGGGGAAAACATTTGGGCACCTAAAACCAAGAATTTGGCCAAAATTTTGAAAAATAAGTCCCATTTTTGATAATATGGCCTAAAAAAGGCCTAAAGGGCCAAATTTCCCCTAAAAAGACCCATTTTAGAGGCCCTACATCATATTTGGGGTGCAACCGTTTTTAGGGGCCTAAAAATTTTTCTTGGCCCACAAAGGGGGGGATGGGCCCTGGATCCGCAAGTGCAACTAGAAGTACTACAAAGTGAACCATTAACAGTTAACACAGCCATGCATTTTCACGAAAAGTCCAAATAGTACTGCCCAACCTCTAGCAGTTGTCAATCCTAGTGATTCCACAAGGCAAAGCCTCCGGCAGTTACCACTGCAATGGGTGCTACATGGCAGAACCCATAGTAGTTAGCAATACTGGGGTCTAACAAGACAACAGCAGTCAGCAAAACTAGCAAGTTCATTCGCATTTTCCCATGGAAACTACACATAATAGCAGAACCTCTCGCCATTAGCATTACTGAGATTTTACATTTAGCAAACCCATAGCAGTTGACACAAACTTAATGTTGTTCCCCTCACCATTAAAATATCAGGTTTGGGCATGGTTTGATGCATGCTGACTGAGAAGGCCATGAGATCTTGGGAGGTACTTAACATTTTACATATGACTATTAACATAACCAAGAGATTTGATGTACATGTACAAAACAAATGTACACAAAATATATTTCATCTCCACTTGTTATTCTTTGATTATAACAGACATTTTCATAAATATCAAAACCAAAAGATATTTGATAATAACAAGTCAAAACTTTTTTTCTGAAAACAAAAACACATAGGATATAAATCTATGTCTGAAATAACTACAAGACAGACTCTCCCAAGATACAATGGTCTTCCCAGATATTTGAACGAAGCATTGCTCACCAGAAAATGGTGCAAAACAAAGTGCAAAACAAAATTCACATCCAGTTTTTGTAATAGTCTCATATAAACCTGAAAATTATTTTTAAGGTCAGTATACAAAAATAAAAAGATTTGCAATGAATTACAAATGTACTGATGTACAGGGTGTTAAAAATGCAACCCAAAGAAATCGCTATATCTTGGAAAACACTAATCCAATTGTGTTAATTTTTTCAGGAGAAAAAGAAGGGACTTTTAGCTCCTGTAGTTGTCTAGTTGTAAAACATGATGCCTTGGACACCTGCTCAAAAGACATTAGTATTAGAAATATACGAAAAATGCAGTCAGATGTGGTACCACAGTGTTTTGGCACTTCAGATTTGGCACAAATTATCCTCGTCAATTTGTGAAGTTTCATCAAAATCACTTCAGGGACTTTACAGTCATGATCAAAATGTCTTTTAAGTCTGCCAGAACCAGGGCATTTGACTGCGATTTTAAAGCATTTCGACCATGACTGTAAACTCCCTGAAGTGATTTTGATTCCAGTCTACAGATTTACCATACATTGCATGAAGATGATTTGTGCCAAATTTGAAGATTCAAAACCCTACAGTTAGGAAGTTATTTTTTTTGCAGTTGCAGTCACACATGACTGGGGTTTTCATATTTTTCTAGTACAAATGTCTTGTCCAAGACATCATGTTTTACAACTAACTTACAAAGGGGCTATACATACACAGCCCCTTCTTTCTTTCCTGAAAAAATGAACATAATTGAGTAAGTATTTTCCAAGATATAGGGATTTCTTTGGGTTGCATTTTTTAACACCCTTAACATGGACAACAGCATGAATAATATGTATACAGGGTGAACAAAATTGTGTTTGTAATGATTAAAACAAATACCTTGCTTGTAGCTTGTCAAAAAATCGACAGATTGTCACTCTAAATTATAAATGCCATACTTACACATGACCAAGATTCCTACACCCCACACTACACCAAAGATGACAATTGTACGCCATTTCAGCCTCATGTTGATGTACTCTAATCACATGCACTTAACATTCACAAAGCATGTGACAAACAGTCAAGCTGAGATTGCTGACTGATCTATGAGATGTTTTGATGGGATGTCCTGTTCTCAAACATTCAGATCTGTGTAAGATATTGCCTATGCTCCAGTCAGTCTGGAAATAGTGAATATTCTATTGATTTAAGATATCATAATATTATTTAAGAAGTCTCATAATGTATAGGTTATGTTAACATGACTTACTCGCATTAACTGTTTTTCTTTTATGAATATTGATTAACATACACTTACAATTCAGTCATGATATGAACAATTTTTTTCAAAATGGTGACACAGTCTACAGTTCATGAACATTTAGGTTTTTGGCTTATCCCAGTCATACTGTAACTGAATATATGTGTTCCTTCTAGTTTGCTGATTGGTCGAGAAAATGTCAGCCCAGTAGGTTTGACATCATTTATGACAGGGGCTGCTGAATTGCAATATATGTAGACTTTTCATAAATAATCTGCAAAATCTAATACATATAATCCCATTTTAAGCAGATGTATAGTATACCCTAGGGGTTCACTGTGTATAAAGCTTGACAGGGATCCTCAGTGCACAAATATCCTTAATTTGAGGTTGTTTTGGATTGTGTTCCTCGTAGCGCTATATTACTAAGTAGTATGCCACCACGGGAAAAAGAGTTGAGCGAAGCAAAAAACGAGCGTTTAGGGGGGTCTAGGGGGAGGTTTTCCCCCAGGAAAATTTAAAATTTGCTTATATCAGGATTATGCAACCATCTGGCATGCCTGTGCGTACCCAGCATATCGGACGCTACGCCTATTTCTGCCTTCTTCTCAGGGCCTTCTTCAGTTTGAATATTTGATTTTTTCTACTTTGGATATTCGGTATGGCATTGGTCCTATATTTACACATTTGGTATGGCGTTAGTCTTATATCTGAACATTTGGTATGGCATTGGTCCTATATTTGGGCATTTGGTAAGGCTTTTGGGTGTTACTTTGGTTGGTATGGGAACATATTGAAATTTGACAGATTGGTATGGGAATATATATATACAGTGGGGATCATAAAGAATTGCAAAAGCTATGAAAATTACATGCTGTCGCACATGTAATAAATTCTTACCCCATTGTATTCAGTGCTCTATTTTCTCCGTCTGAGTAAGTCCAAATATAGTGGAATTTGTGTCCCTAATGACAAATAAGAACTTCAAAAGTTGAAGTGGATATTCACATGTTATGCCGACTCTTCAAATGTTGAGGTGATTTTGTCGCCCAATTGCGCCGGAACGGAGGATTGGCTCCCAGAATGCAACATGACACGTGCCAGCTTTCAAAATGCTGTTCCGCCATTTTGAAACCTGTCATGATGAGTAAATACGGTAACTGATGTTGCATTCTGGGAGTCAACCGTCCTTGGATAACAAACATGGCAATTCATGAAAACATTCATTCGATTTGGTAGGGATTTATCCATTATTTGCAGGTATGAAGCTTTGGATTCATTTATTGTGCTACTTTAGTGAACGGGAATTATTTTTCTACCGCTTGGGAGAGTTTGAGACACGAAACTTGAAAATTAGCTCATTGTGACAACTTGTGAACGTTGAGTTTTATTTTTGTCCCCCACTGTATCTGAGGGTTCAGCCTAGAACCCCCATCAAAATGTATATACAGTGAACCCCCCTCCCCCCTCCCGGATAGTAGACTATGTGCGTGGTTGTGCAGGGTAGCATATATTAAATTTCAAGAACATCAAGAGTCTTGGATCGACCATGGGTTTTCAACTATTTGAATATAATCACCTTTAGTATACACTGTAGATCAAATACCTTTTCAATTCTAGATAACGAAGGTGTATCATATGTAGACTAGTACAGGCTTTGAATTCAATAAAAATTGAATTTTTTCGAAAAAATTGAAAACATTTTTAATTTACTGATTCCATGCCTAAGAGATACGGATTTCCCTTAATTATCGTTTTATTTCAACTCACCTACATTTATGAAAGTATGTTTATATTGATCTGCCCATAAAGAAAGCAGATGGCTCGGAAAAATCAATAAAAATCACTTTAAATATTTTTCTTTAGAGGGGTTTTCTGATGACGTCATTCCGGGGGTCAACATAGTTTCGTTCAATGTACCAATTTCCCGGGATGGTATCAGCACAAGGGAACATGGGGCAACATGGCCCTCAAAATTAAATGTTTCACTGGCGGATCCAGGGGAGCCATGGGCTCCACCCCCTCCCCATTTTTGGCCAACAAAAATTTGTAGTTCCTCATAAAAAGAGTCTTTTTGGGCATAATTTGGCCTTTCTTTTTTGGGCCAAAAATGTTTTCCAAACAACTCAAAATTTGGGTCCCCTTGTAAGCATGTATAATAGCAATAGACTAGATGCGAGTAGAAATAATCTTGATTTTCGTCATTAAATATTCAAAATTCAAAGTGATAGCATATTTGAAATCTACATGTAAAAGCCTACATTTAAAAAATATATGAAAAATGTAAAAGTACATCTAGAATTTTATCAACTTTGAATTATTTTTGGGGAAAATGTGATTTTTTATTCGGAGAGATTCGCCATAGACCCCATGTTATAAAATCACAAAAAGTGATATTTTCTTGTATTGAACAGATAATATTTTCTTTAACTGGACATATTTTAATTTGCATAACTATTAGATACATAAGGATGATATGAAAATTAAACCACTAAAACTGATAATATTTAAGTTGCCCAAAAAGGCCCATTTTTGAGGCTCTACAAAATTTTGGGGCCCAAAAACTAAAAGAAATTCTGGGCCCACTAAAAGGGGGGGGGGCATCCCCCCCCCCCCCCTCCCCCGGATCCGCCACTGGGCTATACCAACTTGAGCCCATGGTTGGTCATGCGTACATCAAAAGCCCACCGGGGCTTGACCCTAATAAAACATGTTTAAGCCTCTTAATTTATTAAAAATTGTAGGGCACATTTGAGAAGACCCCTACATTATTCTACTTACGTCTTACTCTAACCCCCAGTATTGAAAATAAATAAAATCTGGTTCTAAAATTAGACATGTGTTACATTACAACATGGCTACGTGGATTAAGCTAGACATCGTAAAATTGTTGTGGATTTGGTCATCATATAATATCCTAAGATTCAGCACTTTAAAGGTAAGAAATTAACGGCACTATTGCACTATATACAATCTTTCATTTCGTATTCATGTTCTAAACTTTAAGAACGTAGGCCGCTATAACGAAATAAACATTTATGAGTAAAATATATATTACTGACCAACTTTATGTAGATGTCCAGTGATCCTATGCAGTCCTTGTTTATTTCACAAGTTATTGCATAGTGTTGGTATATTGGGCAGTTTTAGATTTGAGAACGGTGAACGCCATACATCTTTATCTCAAGAGTTTTATGTCAACTAATGTTTGTTAATGTCGTTTAAAACAACACTTAAGATCAAAACAATACAAAATAAGTAACTATTGTGTGTACTTTTTGTATTCAATTTCAACTTATAAATGTACGTAGGGCTAATATTTATTTTGTCTTTTGATACGTATGTATACTAGAATACATATGCAGATATTATTCATAAACAAAATAGCCAATAATTTATCATTTGACTAGGCGATGGATAATCTCTCAATAATCATATCTTAACACTTTCCTTCTCCAGAGACAGGAATGACTTTTGAAACACTGAACGTATTAAGTGTTTCCGATCCTTAATACTTCAATTCAATTTATTAAATTAAAATCAATCATACAATGTTTCATACAATACATGAAAAAGACACCCCAGGGGGTGTATATATTTCATGACTCATTTAGATTTTCAAAAATCATGTTTTACTTGTAAACCAGAAGCAATTTGAATTTAATTGAAAAAAGAACAGATGGAAGCACAAAGTATCACAGGTTTCTTTTCTATCCTCGACCTCACATTATTGGTTATGTAATAAATGTGAGGGTCCATCATAACCTACTTCATTCAGATTTCTCTAAAATATCAAAATATCAATCTATTTTCGCCGAATTGATAAACGGGAGCTAATGCTAACTCTGAATATGTTATTGAAAAACAATATTAAAGAGATATGATTTGATTTTTATATCTATATACATGAACATGACCGTTCCAGCTGTTGTACGCTTTCTTTCAAATAATATGGATCTAGAAGGGCATATGTTAGCATTATTGCAGAAAATTAATCAACATTAGAAAAAGAAGACTATATTATTGCACACAATACTATGACATGACCCCAGCAGTCTCAGATTTAGCTGTCTCAGCTGTTATCAATCTTACTTGACAATTATACGGAGGGGATGTTGAAACTCACTAGGCACTGGCGGATTAGGGGGGGGGGGCTGGGTCTGGTCATTACTGGGCCTTTTAAGGCCTTATTTTTTAAATTCAGGCCAAATTTTGAAGAAAATGGGCCTCAAAATTTCAAAATTTGGGCCCACTTTTGCGTTTTAGCCCCCCCCCCCTTGTTGGTTCCCAGATCCGCCCCTGCTAGGGGAGGGGGTTAAAACTAATTTGAAAATTATTTTGAAGTTAGGGCCAACACTTTTGAAAATCAGGGGTAATTTTTCTCAAATTACCACTTCCCCTTCCCATATACACTTGCCAATACATTCTACGAAACACCATCCTTCTAGTCTATGGGAAAATCACCTCTTGTATTTTATTGAGATTTCATGTGACTACATATGCAGTACATGGAATTGAAATCCATGATAATAGGGAGTTAAAGCTCCACAACCTAAACGCGAACGAAAAATATTTCACTATGATGACTAAGACCTGGGATGGGTGAACAAACTTTGGATATTCTTCGCCGAAAATTAATAATATTTTATACTTTGGTTGCAGTTTCCAACAAATGAATACGATGTTCGAACATCGAACGAATGTTAGCTCATGGTTTGGGATATTATGGGTTGTTTTTTCTCATAACTTGTTGAGCTTGTGTCTCCTGGAATACTCTATAGCTCTCTATGGTCTTGCGCATTTTGGAACTTAATATCCTTGTTGATTAAACGGAGTTTCCTCTACAATAGCGACTGGGTTATGCCCAGACTCTCATAAGATAACTGAGTATTTTTTTCTTCTATACACTCAACCATTATCCAATATGAATACAGTATAGCCAGAATAATAAAGATATAATATATTTGTCCAAATGAAGAGGAGCTGACCTTCATTTTACATTCAAGCTACAATGACACGTTCAGTTACAAGTGAGATCTACAGCCATTGTGGCTAGCCGATTTGGATTCAAGAGGCCTTTCAGAAATCATACTAGGTTCTAAAGCAAATTCATTCCAGGCGTATCAAATACATTAAGAGTCTGTTCGGGATGGGCCAAAAAATGTTTCTGATTTTAAAGTGTAATAAATCATTCATTATTTGCTTGCTTAGTCTCATACGTTCTGAGATGACTTAGAATTAAAGCATTTTTCCATATTAGGGGTTTTTATCGCCATATCCATTTTAGTGAATGATATGTATGAGGAAGCTCACTTCCACCTATCTGGACGTCAACAAGCAGAGCGTGATATTCTGGGCTGCTGATCATGATGATAACCATACACAGACAGTTTATTTATGTTTATGTATCTTTATTTCCACCTATGCAGATGAGTACATAATAATTATAAAGTTAATGTGGCAATATTAAAAATATAGAAATAAAAATATATATATTTACAACGCAAACTGTGTTGATTTAATAGTTTATAGAGCTATAGCTGCAGCTCTTGTTTTTAACATGTGTTTGACACTTAACATTATCTTCACATACATTCTGTAGTCTAATGCTTCATTTTTTCCTAGTAAGACCTCCATTTTTTCAACCATATTATATCCATCAAATATTCTGTCACTTAAAACTGCCAACAAGTCACTCCTACTTTCATGAAGTTCAAGGCAATCTAAGAGAAAATGCCTTGTCGTTTCATTTGTCATCCCACACAGAGGACAAATAGTGTCATAGTTGAGTGGGAAAGCACCTGTTAGCAGTTTTACCATATCCCTACACATCCCTATATATTTACAATTCGATTGACAGATTCTCCACCATACGCATGGTTTTATCGTAACTTGTATCGTTCTATAAACGCTAAGTCTGTAAGATATGTTACATAACAAGTGCCATCTGTCTTCTTCATACTGCATTATGCGTGCTTTAACAATCCGTTTCCACGCACTTGGGCATCAGGTCATAATTCAAAAAATATTCATCAATATATCGCCATAAATTGTATCTTGTCACAAGGTTCAAAACTGCATTTATTACTGAATAGTTGCTATACAACTTTGAATGTTCAGAAATTGACTTCCATCTAAAGAACTCAATTATAAAAATCATTTTATACACACATGTGGTTGGTAGATTTAGGATACACCACAGAAACATTAACTTTTTTGTATCTATGACCGCACGAATCCTCGACCAGCCCAGTTGTGCCAAGGAAGCTTCGTTATGCACATTACATGGCAATTGTTGAATACGTTTTGCTATTTGTCTATGTGTCAATTCAAGGGTATCATAATCACATTGTTTCAATGGCAGGATATCCATACCGTATGTCATGGATGGTACCGATATGGACCAATATAAAATAGAGGCCGTCAGTGGATTGTATTCGAAGGAGTCACTGCTGAGAAGCCCCACTCCCGCGTTGATAGCCCTTCTAGCCTTTCCCATTGCATTATCAATATGTTGTTTCAAGTTACCATTTGTATTTAAAATGAGACCCACATGTGTACATTCTCTGACATGATCCATTTTATCTGGACACAAGTCTTTGCGACCCTGTCTCTCTTTAGTGCAAACCATCAACGTTTTTGACTTCCCAGGGTGGAAGGTGAAACGCCATCGCGTACTGAAACGATATGCTATGTCCAGTAATGTTTGTAAGGACCTTGGGAACACAGCCATGAGGATCAGGTCATCGGCGTATGTGGGTGAGGTTACATTAATATTGCCGATTCTGCACTCCAGCATTGCTTTGTTCGAGTTCCTTTAAGAGGCTATTTGTGAAACGCATATAGAGCATCAAACTACAGACACCCCCCTGATGGACTCCCTGGTTAACGAAGAAAGGATCAGACATAGATTTTCCCACTCTAACCCTGCATTGATAATCCGAATACCAAATTTTCAAAATTCTCCATATTTTCCCCTTGAAACCTTGGTTAAAGAGTGTATACAACAACCCATCTATCCAGACAGAATCGTAACATTTTTTAATGTCCAATGATGCTATATATGTATCACTACCCCTGTCCGCATTATTCGCGACAGTCTCCCGCACGACCATCGATGTGTGGATACAAGAAGTACCATCTATTGCTGCCCCTTGCAGACAATGTATCGGTTCAATGTTATTATCGGCCTTAACTCGTGCTATGTATAAATTTTCAAAAAGTTTGCTAAATATGGTCATTAACGTGATACCCCTATGGTTATCTTTTTCTAAAATATCTTTGTTCCCTCCTTTGAATAACGTTATTAAGACCCCTATTTTAAAAGAATCCGGAAAGAACTCATTTTCGATTATAGCATTGAATAGATACGTTAAGACCGAGATTAACCTTGTACCACCGTACCTTATATGCTCTGGGGTGACAAGATCGTGCCCCGGTGCTTTATTTAATCTCAATCTATCTATAGCAGCGATAACTTCGACTTCCGAAAACGGTTCCTGTAAATTATCGTCAGTTTGGGTGCGCGTTAATTGATCAAATCTATGAATTGCGCCTTCGACCTCTTGCTTAAAGCCGTTATCAAAAACAGGATTATTTGCAGGTGTATAAAGTTTTTGAAAGTACGCTTTCCACTCGTTACAAATATCTACTTCCGTGTCTAAAATACTACCATTGTCACCCCTCAATTGTAACACATTTTTCCCATTCCCCTTTCGTTTAGTTTTAACTAACCGCCAGAAGTCATTAATATTAATATTGCCCGATACGTCTAGCTCTCTCTGTGTTTCCATTGCATGATCGTATTGTTTATTCCTGAGCAGTTTTCTAAACTCGCGTTTCGCGTTTTTATAAATAGCATAGTTTCGACCCGTTCTCGGTTTTCCACTTTCCCGCCAAGTATGATATGCAATCATTTTCTGTTTATACATAACTTTCAATTCCGGGCACCAATAGGGTTTAATGTGTTTACGAAATTTCCCTTTGGGTAGATTGTTGTGCGAAGTATCTTTTAAGAGCTTAGCAAGCTGATTGAAGTAATTGCTAATTTGTTTGTTTGATAACGAGGGGGTCCTACTCAACTCATTTTCTATATCTATAAGTTTACTTGAAACCACATCAGTGAACAAGGATTTAATTTGACTTTCACTGATCTTATTCCATTTTACATTAACTGCCCTCAATGCCTCAAGGTTACCCTTACAAAACACTGAATTTGTCGCCGCAATAGTCAAAGTTAAAGTTAAGGGGAGGTGATCAGATGTGTTCAGTAGGGTCTCCTCGTGTACTTCACATGTAACACAGCATCTTATAAGAGGTGCTGTAACTAATATATGATCAATATAGGTACAAAATAAAGTCATGCATGTCAATCATGCCAATAATAAAATGGGTTATTGCATTTTAAAATCAGTAACATTTTTGGCCCGCCCTGTATGTCTTGTCAATAATTCTACAATCGTTATTATTTTCAGCATGGACAAAGTGGAAACGCCGACACAATGTCTGTCATAATAGATGGGCAGAATCCCCAGGCTAGAGATTATATACATATAGTGAACCCTCCCGGACTACTCCAACAGGGCCATCTTCTGCACGTGCAATACTTATGTAGTACAGCCAGAATACTTGGACTAGAAATTCAAACAATTATTGACAATAGGCCGAGAAAAATATTCCAAAAAGCCTGGAAATGCTCAACCTCAAAATATTCTCGTTCCAGATCTGTTAAGGCGACACTGCCAAAAAGATTCGGGTATAGACCTGGATTTAGAAATGCACTCTCAACTGAGGCACATGGGGTTGCCATAAGAGCTTGGGTAGTTGATACGATGTCATGGAAATACTCAAGGATCACCCATAATTCGTTTGAAATTGCATTAGCTAAAGAATCATACAAAACGTCTATAGCGCCACCTTTTGAACGCCCTGTAATAAAATTTGATTGCCCAAGATGGGATTTGACTATGGCAGAGCTTGTATACGACGGAAAAGATCTGATTTGCCCAAAGGAAGAAGGTATGGTATCCACCTTTTCTGTACTTTGCATATTTCATATGCATATATGGATAGGACAGTTACCTAGAGTACAGTACTGTACGGGCACGGTACGGAACAATACAAATTGAAATCAAACACGACTTATATAAAATATATCAATAATATATTCATTATATTATCTACACATGCAGATACAATATGGGTTCGTTTCTTTCAGCAGATCACTGTCACATATTTTACTTTACTTTTCTCGTTATTTTCCAAAGAGGTGATTGAAGTTGTGAAGTTCCCTGCCGCACTTAGTGGTTCTCCACATGGCGTTCATAGAATGTTCCCTGAATACAAAGACAAAACACTCCTTAAAGAAAAGATGGAAAACATTAAATCACCACGGTAAGTCGAAGAGATTATTAATTACCAACTATATTTCTTTGAATTCGTTTATTTATCAAAATTAGTTGTATAAAACAACATGACATGCTAAGCTGCTAAACTTGACACCGTCTCTTCTTTATTAGGTTAACCGTAGTTGCCTGGCTGTATGTGGTGGATTATTGCCCCACCCCAGGGGTCGACCTTTGTAGCATCATGCACAGACTCACTTGGGATGGCTTGTATATCTCACCATTACTTTTCTTCACCAAAGAAGGTTAGCATAAAATATATATATCTAAGAAAGCAAGTTGCTGCTACAGCCTAGCTGTAATGGCTAGCCCATTGGTCTTTGACTCGAGCGGTTAAGTGTCAGATTTTGGAACGGAAGGTCATGGGTTCGATTACCGTACGTGGTGAAGTTCCCTGTATATGTATTTCCAATATGACATGATAAAATCTGTAAAAGCAATATTTAATAATCATGTTCTGAGTTGATTTTTGTTCAGGGATTTAAGCCCAAAACTCTATGAGTAGGATGATTAAACAACGAATGTCTTGTTCCTAGACTTTGAATCAATGTACCAGCTAGGTAGCCTACAAGACACGAATGAATTAAATCATTCACAATTCGATTGTCATGTGCTTAAATTTTTTCACCATTGTAAAAAATGTGTACACTACATTAAAGAAAATGAATGTTTTGCATGGAAACTTTTAAGTTTATCATCCTATTCATCCATAGGTAAAATCCATGTGCAGGTCGTAACAGAACAGGGGATCAATCAAGCGGCTTTAACTTCGTTCATTGTACCAAGAAACCAATGGATTAGAATAGTGTTCACCCTCAACAGGAAATACGTACGTAGGTTGTTTCCAATTATTGAGTGGAATTACATTCGTATATAACTTGAAGAACTCAATCTTCCTCAAAATTGAAAAAGCTATGATGTGTCAATTTCAAAGATAAAATTTCTCTATAAAGCAACATTGTCATTATTACAATAATCATTGCGATTGTGTTTATAAAAGAGAGATTCAGTAATTAAAGTTATAATTCGGAATGACTATCCTCGGATAATACTTAATAGTGTATATGTATGTAAAAGTGACTTGTTTTGTGAAATATCCGATTCAAACTGACAAGCTGCGATTCACTCTTTAAGTGGCAAGTGGACGTCAATCATGGCGAGAATTGGAAGCAAGTTATGTCCAGTCACTTCCGTTACGCAGAGGACCCCTACTACAATGATACACAAGGCTTGTTCATATTTGGCGGTTCTGAGGCTATTCCATCATTCAAGGGATACATAGGGCAAGCTACATATTACAGAAGAAAAGTCAAATTTAGTAATGAGGTAAATATGACAGAATCTAACTAAAGATTTCAACTGGTGACCCTCAAGTCTTCTTTACCTCATCAGAATAATTATGTCCCCAGCTTATCTTAATTCACATCCCAATTAGTAAATCAGATATTCAAGTATGTAGAAAGGAAGTGTAGAAATATGGTATTTCTGGATTCATTATTAGAATATGGTCAAATACAAATATTTTCATGAGTAAATTCTAGCTTCAAAATGTATGCCATTTCTCATTGGATATTGATGACAGAAATAATTTTCATAAAAAGAACTGTTTACCAAGAATACTAACCTTTAAAAAACACTAGTGCCACCTTTATTTCGGCCTAAAATCTATGCCATTTATGTTTTAATCTACATGCAATCAAATAATATCATTTTCTCTAGGTCCCGTTGCCCAGCATTTTTCATCCGATGTTTGAGCTAGAGTTGGGAAATAAAGACAGAAAGTGCCAAAAGTATATGTCCTGGGTTAATTTTAGACTTTATCAAAGCAGGATCATTCGGGATAATGCCATTCGAAAAAGTAAGAAATCATTAATTAGTTTAATATATTCCACTCGATCAGTCAATTCTGTTTTGATAAATCATAATTCCCATATTCAAAAGATACCTTAAATACTATTTAGCCAACCGATAACACTAAATTGACAAATGTACCTTTTTACATATGTACCTTACCTTGGAAACCCAACGGGTTTTTATATCTAAACACTTTTGACTTGGACGGTGCATATGTTCAACTTGTGATATTGATTTGGGGTTTGTTTCAAAATGTTTTTATGAGTTCACAATTAAAATTAGTGGCTATTTCATAGGTTTGTCAAACACCACGATCACATTTGAACTTCTCATCGACGTGTTCCATTCAATCTGAATACATAATGTACCGCATTTACCTCGATGACATATTAATTTTAAAAAATGTTTTCAGATTCCTGCTTTTACACATATCCCTTGATGAAATCTGACCAATCTGAACAACAAACTAACACGTGTAGCATTACAAGAGGGCCTCGCCGACCTCAATATCACTTCGTGAATAAGCTTATTCTGAGAACTGTCATGCAAGGGAAGCAACTAGATTTGACACAATTAGGCGATTTCCTATACGAAAATGCGACTTCTGTTTTGGTATGTTCATTGTCAAATTCAACATCAAAAAATGGACCTCTATCCACAGCTCGTTATAATAAAATTGTAGCAGTTATAAATCTACGCGAACAAACTTCTTTGACAATAAGCCTATTTATTTGAAAGATTTCTAAAGGAAGATCAAAGATGAAAATTTATAAATGAGATTAAGGCACTATATTTGTACGTTAGTTTTATAGTGTTTAATATATGTATATTTTTACTCTTTGTAGGAAAATGACGGATGGAAAGCTATCAATGGGTTCATTCTTTCTGTCCTGAAACAGGCCAGTTGCTATGGCAACCATGACGCTACCTATATGTTGTCAGTGATCCTTAACAATGGTCTCATGGTTAAGTCGCACGAAATCGAGGTAATATACTCAATATTTTTTATTGTAAAAGTCCCTCACTCATCTCATTCAGTAATGGTGGCAAATAAGAGATAACGATTTGTCCACATTAGCATGTGCTGGTTGATAGACTAAAATACGAATATTTTTTCGCAATTGTCATATGTGGATATGTGGGAATGTATCTGTCGTCTCATCCATGTTAGTATTTTGTTTTAGGCACACAGCTATTTGATGCTTGGAGCCCTCGAGAATCACAGACTGTCGTTAATGGCATTGGGAAATAAGCTAAACTATGGGCTAGATGGCATGCCTTGGGACCAGGAACAAGCATATGGTGGGGAAATTGCATTGGTTTTAAAGATAACTGCAATATGTGTAAAAGTTTGATCAAATTATTTGAATAAAGCCAACATAAAATCGAGGAGCACCATTTGAAGCAAATATAAACATTAAATACAAAATCAACCAATAGAATAAACACTCAAAACAGCACTACAAAATATATAAACATCATCTATGTTTTTTGTTTCATGTTCCACGACCAGTTTATTACAAGAATGTCGCCGATGCAACGGGTCGAGACAAAGAAGAACACAAGGGATCAGATGTACGTATATTCTTATATTTACCCTTTCGTTTTGTATTGATGAAGGATAAGTGAATTTAAAAAACAAAATTAAATAGTACAACAGATGTTATTGTTAACTATTCATTGTCTGTTCATGAACGTGATGCTTCCATGATATTTTTATAGATTTGGACAGAACATATTCGATTGACTGATGAGGCGCAACTGGACCAACAAACAGATGAAAAGGGAGATTTGTTTCTTTGGATAAAACACCAAGCGCAGCAAGGAGTATTCAACGCCCAGGTAGAACACGTCTCAGTCATGTCAGTCTGGACATTGCATATTGAACACTCGTGCACATATTATGAAATCCATTAAATGGTTTTCATCCATGTCCTACTCTTTGTTTAATCATACACTTGGTAGGGTACATTTATTATCCCTCTGCAATTGGAGATAATAATGTTTAATACAAAAATAATGAATAATAATGTTTAATACAAAAATATTACATAGATTACAAAGATTACATAATGCAGAGTAAAATAAAGATGACAACAAAACACACTTAGTTCATGGTCCACTTACGTCTTCATAAGAAGACATCTTCCCCAAGTTTGATGTTCCTGTTACTAGCTAGAAAATCAGACCATGCCCTTCCTCCCGAACCCAGTTTTTATACAGATATAGAATTCCTATAATTGCATTCGCCATCTCAATAAACATTATGAAGACATTCCCCTGCACTGGCGGATCCAAGTGGTGGGCCTAGAAAATGGCTTAAGGGCCCCAACATTTTTTGGGCCTCAAAAAATGTGCATTTTTGGTTAAAAGTCGGCCCAGATTTTTAAAATAAGAGGCCCAATTTTTTTAGGGGCCTAAAACTTTTTGTAGAACTTGCAATCTCCCCCCCCCCCTTGTTAGCTCCTGGACCCACTAGTGCCTTGTCTTGCCTTTCAGCAACAAATGGCTCGCCTTCTTCATTTTGGATCGCAAGGTCTGCAGAGGAACCTGGAAGCTGCAGTTGAATACTACAGGGCAGGTGCAGAAACGCAGGACCCAACAGCCCTTTATGATTACGGCGTCGTGCTGATGAGGGTGCGTACCATGAGCGGTATTGTTGATCTGTATTTTTTGATCAAGTTGGAATAAATTGTCGGTACCCAGTAGACTATATAAGAATTTAAATAATACTAAGCACATTTCATGGTAAACTTTGGGACATTCACTTAATAGTAGTTGAATTTTCAGCATTTGAAGCATTTCAAATGTAAATCGTTTTCATTAGGGACAAGGTACAAAGAAAAACAAGACAGCAGGATTGGAGAATTGGGAACAGTCTGCAAAAAAGGTAAAACGTTGGAATGTCCATTTTACTACTGAGACTGTTTAAACTGACTTATATGCTAATGAAAATTAGAACAGTACATTTCAAGATAATGCCTATATCAGTCGTATATCACCATCTAGCAATACAACAATACATTCAGAATGAATTATGTAAGCCAATTTAATAACTGTAAAAGCGTCTATCATATATGCATCAAGCAAGTTCAGTCTTGGAATCATAATTAACAAAGTGTATTATTTTTCCAACTAGGGTAACATGCAGGCAATGACTGCTCTTGGATGGTATGCCCTCAACCATGAAAGGAATTACACTAAAGCTTTAGAATATTTAGAGGCTGGATTTAAGCGTGGCATGCCTGACGCGGCCTACAATCTTGGCCACATGCATCATTATGGACTTGTCCCTGGTCAAGCAAGCAACAAGGTAAACAAGAATAAAATTATAAAATATTTTGAAATCATTTTTCTCATGAACTCTTAAGATGATAACCCTTTTTATTATTATCATAACACGTACTGACCACATTTATACGGTGATCTGTCTCCCCTTACTTTATACCCAATTCATAATCGTTCTCCTGAAAGCTCGTGTAGGTTAGGCGATTGTTCGGGCTTGGCTATTGGGCGCCGTAACCACGAGGTTGCGAGTTCGAGACGCTTGTACTCCTTGTGTTTATTCATTTACAATAATTCCCGTGGAATCACAATTTTTGTTACACTCTAATTGTACCTTCTGATTGTTTTCTTTCTAAATATTGCAGGTGAAGGCGTTCGAGTACTACTCCTGGGCGGCGTCTAGGGGGCAGTGGGAGTCAGGCATACACGTAGCAACGTTCAATATTAGAGGTGGACCTCCTGTTAATAGATCACCTCGTGTTGCAGTTGAGTAAGTGATGTCCGCTGCACTATTGTTATTATGCATCAAGCTTTTTTCGAAGGACTTCATTAATGCTTAAATCATATAAAATACTATATACCCTTGCTACAGGGATGTTTATGGTAAATCAAAGATAGAGAGCAACTTTTTAACACATATCTCATTTTTTCAATTTGATTTATCTTTAGAATACCCAAAACTGATATGCTGTGGGTAATGATCCCATCTTGATGTTGCAATAAATGTAAATATATTTTTTGAAAATTATGGAAAAACAAATCAGTGAACTTACGGCGATGAATTCATCAACTTAACTTCATCAAAACAGTAGCCAAGTTCATTATCGTATGATGCCTTTTGTGTTTTCTCGTAACGCTAAGTGTATGCATATTCAATAAATTGTGTCTCATTCTCAGGTTACCACATTGCCAACACCCATCACGGAAATAAATTATTCATAAAAAAGCATACTGTTAGTAATGGAGACAGTAGACTGATTTGGCAACCATGTTTTCATGAAGAACTCTATCACCATAGCATGATATAACGATTGTGTTACTATTTTTCAACAATATTTGAATATTTCTCTGTAACAGCCTTTGTTCTTTATTTAGCTGGGCAAGATATATAGCGGAATTCAACCCTGTCATTGGGAAAACATTACACAAAGCACTTAAAGCGTATAGATATCAAGATTGGTGAGTGTGGGTTTAGTTTTCTTATAAATCTTATCACATCTTGATTCGAAATGTCTCAATATTCGTGGATAATGGACATCACCTGGATGCCATTGGAATCCGTACTAGTTGTACCAGATTTTCCCTAAATGTCATATATTTATATAATTCGTCTGTTTCATAAAGAAAAGTGTGTATCATTTGAAGGTCAACAGCAATGTTGTATTACATGGTGGCAGCGGATACAGGAATAGAAGTGGGAAATTTCAACATGGCTTATCTGTGTGACGAAAACAAGGTGAGAATGACTTGAGTCATTTCGGAAACTATAGTTGATGAAGACATGATAATTTATCCTAAAGCCTTTTAATTCCAAGGTGAACTATCGGTTGCTTTGTGAAGTAGCAAAATACATACATATTACATGATCTAATTTACTATGTACAGTAGAGCCATGAAATTGACACTTTATCTTTACTTACTTTTTAAGTACTTTTACTTTGTTAATAATATTTAAGTTCATATCTAGATGAACCATATAGCATACCAAAGGATGGAGAGTTTAATGGGCTTTAACAACTCATCTCCAGTCTTTGTAAACTCAAAACTTCTACTTGTTTCGTTTGCTTAGGTGCCATATTAGGTCAATCAATATATAGCAGACATTTTTTTAGAACGGGCTGAACCACTACATTGAAAAGGAATGTGTGTGGAGATATTACAACTTATCCACGCTTAGAGAGCCTCAGTTTGTCAACTCATATGGTGAGTGAATATACCAGCTCTAAAGCCCCAGTCACATTTGCTCTACGGTGGCCGTACGGCGGCCGTAGATTTACGAAAACGTGATAGAAAATCTACAGCGCACTGCTTATCCCTATATTTGATGCTGCATATTTCTCTCGATTTTAAGAAGCTACGACCGCCGTACGTTGCCGTAGAACAAATGTGACTGAGGCATAGTCCAATTTTTGCAAAATTTCTTGAGTTAAAGGGATAATACAGGTACCTGTAATACTCATCCTAAATAGCCATAAAGAATATTTAATTCGTGAGACCATCAGTCTGAATGAAAATTGAGAGCATTTTGATGGTAAACCACATAGTTGTCAGTTATACTGGACTATCCTTTAAACAATAATTCCAATAACAAATATTTCTATAGATGTCCATCACCATTATTAGTAATACCATTACCTACGTATATTGCATATATTCCTAGTTTCTCAGTTTCTTAACATGTGAACCATTTACGCCCTATAAACAACAATTTTTTCAGTTATGATACAAAAAGTTATATCACATATATCTTATTATTCTAAACACTTTGTAGCCCTGATTAAAATGGGTGATCATCATTGGTATGGGTGCAGGTCAAAGAGAAATGTTAGCCTGGCTGTTGATTATTATTCAAGAGCGGTTCAGAAGGGAGATCCGCAGGTAAGTCAGACAAAAGCAATAAAGATTAATTTTAAAAGTACATGCTGGAAGGTCCATTGTTGATTTTATACGCTTGAAGCTTCGAGCTTTGTTGTTTAAATAGCTCTGTGGGTTCTTCATAAAATAATATGGATTGGTCTTGTAATGTAAAAAGACAAGATTAACACAGAATTAATATACTCATAAAACTATACTTTATTCCAAGTAAAAGACTAAACATGTACAATTACACTCTTCAGTATAAAATAAAACTGTTCAAAGATAAAGAAAGAATGAAAACGAGATTAATAAGATGAAAAGAAATGATGTGTGATGTTCCCCCCGATCTAACTCTCTACTGAATGAAGCCCAAAATTTCTCTTAAATACCCCCAAGTTATAGGAAATGAAAGGCAATCCCTTACCCTACAAAACCTATAAGAAACCCATTGAAAGATGGCAGCACAATACGGTGAATCAACATGAAAAATGCTATACAACCCCCACCCAAATAAAATGACAATTCTCCTGACATTGTACGTACTAAAAAAAACCTGAAAATACGCAAAATCTAAATAAATGTATATGATATTTTAACAATGTCCTATATGAATGTTTACTAACACAGTGCCGCATACATAGTTCGTGTATAATCCATATCCATATCCAATATCCATATGAAATATCCACGCAGAGTTCGTGCAAATATCCTTGCTTCATAGGTAGTTCCTGTTGATAAACGTCGTTATAATAAACCATAATAAGTTCCGATTTTATAATCCGCGTATCTAGTCCTGGATCCAATGCGATGCTGTAATACGTGCATCTAGTCCACGATGTAATGTTTTCGAATCCAAAATATGCACCGTCTTAGTAGTCGAAATAATATCCATAATCCGATATATCACATGCACGTCCGCATCGTGTCCATTATCGAATATGTCCGTATCCTCGCTGAAGAATCCATAATAAAATATCCATTTCCTTGTAGCAGTGTTCATAATAAACGTTTTCGTTGGAGAAAAGAATTGTTCATAATAACAGGAGATCGTACATCTTCAGCTCCTTCATCAGTTGTCGAAATCCTCTGTGGCTCCACTCCATCCGAAATCCGCGTCGTCTGCATCTCCATAAGACATAGGCATCGCCTTCACAGGTCATCTTCATCGCTTCTTCACGGTTAGGTAGTCGTCATCTACTTCAGGTCGTCATAGGAAATCGCTTACTGGGATCCCGGGCAATTAATTTTTTAATTCTCAAAAAGTTCTCCAAAAGTGTCTTTAAGAAACATTTTTATTAACATGTCTTTAACTTGCTTTTCTATGTGACATAAACAAGTCTTCTTCGTGTTCTAAACTCTTCATGAATTTAATTTTCTTCAAGACATCAATTTCTCTTCATTGACAAGTAACTAGTCTTTCTATCTCTTCAACATACAAACTTTTCACTTGACTTGTCTTTCATGACTGAGCGTTTTTCAACTCTTCAACTCTTCTAGCAACTCTTCAACTTCAACTCTTCATGAAATTATTTACATTTTCTCTCTATTCTTCAAAATAATCTCTGATTGTTACTTGTGAAACCTGTCTTTATCTTTAAAATGCACTGAGTGGTTAGTCTTTTAAAATAAAAGAAGCAAATTGCTTACGAACAGTAAGAAAGAATATAAATATGGCTTAACATGTTTTCCATAATAGGCAGGACAAATTCCAAAAAGTATTAACACAATTATACATATCTAGCGATTTAACATCAACATCAATAATGCAACATGGGTTTCAGACTCTGCCAAGATTACTAAAACCTTTTCATCAGGTCGCCCCCTCTTGCTAGGACTTTATTTCCGAAAGTAAATCAGTAACACCTCAGTGCACAATAGCATTTTACTTTTGATTTTCCAAAGAATTCTATATTTTCATACTTAGCGCTATGTATTGCACAAATACAAACAAATTGCTATATTCAAATATAAATGACTAATCTCTCATGTATTCATTTCACTAAACCTGATGATTGATGGCTGTCATAACAAAATCTCGTTGTAGGATCCACAGTTTGTACTTTCTTACAAAACTGAGAAAACCACTTGCCTGGGCTTCAATTCAATTCTCTATTGAACCCTAAATTTGACAATTTATGATCGTCATCATAACATTATCCAGTTGCCGCTCGGGAAATAACCATTTATTTCGAGCATGTACATGGCAAAATCTCATATAACAATTAGTGCAGAATAAAACAATAAAAAACAAAATCAGAAACTTAAAGACAAGATATCCCAAAGATAACATTATCCCGTCCAGCAGGAATATGTTTCTTGATAGACTAAAATCATCATAATCTTATGATGCAATTTCCACAATACACAAACAGAAAAACATGCGATATACTTTTATGCTTTTCGCATCCTGAAAAGATACAACTTGCTCACTGTAAGTAATATTTAAAATTATTAGCCATTTGATTCCTCTTAAAGTCATAGCAAAATTATTCTCCAACCCTGGTTTATGAGGCCGAGTCTTAAAACAAAACTGCACTAATTCTACATAATACCGAGTAATTCCAACTAATGTTATTTTCGACAAGCACACGTTTAATTACTGTAAAACATAAATTGTCTTCAGAAATCTCATTTTAAAAGTTACTTTTTCAATCTTCTCATTATCTTAAATGCTTACTTCTTATTGTTCACTCTTAATTGTTTACTTCTAATTACTTATTTCTAATTGTTTACTTCTTATTGTTACTTCTAATTGCCCGGGCAACCACATATTACAAAAATGACAAATCTCATTCATCCATTCAGCGACACAAAACAAACATGCATTCTTGCCAAATACGGATGTTTGACTCTTTCTATGCATAATTAATAAAGAAAAATGTTTTTCAATACTACAAAATGGTCCTGTTTTCATACTTGAAAGGCTTTACCTCCCCTGAACAATTCTTTTGCAAGTCATGTTTTCATCCACTAGCCATTAAAATATACCTATGCAATTCCATTAAGAGTTTGAAATAAAAGATGTTTTAAGGTATGCATTGATGACTTTTACTTAACTCTGTATTATGTACTTTTTCCCTTTTAAATAATCACGAGATAAACAATGCCCATGCAGCACACATTTAACTAACTTACTACTAACCGACTATCTACCTAACTACCTAACTAACCAACTAGCTAACTAAATATATTCCCTTTATATTTACTTATACCAGAGACATATAAAATGTTTTATAGGTCTCTGCTTATACACACTATATACATTCTTTGACTAAACAATCAATTAATCCCATCCATATCTTGTAGGCGCTCTTCTATTTCTTGCATTTCAATATTGAAGCAAGACTACGCCTTAATAAACCATCCGACGATTTCTTTTCTTCATTTTGATTTTCAGGTGAAACCGTGATTTTGCCATCTGTGTCTTTCTCGTCATGGAGACTTACATTTTTATCTGACCAAATCAAATCAAAGTTTTCATTATTTTCGTCTTTTTCATCTTCATTTTCCCCAACGGCACCTAACACGACAGAACACCCATTTTCACATTGATCCTTCCCCTCCATATTCACAAGGTATCAACTTCTATTTAATGAATGAGCTATAATCTATACGTAATATCAAAACACAAACAGAATCAAGTACGCTTTTATCATCAATACAGGGATTTTTACAAAATACAAAAACCAAAAACTAGATCTCGAACATTCAAATCAAATATTCTCAATTCATAATTTCGTCTAACACCAATTCGGGACAATCCTAACACTATAGCCACAGCCAAACAAATAGATACGCGCTCGATTTTGCCAATTTTAAAGCAATGCGTCTTAGCATGCACAATTGTAGAAATAAAGGATAGAAAGAAAGTAAAAGAAAGTGTTTTTGAAGTAACTAAAACAGGAGCCTGTTACATGAGCTTCTTGTTGATAGCAAATACAGAAATTAGTACAACGCTGAAATGCAAGCGTTTTCGTATTTCAATTTTAAAAGTAACTACAACGGGAGCCCGTCTTCATTACTAAATGATGATTCCCTTAACAATAGCACGTGTAAACATAAAATATTCTCGACTCTTTGTCTTCTCTTTGTTCACAAGATCAAGGTAAAGTTACGCATAAATTAACTGAGCGTACACAAACGCAAGATCATTATCAGTCTTTTTAAGTGAAGATCGTCAACTTAAATGCATGCATAAACAAACATTGTGCATAAAGACAAAGTTAATATCTAATAGTACAGTGAACACAAATACTCTTCATTCAAAGTAAACTGATATGAAGACAAAATCCTAAAGAAAGAGTTGAAGAGAACTAATATTCACTCTTCAGTATAGAATGAACCTAACTTAAAAGAAAGAAACGAAGAGAACTAATCTCCGCTCTTTTGTAAGAGTAAAGCTAAATTGAAGATGCGAAGAGAACTAATCTCCACTCTTCAGTAAAAGTTAATCAAATTTAAAGATGTGAAGAGAACTAATCTCCACTCTTTAATGAAAATAAAGACACCTTAACTGCGAAAAGAATCTCTTTACAAGACAAAGACCAATCCCACCGCTGCCACCAATGAAGCTTCGAGCTTTGTTGTTTAAATAGCTCTGTGGGTTCTTCATAAAATAATATGGATTGGTCTTGTAATGTAAAAAGACAAGATTAACACAGAATTAATATACTCATAAAACTATACTTTATTCCAAGTAAAAGACTAAACATGTACAATTACACTCTTCAGTATAAAATAAAACTGTTCAAAGATAAAGAAAGAATGAAAACGAGATTAATAAGATGAAAAGAAATGATGTGTGATGTTCCCCCCGATCTAACTCTCTACTGAATGAAGCCCAAAATTTCTCTTAAATACCCCCAAGTTATAGGAAATGAAAGGCAATCCCTTACCCTACAAAACCTATAAGAAACCCATTGAAAGATGGCAGCACAATACGGTGAATCAACATGAAAAATGCTATACGCTTAATGGATGCAATTAATGTGGTCGCGGTTATTTTGTGTGGAATCTGACGCTCACGTTGGAAAGGACGAGAACAATGACAATGATGATTAAGCTACTACAGTCATAAAGTGACAGTAAACCAAGTTTGAATAGTCCATATATAAACATATCTGATACTTAATATATATTTATAATGAAGTTGGTGTTTTGCCAACAAGAAAACAACGAGATCCGGTCACAAAAAGACGTCATGGAAAGCGTCATACGCGCATAGTTACCAGTATAACATCGGTATAACAATTATTATCTCGATAAAATTTACTACTAATTAACATAAATGTGCTAAGTGATGTTTCCTCGATACATCAATTATTTCATTGCTTTTTGCTAATTGAAAGTAACTTATGTCGATGCTTCTTGTCACTGACGGCTGAGTGTCTGGCAACGTAGTACATTGTTCAAAGTGAAAAAAAATAAGGTTGGGTTTATTGGCCGTCTCCCGGGCTGTCTCGCTAAACCCTATCAATTAACAATGTTTCAAATTAATTAATATGTTGTTACAGCTAGTCTAGTACTAGTCTTGTTCTGGATGAACTATTTGATTCTTATATTGATCTAGAATAGTGTATTTCTTTTCTGCTCAATTTTGATTAAATTCCTCATGCTCAGGAAAATGAAATACCGCAAAGTATAGAATAATCGACAAACGATCAAGAAACGATCTAATGCGGGGACAATATTATTCTAGATTCCACAATGTCTGTATTCTGCATTCTGATACTCATCACATCTTTCTGCCTTCAACTAGAAATATGCTTCTAGAGAAAAGCGAATAGAATGCCATGATTTCTCATGATGGTATTCTGATACTCAGACCATCTATCTCTCTTCCTTGCAAAGAAAGGAACTGATAGGAGACTGTTATATCTCAAGATGCTATGCCTGAATTCTTGAACAGTCGCTGCTTAGTGCTTACATCTCTATACTAATTGTCAAAACGTAAAAAAGCTGTTATTCTAGTCGTCATTAAACGAGTGGTTTGTTGTTTAATCCTAGGCTATCTTCAATCTTGCCTTTCTTGTCGAACAAGATGTCACCCTTCCAGCGTCCATTCTAGACCGTCTGCATGTTCCCAAAGAGCGTCAATCTAATAATGTTACTATATTACTGGACCTTTATTCGAGGTGAGTTGCTCTTCTATGTTTTTGCTTGCTTTTTGTTTAATGCATTTGTGTAAACTTTATATTGAGGTGACTATCATTTTTTTTGTTCAAAATAAACCTTATTTTTGGGCTTGTTTATGCCACAATCGCACCCCCTGACTGAAAACCGAATATTTTCTGGCGCTCGCACCACCCTGACTAAAAGCTGGCTACGCCCCTGCAGTACCTTCTATGTATTTAATCAAAGTATTATATTGTTTTGTAGATGCGCCGAATCTCGACAAACCGAGGCGTATTTGCCTTGTAAACTAGCCTTCTTCAGAGTTCAATTCATGGATATGTGGGTCAGATACCAATTTATGATGAAGGTATGCAAACTAAGTAACACACGTATTAACTGTATAACGTAACAGTTTAAATAAGACATTTAATTAGTCAAAGACATCTTCTTATTAAAGGAGCACTTCTGAACATCCAAGTAACAATAATTGAAAACAATAATTATGCCTCCTCAATCGAAATTTCTGCCTGACTTATTCACTTTCTACAAGCATGTAGCTCTGTCGTTGCATTGGTGAATCGCAAACTTTCTTGACATGTTAGACAATTAAATTAACTTGATTTGATTTCAGCTTTCTAGCATCTTTGGAGCAGTTGTCGTCACTTCCTTAACGTTAACGTGGATATTTGCGTACATTAGACGCATTCGCTTAGATGTGACAACAGTTTAAACAACGGACTAGATCATTCACACGATGAATTTCTTCATTGACAATGTATGGTCGTCAAAACATCTTCGAACAACCCGTTTTCAATTACAGGCCCTGGTAGAATGGATCTTATAAACGCTCCCATGTCGATATCTGATATTGTTCAACGGTATTTGCACGTATTTTGAAAGAATGTTTAAAGTCATGTTTTAAATAATCCCATTTGATAAGTAACAACTTCAATGAAGTCAGATCTGTATCGCAATTGAAAGGACATTTATTACATTGAACTGCTTTTATGTAAAAAATATACGTATTTATAATGTCGTATTACAACGAATGAAATACAATTAATATTTGAAAGAATAAAGAGAATCGTTCCTATTTATAAATAAATATGTTTTTGTAAAAACATTACACACAACGTAGGTTCGTGGATATTATGAGTGATGTTGAGTATTAACCAAATCGACAGTCAACAAAGACCAGACACAAAACACACAACTATTAATGTGTAATGGTATTGGCAATCACGAGTTATATATTTCGGATATTTTGAGAAGTATCACTTGGCAATTTACTTGATCACTCCAAGATTCATATTCTAGTCCTCGAAGCGCAGCCACTAATTGGTATAGTTAATTAGTTTTAGCATAGTTTTACATAGTCTCCACAATTTAACTTCAGCGGAATATGTTTTTCTCACCTGCAGAATATGCCTTATACCGTAGGTGAGTATCGCATATTTTTGAACAGTGAATGTTGAAGTTGTTTACAACTAAAAAAAACGCGAATGTTGATCACTGCTCAAAAAACTTTAGAAACAACCTTTTCTTGACAACAGAGAACATGCCTAAGAAATACAAAATACCCCCAGATATGCTGGATAGAGCAGTGAACAACTTCAGATTTTGCGTTGGAGCAGTCATCCAGAACCGTGGAGTATGAATTGAGGGCACCATCCAGAAATCAGGCATGTCTGTTGATACCATGTATCTTCTGCTAGATTTAAGACTGATCGGTGACCTTTATGGTACATACGAAAACGTTAGACCTTCCTCTGAAATATGTAAGAAAATTAGCCCATTTGTGTGGATAGTAACTGAGATATAGGTTGTTGCAACGGTTCGCTTTTTGGACCACCCTGTATTTAAAAAGAACACTTGATATTAAGAGTATTAACAATAGAAAACCTGAATTATCAAGATTCACATTACGAGGTCACCTAGGATTCAATATTCAACAAATAATTTATCGATGCTATTTTAATGGATTATATTTAGTATCATAGGATAGTATAATGTATGAGACAAGTCATCATTTTGTTGGATAGCAAGCTCATCAATACAACACCGGGTCCGTACAGACGTATCCACATCCATTCGAGCAGCACTTTTTGCTGCCTTGACATTCACCATCACTTTGACATCGAACTTCACATGTTCCAATAGTGCCAGGGGGCAATGTTGGACAAGACGCAGATTCAACTGAAACAAAATCAACAGCATCTTCGTGATCTCCGGTTTTCCTCGAACGCAGAGGTTTATTCATATCGCCACTTAGATATGACAATAAATTTGACTATGGTCTGTGGTCTTCAAACACCTCAAATCTATTGATCGTGTTTCGGTCTGAACACCAACGTCGATGAAAACACATACCGTCCATTAGGGATTCTCATAATTAAAGCCCATCTTTTAATTTAGTTTCTTTCAGTGAGGACCAAGCGTTGAAAAATATTTTGACTTTGAATATTCCATATGATTAGATTTAACTTAACTATTTGTATGGTGTTTTAGAATACCTTGTTCTGAAATATATTTATTAGGTCCTTTAGCTTAACGCTCATCAGAATGTAAATCATAAAATAAATCATAACAAGTACAGAAATGGACGTTCAATATCAATTATGAGTTTGAAGAAAGTCTCTGCTTGATCATCCTATAAACTTAAATGTTTGATGAAAGAAATATAAAATAAAATGTACCTGGAACCTCTTCTTCAGTTGCATCGATATCAAATGGTTCCATCAAGATTTCAAAGTCCGGTTCTATATCTTCATCTACAAAATATCATATGTCAATACCAATAGGCCTAGCATTTCCTTCCGTTATATTCATCTTACTGTTTTTGTGTTTACCCTTTCCATTGTTGTTTTTCTATAAACCATTAAAACTATGGAGGGATGTGTTCTCTTTGGGGAGTGGGTGTGTGTGGATGAAAATGCAAAAAATACAACGTACAATACTAAAAAATAACTTTAAAATAAGAAACGTCATAGGTCCGGGTTCATGTACAAACATCGAATCTGAGTTTCCCACGACTGTTGATATATGTTGCCGGGGCTATATATAGGAAACATCTTACCAGTCGGATCTTGGAGTGCGGGATCCATACAGGCGTATCCACATCCATTCGAGCAGCACATTTTGCTGCCTCGACATTCACTATCACTTTGGCATCGAACGTCACATGTACCAATGGTACCAGGGGGTAATGTTGGACAAGACCCAGATTCCGCTGAATACGAAATAAAATCAGCAACATTTTTGTAACACATACATATCATTTGCCCCTTATGTAAAGAGGGACTCGCATACTGCACGTTGACATCAAATTCCAAATAATTGCAATTTGTATAGTTTCTAAATAGCTGGATAACACGCGGACATATTAGATGTCACCCTTGTTTGGCTTTGGTTTTCTTTTGCCAGACCTCCATTAATATTCGCTTCAATGCTAGAAACTTGCAATAGTCACTTAACTTCATGATTTATCAAAAAGTGTTGGTTGAATCTGTCTGAAACTCGAATGGCATACTACTGGATGACCCTGTCAATGAACATATTGTGATTAAACATGAAAATGTTGGTTGCCATACGAATAAGCCAAGGTTTTAATGAATTTTAGCATTTAGTAGGGCCAAATGTCATGGGAAATGATTCAAATGACATAACCGTATAAAGCTATTATTGGAGAAAACTTGTCAATGAATTCAAATATGCTATCAAAAATAAAGAAAAGGTGTAAGTCATTAGAGGTAAAACGTGCAAATCTCTTAAAATCACATGAAAACGAGAATTAGCGAGATTTCAAAGCTATCTAGAAACTCCGATCGTGGTTTATGGCTTGTACTAAAAAAGCGCACAACTCCTTCTTTTATCCAATGGCCCCAAGGCTGCGTTTGCGTTTGTAGCATTTGATTGGTTCAAATAAGAGTTTTGAGATCGTTGATATAGTGAGGTCGAGCTTTAGTTGTTTTAATTACCTTCAGCGACAAACCCAATAATCGCAATGACCAACAGTAACTTCATCATTATGATCTGAAACAAATTATACATTCAAATTATTTTTATATATACATAGTTTATGGTTATGTATTTCATGAGCTTTTAATTTTTGAAATGTGAACCCCCATGTTTGTTTTAAAAAGTGACCCCCTCCTTGGTAAAAGCTGGCTACGAGCCTGCTATAATGTGTATTGTATGCAAGGGGTAGATAGGATCAACGGAAAGATATGACTCGTAGTCTCGTACACGGACTTTTTCCAATTATGTGCATGGTAAAACACGCGATCGAGTACGACTCTACACGAGGGATGTCCCCACGAGCTGAGTAGTTTAAGATACTACTGAAACATGAACGTAGGCAGCTTGCATTCAGGGGGGTGCGGGGTGTCTGGAGTCCTTGGGTTCGGAGGATTGTGAAATACAACATCGATGTCATAAAGCCAATGAATTCAAACCTAAATGCCATTTAGTAAATGGGTTATTGTGAAATTCTTTTGGAACACTCGGTGCATGTGAACATAACAAAAGGCAGTCATTGATATTATACTAAAGTATATTTTACTTATCAAGAGTCGTTTCGATTTCTAAAGTGCATTCAGTTGTTCATATATATAATTTTTTCTGATATCAAAAAACATAGGGAAAAAAACATAGGGAAATTAATAAGCCTTTTTATTCTCACTTTTCAACACTACGCATTGGTGTTTTGGCGTACGTTGTTCCTACGCCACTGATTATACTAAAGTATATTTTACTTAGGAAATAGTCGTTTCGATTGGTAAAATGCATTCATCAGTTCATATAGTTATAATGTTTAAAGTTTTTCTGATTTCAAAAAGCATCAAGAATGAATAGTTTTCCACGCAACAATTCCGATGAAAATGACATCACACACTTGAAATATAAAATGTACAAATGAATTTAGACGTATGTAGTGAAATCTGTAAAGTGGAACCTCTCTAAAAGTGAAACACGTCTGTGAGTGGAACACTTTTCAGAGTCCTATAAGTGCAGAGCTGTCAAGTGTCCCGCGAATGGCGGGATCATCCCGCGAATTCGATCAAAATTAGGCTAATTCGCGTGTCCCGCAATGTCCCGCGAAGTCCCGCAAATGTGGCTTTCGACCTCCGCGAATTTCCAAATTGTTGCAATCCCCTATATGGTGATTATCTTATCTTATATAAGAAGCTAAGTTTTTGCACTTTTGAGGAGTAAAGTTTACCTAATTTTAAGTACCTAGCATGCTGTTGTTTGGTATCAAAATAAAGAGGAAGGGTTCAACTTTCATTTTAATTACGACAATAGGGATGTAGGTCACAAATAGTTCCAACGTTGGCCTTTTTACTATCCGTGTGGCCTTCATCTCAGAACTGAGCAAATGTTAGCAAACGCGAGTTACAATAAATGGACGCTGATATCTAGAAAGGGTTTGTAGAAAAAACCGGGTACCGGGTAGTAAATCCTCCATGCTGGGTTCAAACTTGGTACCCGGTACCCGGTCAAAAAACGGGTACCCAAAAAATGAAAAATACGAATATACGAGTATAACATAATTAGATTATCAGAAAACGTGTAAGATTTGTTTTGAATTTACAAAAATGTATGTAACATCCTTCAAAATTGAGCTAGAAGCTTCAAATAAAAAGCATATTTTAAGGCTCTTTTCTTCCTCTATCGTCATGACCATATTTTCATTGGTTATGTTCACGTACCAACATACGAACTCATTGAAAATAGAGTAAAATTGATTTGTCTTGTTATTCAAATCGTCTTACAATGTCATTGGCGTAGCCAGGAGAGGGTGTGATGGTGCGATCGCACCCCCTCCCCCTTCATTACCAATGAAAATATGACCATGATGATAGAGGAAGAAAAGAGGCTTAAAATGCTTTTTATTTGAAGCTTCTAGCTCAATTTTGAAGGAAGTTACATTTTTGTAAATTCAAAACAAATCTTACACGTTTTCGAATGATCTAATTATGTTGTATATTCGTATATTTCGTTTTTTGGGTACCCGGTTTTTCGACCGGGTACCAAGTTTGTCTACGTAAATTTTATTTTTATTATTAATTGCATTACACTTACATGTACATATTTATATTTACATTTACATGTACATAAATAAGAATGAAGGAATAAAAAAAAAAAAAAGTTTGAACCCAGCATGGAGGATTTACTACCCGGTACCCGGTTTTTTCTACAAACCCTATCTAGAAAAGTAACCTCATTCCCTATAATTTGATGTAGATTAATCGAACCCCTATATCATGCCTACAGTATGGTAGTAGTTGGTCACGACGCCAGAAGCAGAGAAGTGCAAAGTATTGTTCCAAATTTTTGAATTTCGTGTTAGATTACGATACTCACACCTCAAGCATGTTTTTTGTTTTTGATAAATTACAATAAAGTTTAATAATATTTCTATGCGTATTTTGTGAAATTATGTTGACGTTTATTTAAGTTACAATGTAACGGTGCATTATATTTGATTAATCAGTATCTGAAAGTTTGATTCAAGTACTTTTACACGCTTTTACATTAGTCCAAATTACGCAAATCCCTTGAATGTCCCGGGACATCCTGCAAATTTAGGTGGATGTCCCGCGAAATCCCGCAAATTTAGGGCACTTTTTCTGTAAATCTGTCCCTCTATGAAGTTTTTGCTGGTAAACCTGTTAACTGTCCCGCAATTAGGGTGTTTGTCCCTCGAATGGTCCCGCGAAATCACGCGAATTTGATAAAAAAAATTGGCCTATAAGCGCAATCACGCAAATCCCTTAAATGTCCCGCGAAATCCCGCGAATTTAGTGGATGTCCCGCAAAATCCCGCGAATTTTGGGCACTGGGTCTAAAAAATCTGTCCCGCGAGAAAATCTTTGGGGGTTGACAGTACTGTAAGTGGACTACCTCCGAAGAGGAACACTTATACTGTATTTCTATTTTATTCATATGCGTAAACATAGTTCAAAAAGGTTTTTCATAAGCTGTAATAAAAATAATACTCCAGAAAAATCATTCTTAGCCCACTGCTTAGCCCTTGTACTTTTGCTTTAATTATTGAAATTGGACGAAGAACCTTACCTTGTTGTTGCAACACTAACGTACAGACACAAGTTTAGGAGATTTTATAGCAAAATCTTTCTACGTCGTGTATCATTCCGTTCGAACTCTGATTGAAGTCTGGTGACCTAGGGAGTAGAGATATAAGTTTGAAAATGGTGGTTATATAACGGGTGGCATGGTTCTCAGTATGTTTGAAACAAAACTTTTTTATCGCACTTTGAAAAAGTGCTATATTGTTGTCGTCTTGTGCTGTTGGGCGGGCGGGCGTGCGGGCGGGCGGGCGGGTCATAAACCAAATCTTGTCATCAAATTTCCAGGATAACTGCTTACCTGTTCAACTTGAAATTTTTACAGATGCAAGAGCAGACTAGTACCAAGATCTGATTAGGTTAAGGGCATGCTGGGTAAACTACGTGGCGGCCATTTTGAATTTTTCAACAAATCTTGTCATCAAAATTCCAGGAAAACCACTCATCCGTTCAACTTGAAATTTTTACAGATGCAAGAGCAGACTATTGCCAAGATCTGATTAGGTTTTGGGTATGCTGGCTGAATTACATGGTGGCCATTTTGAATTTTTCAATTTGGCGGCCATTTTGAATTTTTCAACTTGCTCCAAATTGACCAATTTTTTTTTAAAAAAACATCTACAAGTTCTCAGAAGTTCAAATCTGACCTTAGATTTCAGATTTGACCTTTCATTCACCTTCAGTGACCTTGAAAAGGTCAAAAAAGTTGATTTTCTAAATTGATATTTTGGATTTAAATTTAGGTCAGCTTAATTACAAAACACCTACTGAGGTCTGAAAAAGTGAAATTTTCAAGGTCGAAGGTCAAGGTCATTAAACTAGGCCACAAATGATGTTATCCAAGTTTCTCAGAGTTTGAGACTACAAATCAATCTTGTCATCAAAATTCCAAGAAAACGGCTAACCTGTTCAACTTGAAATTTTTACACATGCAATAGCAGACTAGTGCCAAGATCTGATTAGGTTAAGGGCATGCTGGGTAAACTACGTGGCGGCCATTTTGAATTTTTCAACAAATCTTGTCATCAAAATTCCAGGAAAACCACTTATCCGTTCAACTTGAAATTTTTACATATGCAAGAGCAGACTATTGCTAAGATCTGATTAGGTTTTGGGTATGCTGGCTGAATTACATGGTGGCCATTTTGAATTTTTAAATTTGGCGGCCATTTTGAATTTTTCAACTTGCTCCAAATTGACCAATTTTTTTTTAAAAAAACATCTACAAGTTCTCAGAAGTTCAAATCTGACCTTAGATTTCAGATTTGACCTTTCGTTGACCTTCAGTGACCTTGAAAACGTCAAAAAAGTTGATTTTCTAAATTGATATTTTGGATTTAAATTCAGGTCAGCTTAATTACAAAACACCTACTGAGGTCTGAAAAAGTGACATTTTCAAGATCGAAGGTCATCAAATTAGGTCACAAACAATGTTATCTAAATTTTCCCAAAGTTCAAGACTACAAATAAATTCTTGTCATCAAAATTGCAGGAAAACCGCTAACCTTGTCAACTTGAAATGTTTACAGATGCAAGAGCAGACTAGTGCCAAGGTCTGATTAGGTTTTGGCCATGCTGGGTAAATTGCATGGTGGCCAGTTTGCTCTTCAAAGTGCGATATTTATCACTGTGTGTCTTGTTTTAATAATTATTTGGTAAATCGCTTGTCAACTTGACATGATTGTCATTGCTGGGTTGGGCTGACATGGCCGATCACAAACTGACACACAAAAGGTATAGTCCAGCCAATGGCGTAAGCTACTCAATGAATCAACGGATTGCCTTATTTTGCCATAGTCCTGGTATGAACTATGAAATTCCTAGGACGACTAATAAAAGAGCTGCTAACACAATGTAGCGCAGCATTACACATGTCCCGTTTTGTTTTTATGTCACCACCAAAAAGTGGTGACATATTGTTATGGTCTTCGCTTTTTTTGTGGCGAAGATCGGCGGTTGATGGTTGGCGATCGGCGGAGGGCGTCCGTAACAAATTATTAAAACTTCCAATAACTTAACAAATACTGTTTAGACAGATTTCAAGCTTTTTGAAAACCTTTATTTTGACCTTCATTGACATTTTCAAGGTCAAGAAAGGTATTTTTCAAATTGCTTCAAATTGCCCAATTTTTTCAAAATCATCTACAAGTTCTCAGAAATTCAAATCTGACTTAGGATCGAACTAATAATTTTGTGAGTAACTACTGTAGGTGGTGACATTTTGTCATGTTAATGCCTTGTTTATTATGGTCGTTCATTATTCTTAGGGCCTCTGGGCTGAATTATGCGTATCATTAGCAGGGGTAAAATATATTATTTAAACACTTAATCCCCTTTCTACATTTTGGCGTATATAATGCATAATGCTACAGAAAATTAGATGAAGTAAATTTTGAATGTATGTTTTAGGTTTCTCAGCTATAAATCTGAGGTTATTTTTTAAAATATACAAACAAATTACTTAATCAGTACATCATCAACATTTTGAATAGTTGCTTCAATATTGGAGATGTAAACGCATCAATGCATCGTTTTTATTTTAGTTGGCATATTCTAAAATTGTGGTCGTTTCTTTTTTAGATGTGGACTGTGATCGCCAAGGGTCAACTATCAATAAAGGAGGACTTATTCCCATTCTTTTTGACTGTGGCTACGGCTAATAACTATACTCCTCAAAAAAAGTTAAGGACCACTTTTTACTTTTTGTATAACTTTTTCAAATGACATTGTTTACAGCTAAAAGTGCTATTATATAACTGCACTGAGTGCCCTCAATCACACTCAAATCAACTGCATACATGATCAGTTTCAGTTATTGCATAATATGTTCTGGTTCATTACACATCCTGAATTGTTGGTTTTAGGGGCATGAACTGACCTCATGGAGTGTAACAAAAGGTGGGTCAAATGCATTTTCTTGCATAACTTACACTACTGCTTACATTACTTATGCCTTGGTCACATAGGCTCCGATTTTCACTACGGCGCCCGGCCGATTGAGTATTTTGTTCAAAATTGAATACAATATTGAACAAAACACTCAATCGGCCGGGCGCTGGCCGAAGGATCGGAGCATATGTGACCCAGGCATTACAATCAGACAACATTTTGACAATGCCAAGACGTCGCTTGAATGCAACTGAGGTTGCTAGAGCACTAGGGATGCTGGAAGCTGGCTTTAGCCAGCGAAGGGTAGGTGAAGTGATGGGTGTATCCCATAGTGTCATAAATCGAGCAAGCCAACGGCACAGGGAGACAGGGCAATACACAGAGAGGCCCCGCAGTGGCCGACCATCTGCAACAACCCCCAGAAATGACCGCTATTTGATGAATCTCAGCCTCCGCAACCGCTTTAGTAGTGCCCGTCGACTCAATAATGCCTTTGCTGATGCTACTGGAGTCATTGTTTCCACTCAAACCATCCGTAACAGACTTCATAGAGCCAATATGCATGCCCGAAGGCCTGTAACGCATGTCCCACTGACCCCTGCCCACAGAAGAATCCGTCTCAACTGGGCCCGTGAGCATGTCAGATGGACCCGACTGCAGTGGGGCCATGTTCTGTTCACCGATGAGAGCAGGTTCACTCTTGATCACAATGATGGACGTGTTAGAGTCTATAGAAGACAAGGAGAGAGATATGCTGATGCTTGTGTCACAGAACATGACCGCTATGGGGGAGGCAGCATCATGGTGTGGGGAGGCATTTCCTATGATAACCGTACTCGGCTGTATGTGGTTCCCGGGGGATCAATGACAGGCGTACGATACAGGGATGAGGTCATTGATCCCATTGTGTTACCCTTTGCAGAAAATGCTGGGGAAAACTTTGTTTTTATGGATGACAATGCCCGCCCCCACCGAGCTAGGGTGGTGACCGAGTACCTAGAGGACCATGGGATCGACCACATGGACTGGCCTGCAAGATCACCAGACTTAAATCCGATTGAGCATACCTGGGACATGTTGGGGAGGAGTATTGAAGAGCTTGAAGTTCAACCAGTTGGGATACAGCAGCTAGCAATTGCTCTAGAGGCTGCATGGGACGCTATGGACGTAAGAGATGTCAATGACCTCATAAACTCGATGAGACGGCGATGTCAAGCTGTTATTGCAGCTAGAGGTGGCCATACTCGATATTGAGACTGATTTAAAGACATTCAAACCAAAATCTTGAAAAAAATGTGTTTTGACTTTTGATCCTGTATGTCCATTTTGAGATCCGTCCAAGTGCTCACCCAAAAAATGGCATCAAATGAAGTGAAAAATGTTTCATTTCTGTTTTACAATAAGAACACAATCTAGACAAATAAAACGTGAAAGAATAGCACCTCATTATCTACATTGAAAAAAGTTATGTGAAAATAAAAAAGTGGTCCTTAACTTTTTTTGAATATTCATTCAACAATAACATTGACCATGACTTGTTAATAAGACATATGTATGATTCTCATTAACAAGTGTTTGGAACTAAATTAGCTTGAGCAATTAAACCACTTCTAAACCACTATATCACACCCAGACCTCTAGTTGTTTTAAAACCACTATGTCGCATATGCCTCGATCTAGTTCTTTGCAGCCTAGAGCACTTAGAACAACTTGAAGGTCATATACTATATGTATCAAAATATAAGTAAAAAGCTGAAAGGGAAACAAAAATGAGTGTACATTCCATGAGTACGCAGCCTATTTTATACCTATGTAGTATCATGTAATAAATTGAGTCATCGTGTAAGGGTGTGTTTGATGGTATAATTTAGTCATATAGGCCTATATATAACATTGTGGGTTTTCGTCATGATTGTCTCATGTTCTTTTTTTCCATTTCTGATAAAATGCAAATATACTTGTACGTCTCTATTTCTAATTTGAGTACTTTCGTGATTTCATAGATGCATGCAGTGTCGTGATCGAGATGATTATAAATATTTAACATTGGTTTTATTTTTCTCATTTACAAGAGTTATTTTATTTGTAAAGTATCATTTAATTGCTCGTCTTCAAATGAGAGAGTTTACTGCTTTATTGTTTCCTTGAAGATGTTGCTGTTTATATTGTGGATATTAATTTAGATAAAATGACCCTTCAGACCTTATTTTGATGAAAAACAATTGCGAAATCAGAAAATACTGCCAGACAGTATAAAACAAGCCATTAACATGATAAAGTCAATTTGAGGCAAGTTGAAAAAAAAAGATTTCGACCTTTTGTACCTTGAGATGGTCATTAAAGGGCAAGTCTTCAATCTAAAAATCACATTTTAACTTCTGAGAACTTGTAGATGATTTTGAAAAATTGGTCAATTTGTAGCAAGTTTAAAAAGACCTTTTTGACCTGTTTTGGACCTTGAAAAGGTCATTGAAGTTCAAATCTCAAATTTCAGATTTGAACTTCTGAGCACTTGTGGATGATTTTTTAATTTAATTCTCCTTTTAATCCTTTTATCCGTTTAATAATCAAGAGGATGTATACATTCTATAAATGAGGTAATGTCACATATTGAGAACGTCATGCACCTGTAAAACATATACATCATTATTAGATGCCATTTATATTGGTCTCTAATTCATAAACCTTGTTGGAAGGGAAGCCATAGCGCCAACCGACAATAATGCTTTTAGTAGCTTAGACGACCATTTCATCTCTGGGAAAGATTTATACTCAAAATACTTGAGTGCTAATGAGTGTAAATATCAGTTAATCTCTTTGAACAATGTGTCTTTTATAATAAGTACATCTAAATTACTTTAAGTTGTCCCTCTATATCACGTAGATGATGTATTTTGATTTTGTGCGCTCTTTAAACGTTACTGACCTTTAAGAATGGGACAGATGCGGGGTACAATATGTAGGTCTAACAATGAGTGCAATGTTCCGTTTGAAGTATTGATTGAACAGTATTTATAGTTACGTTAGATTATGTAAGTGGAGATTCTTTATTAGAGTGTAGAAAATTTGAATTGTTCATATCTAAGTAGGCTAGAGTGAAACCTTTAATGATAGGAGCTTTGAAAAATGTCCGAAACAAAAATAGCGGTAATTAACAAAGAAATGCATCGCTTTCCAAATCAGTTTTTTCATTTCTTAGGAATGAATTCAAATTTCCAAGGCTCTTATCATTTAATTAGGCACATATTCTGAAAAAATCAAAAGATTAGATGTATTGTGACCTTTCTGATAGTACAACTTTTAGCTATTTTCAGTCATATTTTCAGAGGGCTGAATATGCTATTTCATCATGTTTAGAGTTATTTTGACCTTGCCAATCGTGATTCTGGTTAATGTAAATGATATGTGATAGTAAAACAGACTATAAAGGAAAAAAACAGAACTATGTTATCTTAGTTTAAAAAAATCAAAAACCCAGCATGTTTTTTGGAATTGTCACTTCCTCCTTTGTTCTGTTAACGACCATGGTACCTTAACAGTGCAACATAACAGTCGCTAATAGAAAATAGATCGTTTTTATACTGAGAGCACATCAAAACATTGATGTGGGATAATTAACTTGACGTCACTTCAAAATCACGAGGGAATTTAAATATCGCACATAGCAGCCTAGTACTGTAAAAAACTCATCAACATAGTAATACTACAAATTCTCGGGGCTTTTTAGCTCATTTCATTTGTACTTGTGCCCATGGTATTGTAATATAAAGAACATAAAATCACAAAAGGTTCTGCATGTCACTTATTGCTATTGTTATGCCATCGTGAAATCGTAAACTTTATTGACATCTAAGACAATTTAATTAACTTTGCTTGATTTCAGCATTCTTCCATCTTTGGAGCAGTTGTCATCACTTTCTCAATAACCTCAACATGTACATTAGACGCCTTCGCATCTAGATGTCACAACAAACCTAAACATAATTATGAAAATAGTTCCCGACAACCTACTTGAATATGTACAGACATGATAGAAATTGTGCTAAAAACACCATTTGTGAAATTCAAACCTAAGATGTTCTACCGACTGGGCTACCTGAACTTCAGAAGGAAAATTTTGAGAAAACCACATGTTAGAAGCACCTCATCTTTTGCGAAAATTAATTAACTAGGATATTGCCATAGTTTTACATCGCGAAAGACAAGATTGGAATACGGGAATGTTTATATTAGAATAAGCCCCATGGGTAAATAACTATAATATTCTTAGCTTCGAAAAAGCCTAAATCCATTTTAAAGTTAACAACGGGGTATTTACAACACGTCATACTTAGAATACAATAGGTTTAAGAATCCCTCAATTTGCAACTTGTCGAGAAATCATGGAAATGTACCCCCAGACGATTCATTTCCCTCCCTTACACATATCCTTATCTTGTAGAGACTATCCTGTTGTCGTTTAAATCTCAATGATCCAATAAATATTTAAACACTCACTGCGTGTCTTATCCCACTGATTAGAGCGTTTTACCACAGAGATAATATCAACTTACCAACCTCCAGACTCCATCCCAGGCCTCGCGGGACCCTCTCTTCAATTATTGTCAGCCAGTCTACATTCATTCTAGTGTATGGGTTGAGTACGCTATGTACAGGGTGAGCCAGAAAGGTAACCCAAACAAATGTTTATAACTCAGTCATTCAGCATAGGTTTAAAGTCATATTTGACACAACTAAACCTTGTTCAATGTTTTCATTCTACCAAGTTTTCATTGGTCTATTCTACGATTTTATGGCTATTTTACAAAACATGCTCAAAATGCCGTTCACATCTCTGGATGCAAACATTCAGTGAAGTTGTTTGCTCATAGATATATTGTGTAAAGGCTCTAATTTTCACTCTAATCTCTTTTTTCAACTCGCTGATACTTCTAAGCCACTTCTGGATGACATACTTATTTACACATGATTGGCTTTCTTGGCTCACTCTGTATCTACTTTATAAAATCACTGTTGATATATTGCCTAGTAATCTATTAAGTAAGACAGAAGAAGGCGTAGACAAAATAATTAACTTATCACATATTATTATAGTACATAAAATAATATATTTGTAGCCTCTGCTGATTTAAATTATATTACATCCACGGTGTCTTATATTGCACTATTGTTCATTGAGTATTATCATTTAGTACATCTTTGTATCCGAGGCATTCCCCGCCCCCTCCCTAGTTGAGTATATTGGCTTAAAGGGACATTTCTATTGTAATGAACAGCGTATTGTTTTGTTTGGCATCTGCTTGGAGACCAATATGCGGGGGAGGATGTCATATATAAAGTAGTACAAATGCAAATAAAAACACACATATCATTGAGCATTCAGATGCAGAATCCTTTATAATATCTATAGATGCCAAACTTGACTTGAGTGAGTAAGAACATCTTAGTTAGGAATCATGAAACAACTCACATCAGTTATGACTCTGCTTTTGCAAAGTACTTTGACATTATTTTTAGTGCTGTGTTCCACAGAGATAAGGGTAGACGCCTTCACAGTTTCGTCAGACAAAGAATTGAAAGATATTTTAAAAGATGTTATACAAAATGTATTATTGGAATCTTCGCCAACATTTCAACTAGACAATAGAAATACAGGTAACAACATTTTTATATACATTTATATTTAAACAAAAGGAGTGGTATCGATATGGAGAACTGAATTCAACACTGTTTTTCTCTTAAACCAATCATTGAAAACATTCTGTAAAAAACACGGTATTTTATGTAATGTTGACTGATTGACAACAATTTAATGCGAAAATAATTTAGAAATATTTTATATAACTGTTTTTGTTAACATTTTTTGTTTTTTAGTGCAATTGTTTTTGCTCCTTTCTACCAATTCTTGAGAATGAAATAAAATGTCTTTCCGAACCTTGTTGGAACAAAATAGCATGTTTTAGACCTCTCAATATTATAGTTATACAAAGGAATTTTTGGTTGATTTTAAAAAGTATTCCAAAAATTAAAACAAAATCCCCCCAAAATAGATAAAAATCAAGATAAACCTTTTATTTCATTAACAAGATACTTTTTTTAAGTCAACCAAAATTCCCTTTGTACAATTACAATATTGAGAGACCTAAACATGTTGTGTTTATGTCGTTTTGTTCCAATGAGGTTCGGAAAGATGTTTCATTTCACTCTGGAAACATGATACCCAGAACAAAACAAGTGTTTGACATGTTTTCTAAAACAATATAGATGAAAGTATATAATTATATATGTTTTTCAAATTATATTGTTACCATTCAAAAGATGAACATTAAATTGACGATGTGTTAAATTTTTATATTTTTTTATGACTAGTTTAAGAGAAAAGTTCTCCATATCGATACTACTCCTTTGCGAGCATTTAATGGGCGAAAGCCAAAGCTAGTAAAGTATTTAATATTCTATTATATGATTACAATATACTGAGAAAATGCATATTTTTGAAAAAAGTAAATTTTTGAGAAAAGGATTTTCAGAAAAATGATTTTTTCTGAAGAAATTTTTGAAAATGGAAAAATAGGGGGACGACCATGTGAATATGATATCAATACGGGGACGACTGGTTGAATTTTCAAGATCAGTCATATGGTGTTATTCAACGATTTGAGTGAAATACAGAAAAAATTCCCGAGAAGGTCTGTATTTCACGATGCGCTAGTGGAGTGAAATACAGACGTTCAAGGGGAAAATATTTTCTGTATTTCACGAGAAATCATTGAAAACGTTTTTATTCCATTATTACTCATATAAACCCCCCAAAAATCAAGTCCATTTTCTTGGCTTGACCGGAGAAACAGAGCAATCTTCTTTTTGATCGATATTCCTTCAAATGCTTATTGTATTCTACGGCACGTTTGATTTTCTGTCTTTTCTCTTTAATTTCATCAGCTAGAAGTGCAGTGTAGCGAAACGTTTTTTGACTTTCGTCTGCCATATCGGATTTTTACGAGTTGATGTACATGCTTCAAAGTGAATTCTTATATTAACAAATGCGTAATTTCTATCCTAAAATTATGAATTGCGATGATCAAAGTGTCATTTCCTGATATTCAAATTTTCGAGTAAAATGCAAAGATTAACATGCGTTTAGTGAAAACTAATCGCCATTGATTTTTTCAGAAAGTTGACGTTATTTTCACTCGGTATCCAACGCTATGTGGAAAGTGCGGGTAAATACAAGATATCATTTAAGTCACATGGACCAATCAGATTGCAGGGAATTTCACCATCATGGAATAAACTTGAGTATTTGATTGAATCAGTAATGTTTCATCCATATTATTTTAATCGCTGTCCACCAGGCAATGGTTTGGTTGTTTTATTGATTAACATGTTGTTTTTTGTTTATTTTGATTGTTCTGTTGGTAATAAAGTAATGCATTGTTGAGATTATGTTACAATAAAATATGTAGGAAGTTTGTCCTCGGTGTTGGGATTATGTCCAACCCCCCCCCCACCCTTATATCGTTGGTCCGTTGGAATATAAACTCAATCTGGCTGTAGTTAGGTAGCTACATGATATACTGCGGCGTATAGCTATTTTGCGAGAACTAAATTCTTACATGTGCCTACTAGAGTTGTTTCTGAAACCCTCCCTGTTGCGACAACAAGTCATTAAGAATGTATTAAATGAAATGAATAAAATAAAAACATCAAAAAGACCAGATTAAGTACACCAAATAACGTGCACGAAACTGAGGAGAACTCGAAAAATAAGAAGCAACAAAAGCGCGTATGACCGTTTACCCTTAAAGGCCCCATATAAAGTTTAAGCCACTTTGGTTTATATTTCAAAAAGTGTTTTTTAAGAGACTTTGTCCGAAAAATCGTGAATTTATTCAAAACTGAATTTTAGATCTCACATATATCTTTTAATAAGCGATAATTCACACCAATGCGTAGCATGCATAAAAATAAGCGATGCATCCATACACGAAAGTGTTTCAGAGAAAAATGCATTCTAAAATTTTGGTTCTCATTGAAACCAATGTAAGTAATACTTAAAACAAAACATATTGTTCTTTTCAACCTAGTAAACAATCAACATTGGTTTATTTTAAAAGTTTGGCATATTTAGAAAAAATTGACTTAAAAAATTTTGAAACAATTTTGCACCCTAAATGACATGACGATGATGTCACTAAGGGTGCATTTTTTATATGCTAAATATTAAATTGGCACGTTGCATACTAGTATGATATTTTGTTATTGAAACAGTATGTTCTTTGTTTAATCTTCACAGTGGTGTTATTAAAAATTAGTATGTTTTGCACTAGTGGAATATTGATGATTTAAAAATTTCAACTTTTAATTGAAAAATGCTGGGGGAAAAAAGCTGACAACTTTTTCCCTCAATTTTTCAAAAATCTCTAAAATAACTTTTAAATCATGAGAAATAGTAAATGAGTGATAAAAACATAGGATGGGGCCTTTAAATATACAGTGACGTCTCTTGAATCAAACTACTTGAAAGTTTCTTGAAATATGAATGACTGAATTTTCTAGAATTGGCCCCTATATCAAATATATTAACTTCTGTGTTTGTAATATTTTGTTGGTATATTATGGATCTATTTTAGGTTTAACTCTAAAAGGACTATTGCTTACAGTGCCAGAAGTTGAACAACGCGGTGAAAGGCAGCATCATAAGTCAATCGCAGAATTTCCAATATACAAAAGTGAGTTGATTCTGACCAATTGCAAATTCCTTATATATCTGATTCTCTATCATTGCTTACAATATCACTTTAAAATCAAAATTCTTATAAAATCACTGTAACGTTTTCATTATCAGCTGCATTTCCTATTTTCCCTTGTTTTTGTTTCATAAATATAAGCTTATAAGACAACACAGTATTTCCAGGTAGTATGAATGGTGCAAAACACTGCGCTTTACAAATTCTTTACAACACCGACCCCCTATTGGACTACATGTTGAGACCTCTTCATGTTTTATAGATTTCCTATCTATTGTTATTGAGGAAAATGATATATTAATCATATAGTCTATCAAGAGGAGATTACCTTGTAGTGCACGTTATTGACCTCATAAATAAATCTTCCGCGTAAACCGTATCGTATAGTATACAACTTCCCACCTTATTTTATTTCATGGCCTTCACATAATTTGTACCAAATCTTTGGCATTGTCGTGAAAATAATTTAATCACAGATTCAATGAATTGTGGGTAATTTAATACACTTGTGTCTTTAATATCAAGCCTTTAAATCCGTGCTCCCGCCCTCATTCAAAGTCTTATACAAGACCCTCGTGCTTAGAATCGCCCACAACTTATTGACCCCAGGCCATCTAGCGATTTTCTAAGAAAGTATAAATTGGGAAACAATCCCAACATTTTAACTTAGCATCAGGTGCTACACAACATATCGGAAATCAATGACGACGCTTTATTGTAAATAGTTTGATATACATACATGTATCTGACAGATACCAGGTGTTTTAACGTCTTCCTCGATGCCAGTAGATAGTTACCAATTTCACCACCAGGTGGCTAATTCGGATCAGATAACATGGCAGATATATTAGAAATTCGAATATTCCTCAGTTTAAGAGAATCAATTTTCATATTACCCTTATGTACCTGATAATTAAAAGATGCCCTATAAAAAGTATTATCCATCCAATGTAAGAAAATATGTTTCACTTTTTGTGGTTTTATAACATGGGGTATATGGGGAATCTCCCCGACATAAAACTCACATTTTCAAAGAAAGTTAAATTTTTAAAAAAGTAGATAAACAATTTTTGAAACACATTTGGATATGTAATTTTACATGTAGATTTCGAATATGATATCTAGTCTATTTTAAATTTTACTTTAATTACCCTGTCCCTTTTTATTCTAGTGTGTGCACCCATTCCGATACGTAAATACCCCTATGGAGTCGATAATGAAATGTTCATGTTCGTTGCCCATTTGCTATACATTGTTAAGGTTTGCATATACTCTCATTTCAGGGGCAGGTATGCGGGGAGACATACCAGCCAGTAAATTTGATGCCCTCATCCGCAAACTTTTGGGTCTATCGGGGAAATCAGATGATGACATAGGAAGAGCAATTCAGATCAGATTTGGAAGAAAATAGTGCTCCGATTCTCCGAGCCATTTTAGGCTGCACCGGCGCTCTACAGTCGATACCATGGTGGATAAAGTAGAAATCGAGACTGTCTTGGATTCTAAGAAAACTAGGACGTAATTTACAAATTTGACGTTCAGCAACGTGCCCAGAGACAAGTGTTCACTAGAGAGGAGGAGTCACCAAGACAGGTTTTATTGTACATCCCCTGTGAAGAGTTTTCATTTCTTTACAACTCATTTATCTATGATGATAAATATATGAAAAATGCCTACATTCGAACTGTTACAGTTTTTGACTTAGTTAAGAATTTGCTCAAATGGCCAATGCTTCTGAATGATGAGTTGCAATCATTCCCGTCGTAAATATAGCCAGCATTTTCTTTCCCGGGTAATTTAACTGAGTTGTATTTTCCTATCCAAGCTTGCTTTCTACATTTTTGGTATTTTGATTTGAATATGCAATCTTATATTATTAGTATTGGTATTAGTAAAAATTTATTACGACGTATTATCACTAATAAGGCATTCTTAGTTCACCGACAATGACCGTAATTGTGTGATGCAATAATTCAACAACACGATAAAAACCTGATCATAAACATTCAAAATCAGAAATGAAATGGTGTTGAGGTGTACAACTATTACTTTACCACACATTATTCTCTTACTATTTGGACATGTACAACCGAAAGTGTACGGAGTTCCGCGTGAGCACTGAGCATTCCCAGCCTGGGATTCCAAGTGAACGCAGTCCATTATGGATTACAATCATACCCGCAGTGGTCGGTCTGGCGGACATGAAATCAAAATTTAACTACTGTTTTAACTATATCTGGAAAACTGGTCAATTTCCATTCAACATATGAGTAATAACAATGGATACAGAGTACCTCCTTTGTCATCATAGGGAGTATCTTCTTGTTAAACTATTTGTTTTGCCCACCGACGCCCACCACCGTCTGTACCAAGGTTTTCAAACGGTGAGCCCACACGGCCTATTAGTGTGACAGCTCCATATATGCCAAACAGTCATGTTTCAATGGTAACATCTTTCTCGGGTTCAATTAAGTGAATCTGATAAAGGCGTTGATATTGTAAGATATGTTTAATAGGGAGGTTAAGTTGTACACCTTTTTAAGAGAACTTGTAATTGAGCGTGTAATATTAGACCCCCATGGATTACCGCCCCGCTCTCATTTTACTTTCTAATGGCCCTAAATTCAATTAGTTTCAGGAAACTTTTTATACTCAATCGGCCAAGTAAACACTTCAAATGGGACAACAAATCCATATAGGACTATAATTCTACACGTTCACATACACGTTTTTTAAAAAGCGTTTAATATAACAGCCCTAATTCTCTAAAGGCGGAGTTATTTAATGCGGTAATATAGCTTGACGCTCGTTAACAACATTGTTTATTTCTAAACACCAACTAATACATGTATCTACTTTATATAAAAGGCAATAAAGATGTGCATGCGTAGAATATTCTATCATTCTAATTCTGCAAGCCTATTATAGAATTAGTCATATATATAATATGTACGTACTACGACATGAATACAGTAATAAAAAATCCGAATGTGTATTTTAATGTATCGCAATCATATGCGGTGAAGAATAAGAACGCATGATAGAATGTTGTTTTAGAACTGTTGCCATGGATACCTGGATACCAGCAAAATGTTTATTGAACATGACAGTTTGAACGCGTAATCTATCCTTCGTATATTATCTATGGTCAAAAAGTATTGTTCAATTTTGACTGCATTTCTTTGATTCGCTCAAGTCCTTCTGCTATACGATGCTGCAGCTTCTCAGATTTTACTTGCATATTTTTTACAAAATCTTTGTGTCCATTTGACCGATTCTGCTCAACCTGGCCAAGTTTCTTAATACCATTGAGTATGTAATTATTAAGATCATCAGCGTCCTCGTCAACAGGGTTCTTCACCAGTATCTCACTTTCGTTAAAGAATGCGTTCATTGCGTCATTTTGCCTTCTTCTGAGAGCTCGAAGGCGTTCGTGGACTTTCCTTTTTTCTTCAGATATATCCTCAAATGGTTCAGGAGCTTTCTTATGGAAGTCATGTTTGTTGAAATAGCCAATATCATCTAACTGTTTAGTGGCAATGTAATCGTATAGGACCCAAAACAACCCTGTACCAATTCCAATCGCTATGATTTTTCTGTAACTCATCAATTTTCGAATTACCATTTTGGATTTTTTAGAATTGACGTGCTACATGTATGTGCAACTTCTTAGTAATAGGAATGTAGTCATGATAAGTGTATTGATTCAATTGCTTTAATTCTTCATTTTTATTCAATTAAAATTGATTTTAAGGTTTTTATGGAAATAAAAGAACAGATGCTCAAGAAGTGATTGAATTATCATACAGCTCAATGTAAGGAAGGCATATTATTGACTTAAATTAAGGGAGATAGTTTTACTATATCTAACAATATTTAAATCGTTGCTTTAATTTGAATGAAAATCTTATCAGCCCTAGTTGATATTATAGACATCTTAATTTTCCAATAATTGCAATGTTTGTCTGAATGTCTGTACGATTATCTCCTTTATTTACTTTTTTATTTTGACCAAACATTTTAATTTATATTTCTGTCATTCTCGTGCACTGGTTTATAAAAGGAGGAGGGAAAGTATCGCAACAGATTTCGGACAGTCATATGTTAGATTTTGACTATTTTCTGAGGTGCTAAACAGGTGCATATTTTAGGCCAACAGGAAAAGCAGGAAAAGCACTCATAGAGATGATAAAATAATTTCGACTTTGAGACAGGGAAGATGCAAACAACCAACAAACATGTTTTTTCTGAAATGTTATCCTGATTTTCAACCCCTTCCACCCCTGCTTTTTCAATTTTTGTTGCATCAATAATCATCCTTAAAGGAATTAGTAATTCCTCTTCGATAAAGTGGAAAACAATATCTCCCATGAAATTTTCCCACAGGGAAAACTCATGCGCTCCGTTGCTTTCAGCTAATTTTGGTCATCCATAATGGATATCTTTAAAACCCCTGAAGGAATTACTTATTCCTTTAATGGGGTTAAATGTGTGTCAAAACATAAAATACTGATGCATCAAAAATTGAAAAATCAGGGGTGGAAGGGGTTGAAATTCGGGACAGTATTTCAGAAAAACATGTGGGTGGGTTGTTTGCATCTTCCCTGTCTCAAAGTCGAAATTATTTTATCATCTCTATGAGTGTTTTTCCTGTAAGTAATGCATTGACCTAATATATGCACCTGTTTAAATCCTTAGAAAATAGCCAAAATCCAACATCTGACTGTCCGAATTAAATCTGTTGCGCTACTTTCCCTCCTTCTTTACAATGTCGATGTGCTCTAAAATTCCAATAAATTGAAACTTTTCAAATATGTTGTCATAAACATGACCCTATTTCACATAAACTTATAACCACCTTAGTCTTTGAAAACAGAATTGTACTACATATTTACATAGGCGTAGCCAGGGGGGGGGGGGGTGATGGGTGCGATCGCATATAACGAAATGAAGTTTACAAAATACGTAACTAAATCGCTTTATTTCATATCAAGTGTACAGGTCGAGATCTTTTAGAAACTTTATGGCAAAACACCAGGCAAGAGTTGGAGACTTCCAAGGAAGATACAAGTCTGTCGGACGTTATTGCCTCATCTTTATTAGGAAGGAACGTTCTTTGTAACTATGTGTAGCCTATATGTAATCTTCGCCAGTCGTTGGCCTGGCTGTTCCCGCACCTTAAGAAACGAAACACAAATAATCAAAGAACTATAAATATGTATTTATACATCGAATTTTATCATTGGCTATACATTTGAAGGACGATCGAAAGTTCCGAATACAATCATAAACTAGAACAGTCTTTTATTATACCACACAAGTTTGCACTGGGCAGCAATATACACGGTGTTCTACATGTATGCACCCCCTTTAAACGTAAACATGTAGCATTGTCACCCTATTGAAGTTATATTTCGTTTTGTTTCTCGTGGAAAGTTACATGAGATTGCAAAATTCAAGAATCAACCGTTGTCCCTGAAAAAGGGATATAATACCAGGTCGTTCAATAAGTTCATACAAAATCATTCTCATTTTTTTGTTTTTCAATGTTTTTCCTTGAAACTTTCACAAAACATAGAAATTATATCTACTCATTAAAAAACAAAAAATAAATTACTTTGTTCTGCTTGGTCAAAAGTTATGGTTGCTATGGTAACCTGTGTTTTGGTCACGCGGGGCAATTTATGACGCGAAAAACTCTTGTGAATTATAAGTTGCACATGTACACACTATAAAACATTGTATTTTCAAATTGAAGATTCCTACCAAACATGTCACTTCATTGAATGCTCAAAATATTCCCCTTTATACTGGATGCATACATGTAGTACCTAGCACTTCACCCATTCTTCATATTGAGCCATACAATAACAAGGGAATTTAGTGCGCAAGGCACTCTGGGCAGCTGCAGTGAGCTCTGTCATGCAAGCATACCGAACACCTCTCAGTTCATCTTTCATCCTATTGAACACCCCAAGTCCAATACAGCCTCATTGGTGAGTATGCACCCTGGTCTAAAACTCCCATCTGTAGGGTATCCCGGATAGAATCTTGAACCATATTTGCTCGATGGCATGGGACATTGTCTTGGTGAAATAATTTGAAGAAGGGGTTAATTTTAGGCCGTTTCTTTTGTAGAGCTCGCTCCGGGCGGAACTCGCTTAAGGTGGCGTTAAAGAAATAAACTATGATTATATTACATTACAAATTTAATTGTGATGTTATACAACATGTTAGTTGCTACCATTGCAACAATAGCTGTTTTATTCAAAATGAAAGAATAATGTGCTTGCAATTATAACTTTCTCCAAACTTTAGACTTAGGATTCACAAACAGAAAAATATTGCCCCGCGTGACCAAAACACGGGTTACCATAGGAACCATAACTTTTGACCAATCAAAATAAAGTAATTTATTTTTTGATTTTTAATGAGTATACATTTTTTCTATGTTGTGTGAAAGTTGCAAGGAAAAACATTGAAAAATAAAAAAAATGAGAATGTTTTTGCATGAACTTATTGAACGACCTGGTACATCAACGTATGCGGGTATGGGGTCATTTAAAGGTATTTTTGGCCCCCAGTCCAGTGATCTGTTCAATTTGTCTGCTCATTTTTTAGTGACAAAGGTTGTACCATAGTTCTCGGCCTCCCTATAAGCTGTGCGAATCCTGTCAATATATCTTTAAATAACTGTCACACACATGTAGACTGAACTATGATGACAACTGTCCGGACAACTGTTAGACATGTGCAATACAGAAACTAAAAACCTTAAATTACTCTCTAAATGACGCTGTACCCACATACTTTGATGCATTGTATCCTTTTTCAGGAACACTCCTGGATTCTGGACATGATATGGTGACAATGCTACATGTATAAGTTTGGAGGGGTGCATACATATGAAACACCCTGTAATTATAACTTTATCATAATGTCGTTATTGTAATGTGATGGGTTAAACTAAAAATGTGTAGCGATATGCTACCCTTGGTTCTCATTAGAACGTACCTTATATTTGTACGCAAACCTCCTCTGCCACGGGCTCTAGAATATTACCTAGCTCAGAAAACGTATCCAGTTCAAACAGGTACTCAGAGGCGGGTTCGCTTACCACCTATAAGATGGAAATCATCATAAAATTAAAAAAAAGCTCCAAAACCCACAATTTATTCGAATTTAGTTTTTGGATGTCTGATTTTGACATTCTTCATAGATTGAAAAGTGATTCAATTTTGAGAGGTCGCAAAAGTAATGAAACTAACTGCAGACAATCGTTACACCGACACGCCGTTGCCGAAATACCGGTTACTCAAAGGGTAGCTACTATGAACATTGATTGAGTCGTTACAATCGTTGGACATGTACAGAATTAATGCTCGGGGGTTTAAACATATAACAATGAGCCTTAATGGAATTGCTAGATGTAAGAGTAAAGAGCCTAAACAAGTTCATTTACCTGTTCCCATTCATCTCTTCCAGACCTTCCTCTATCATTAGGAAGTCCTAAAACATATATTTTGTCCCCTGCTTCTTTTGCTGCAGTTGCATACTTGAATGTTTTCTTATCGAACCTAACTGGATACGTGCGTCCGTCCGTTGCCAATATGATTACATTTGGGACATTTGGTCGATCACCTAATAAATCAAAAACACATAATAATAATTGAGTCTCAAGCAAACAAAGTTGTCTACAAAATTATAATTTCATGACTTTTCATAAAATCAACTACCGAGCATAGTGACTATGTACATTTTACTAACCATTGCCTTCTGTAAAGAAAACCTCACTAGCGGCTAGCAGAGCAAGGTCAGTCCTTGTGTGGATACCGTTTACCAGGGGAATTGCGTCCAGCGCTGCTAGAACATCATCCAAGTTATCAAAGTCATTCAGTTGAAAGTGCTGGAATACCTCACGGTTAAAACTCATGGCAGCGACCTGAGTTTGGAAGCCTAAGTTTCCAATGTCAAACCTTGAAGTCATATTCTTAAGAAATGATACTACCTTCTGTAGATCGGGTATTGTAATACTGTTAGAGACATCTAAGATAAAAACGATGTCCAGTGGCTCTCCACACATCTCGATAAAATCTACAAAATGTAATTTAGTCTGGTAAATTTGAAAGTATATTGTAATGACTGAAACTGCAGATTTGATTGATAAAATATGTGATCAGTTGTTGGATGAAATGAAAATGATTTTTAATCAATTTTGAAATGGATGATTTTTACACTAAAATTAATTTAGCTATAGATGTCAGTAAATCTTCTACTGGAAACACAACATTAAAACATGGTCGTATTACAGTAAGGAAATACAATTACGACGACGCTAATTAGGAAAACAATTAAAACATTGAATTGATTAAACGTCAGTAAAACCAATACCCCAATTTATAAATGAAAGACACACATAGGAGGGACTTTTGAAATTGTTACCTTCTGGACAACTTAGTTGCTCATTACTGCTCATTGCTGTTGATATCTCTTCCGCCATTTCCTCTGCATCGCCCTCTAAATCAAACTCTAGTATACCTATTGTAGATATGGCCTCCCATTCCATTGAACCGTCTTTGCTTTTGGAATTTTGAAACGCTACCACCATTGACTGAAAGTATCAAATGCAGTCACATTTGTAAGAAGATTTCCAATTAGTCTTGATATTTCATGCTATCCGCAATATATCGTACTACTCTCTGTGAACAATACGGTTCTTTTGTTCAGGCGAACAAATTTTGACCCAATATTTAACTAGGGGGGTAGTAGATAGCACATTACATTTCAATGCTGTCAACTGATTACACTTGCAATTTAAAAAAAGTATTGTTTTTGTTAAAGAAATGAAACACACAAATAAATCCATTTATGTTAGTCAGTACATCTACAGTATAAGGTAACAATAAAAGCAATGGATAGAATTACAAAATATACTCAAAAAGTTAAGAAATTCGGCAAATATATTCCCTTAACAAAAATCGAAATTGATATCCACACAGCTATTGTGAAAATATATAACGAACTCATTATACTCATACCTCAGCACCCGTTTCTTTCAGTTTAGCAGCGCTTCTAATAGTCAGTTTGTATTTCGATGCTGGTGACGTCACACCATCAGTCATCATAAGATGGAAGTTTGTATTATTTGCCCTGTCCCCATTTTCAGGATTAAAAAAGTCTGTCCTAATTCGATCCAGAGCTGTGTATGTTGTAGTTCTACAATCAACTGGCTGCAGACTGGCTTTTCCAATAGCGTCCAACAGAGCCTCTTTGTCACTATATTCATTGAGGAAGAATACATTTTGTACACCTCTGTTGAAGGTTAACAAGCCGACTTGATAATCATTTAAACCAGTACCTATAGTTCGGAAACTACTGACTACAGCCAGGACTATTTCTCGCATGACTTCTCTGTCAGCGTCTGTTATTGAACAACTTGTGTCGAGAGAAAAAACGACATCTAAACAACCTGAAACATTCAATGAGGGATTATTATTTTTGAATGCAAACTTGGAATCTCCATTTCCACAATTTTGTGACACGGAATACATCAAAGTCATCCAATGACTTATTGCTCAAATTAGGTACAATTATGTATTGATTGATTTAATTAATCGAACTATTTAAGCATTAAAATATGAATACTTCAGAGGAAGACTAAGAACTGATTAATCTATAAATGTACAGTCAATTGACTCACAGTTGTAGCCCTTGATTTGTAATTAAAATGTCATAAATAATATGAATGTGGGAAAGATCTGTACAAATGCCAATTTCAATAATGGAATGCTATATGCAGAGCTGTAATGTGAGAAGGGCTGAACTGTTACTATTATTGTCATTTTATATGTTGATAAGTTTGGGCGTCGTTCACCTCACAGGATGCACTATTTATGAGAGTAAAAAAAACACATATCATGAAATTTCTTTTAGATCCGTGTAAATCACCGTTCGAATTTGTGCCGAAATTTTTTATTAAGTGTTTGTGCAGGGAAAGAAAAGGACAACCAAATCTACCTTGATCTTTACCTTGAACTTGAGCAAAGGACCGCGAGTTGTTTGTAGAATGAATCTGGGGAGCGTTTTCATGCTTAACTCGCGGTCCTTTATAGCAATATTCAAGGGATTTGTTCGAATTTCATCTTGATCCATTTTACAAATAGCTGTTTAGTGATGCTTGATATAACATTACGCTTTCATTTCCTTGAATGATTACATACTTAGTGTGCAACATTTTGTAGTTTTGTCTTTAGAATCTGTAACTTATGACACGACCTTTGAAAAATCTGACTTGTAGAGCTCACTTTGCAAGATTCCTACACACGTTGAATATTTCATGAATTTTTTTCAAATGCGTAGACTTTACAAAAAAACAGTAAAACCTGTCTAAGTGAACACCTCTCTGTAATGAACACTTGTCTCCCGTAGACATCCTTTTTCCATACATACTCTACTGACTTCTGTATAACTTACTATATAACTCTCTGTAGAGAATACAAACACTGGACGTTTTTTCTTTCAAGAAACTGTTCAATATACACAGGTTATACTCTACAAATATCCACCACTCTTAACATTTACTGAGAAAACTCACCTGATGCAGTCCATACGTGAGCCAATAGACCAAGAATTACCGTTATAGTCTTCATGCTATCTCTGAAATAAATGTATAAACATATATCATGGATATATCGGATGTCCCAAAAACTGAAACACTTTTTGACAAGTATTTTCTCGACAACTGATGAACCACATTCACTGAAATTCGTTCCAAGTAGCCTAAAAGTATTATAAGCAAGTTGTAGAAATATAAAAAAGATCAACTAAATATTCTGTGAGAACTAAGAAACTCAAAATAGCATGTCAAAAATTCCCATACCAGAGCTCTGCGATGAGACCTTAATAGTGTTTGTACCAGCTCTCTGTATCATCTCTCAATCAGTCAAAATAGCTTGTCTTTGTGTCATGGCTTATCAATTTGTTTCATTCTTCCCAAATATCCCAAACCATTCATTCTCAAAATTAATTGGAGGTGATTGTTAGATTGTTATAATATGAGACAAATCTCTAACATATTCATGGCGCTAACAGAAGATACTTTTAAGTGCCTCAATTAAAGTTCTTAAAGAATTTGGCTCATCTATTGTTGATGAGCCAAATTGCCTTCCCATTTTTGGTACAAACGCTATGAAGTTATTGAGTTGCTCCGGTATGGGATCTTTTGACATGCTATCAATTGAATTTCTTAGTACTCATATAACATTTACTTGATCTTTTTTTATATTTTTGGTTCTTCAGTTGCCAAGAAAATACTTGTCAATATATACTATATATATACGTAAATATAGTAGCCTTGCCCAAGTCGGTATTTTTTACTTATCTCATCTTCGATTATAAAGTCAAAAAAATAAAAAGACTCAGACTTGGGCAAGACTATAAATATAGTCGCAACATGAAATTGAAAAGCAATATGTCACATGTGTGACAACAATGATAACACAAAATGAGAGGTTGCAAAAATAGGATACAGAACTGTCACAAGAGATAATTACAAAGGGAAACATTAAAGGAAAATGGCGACCCTTTTGAACCATAAAATTGTTAATCAAAAACATGAAACACATTGTCAAAGGATATAAAGGTTTAGAGGATATAATACCAAATTCATTTAAATTAATTCAAAGAATAGAATTTCAGTTCGAAATGAACAATAATGAACAAAAAATCTATTTTACTATTTTGTGTGATTGTTAGTGCTCAGTAAAGTCTAGAACTGGAGATGCAGATTATAAAAGTCCTTCCGTGACCCTTTCGTACTAATGAGGGGCACTCACAATGAATGCCTTTAAGGCAATGCCCCAAATTGTAATTGTTTCAAAGTTTTAAATTTGATTTTTCATCTTTTATTATTCATATAATATTATATTTTTTATTTTCTATATACTTATTTCAAATATCTGTTTTTTGGTATTAAATCTTAGTTCCCATCTTGTTCTTCAAAGTGAGAAAGATCACATGATGTATTTAACTTTTAGATTATTCTATCAGTTAATTTAACAAAAATAAGTTTAAAATAAAATTACCTTTTCTATGTAGGCTCTATTAGGTCCGACGTGTAATCCTATGTTGTAAAGACAGGGAGATCCGATGAGGCATATAACTCCCTTTATTGTTGTATATTGCTAATAAGCTTAATTGATATAATGGCGAAAATTCAATTTGTCATAGACTTACAAACAAGTAGCCATACACGTGAGGTTTTGAGTCAACCAAGCGTGGACATTAATGTTGCCCATAATGTCAATCTTTTTATCATACTACTCCACAGATTATTGAAAAAATCATGATTTATGAGTGACAAATGCGTTTGGAGAGTCGCTGCACAATGCAAATAGTTTAAATACATATTATACAGTTCTGCTTTGTTTAGTTTCGTGAATATATCTCATTAGTGAAAAACGAGATTTTCAACGATTCGGTTAAATATGTTGTGTATTCTTTATTTTTCTTTTAACAAAAATATATGAAGGGTGTTTTGCATTTTTTCTACCTTTGCTTGTATGCTATACTATACTTTTTGACAAACTTCCCCTGCTATTGGATCTAGAATACCATTCAGTTCAGAAAACCGTTCCAGTTCAAACAAGTAATCGGATAGTGGTTTACTGGCCACCTATACGTTCAAAGAATAGATAGCAACTAGAATTAAAATAGTAGCTCATCACATATAATTTGTTTAGATGAAGAACGTGATTTCAATTTTATAGAGTGACTGCAAATATACAAATCAATGTTATAATGTTTATATCATCTTGTTTCACAATGTTTCAGTTGCTCCAATTGTTATAACGCCCTGCTGAATGTCGAAGATGTGTTTATATAACAAAGGTTAATGTATGGGTCACATTTGCTCCTATTCATCGGCCTTCGCCCGGCCGATTGAGTATTTTGTTCAATATTGTATTGTAGTGAAAATCGGAGCAAATGTGACCAAGGCATTATTCATGTAGAGTACTATGTGATGCCTTGGTCACATTTGCTCCGATTTTCACTACGGCGCCCGGCCGATTGAGTATTTTGTTCAAAATTGAATACAATATTGAACAAAACACTCAATCGGCCGGGCGCAGGCCCATGGATCGGAGCAAATGTGACCCAGGCATAAATGGTAACAATAGGGACTAAGGAGTCTGAATATAAGCATTTACCTCTTCCCATTCATCTCTTCCAGACCTTCCTCTATCATTAGGAAGTCCTAAAACATATATTTTGTCTCCTGCTTCTTTTGCTGCAGTTGCATACTTGAATGTTTTCTTAGCGAACCTTACTGGATACGTACCTCCGTCTGTTGCCAATATGATTACATTTGGGACATTTGGTCGATCACCTGAATATAAATAACACAAACAATCTATAAATAATGGGCAGAACACTCTTCAAAATTGAATAAGTAAAATATAATTCATTCATTGATCTATTGGAAAACTATTTTTTATTTTCTCGCTGACTCCTACGTAAATACTCTAAATGCTCAACTAACCATTTTCTTCTGTGAAGATCACTTCTCTAGCGGCCAAGAGAGCAAGGTCGGTCCTTGTGTGCTTTGCGTTTACCAGGGGAATAGCATCCAGTGCTGCTAGAACATCATCCAAGTTGTCAAAGTCGTTCAACTGGAAGTGCCGAAACACTTCACGGTTAAAACTCATGGCAGCAACCTGAGTTTGGTAGCTCTTGCTTCCTATATTTAACTTTGAAGTCATAGTTTTAAGGAATGAAACTACCGTCCGCAAATCAGGTATTGCAATACTGTTGGAGACATCTATAATATATACGATATCCATTGGCCTTCCACATATTTCTATAAAAGAGATAAACATGTTGATAAATGACAGTGTCTCTCTTTTGATCCAAGATAACTCCAAATTATCTGATCCACATTGCTCTTCACCAACGATTGCACGTTGCCTATTTGGTACAAACCTTTTCTGAAAATATCAAACTTGAAAAAGTCCTAAATTGAATTTTACTCCTCTCGGCCCATTTCAGTTTTTCAAACTTACTCAACTTGAAATATGATTTTCGGCTATTTTAAAGTCTACTGATGGTACAAATATGTTAATATTTTTAGTTTTTGGAGAGGTTGACAATTTTACATTTTCCTAGAATAAATGGGGGAAACAATGAGCCTTTTTATTATTTACCTAAGCACTTTATTTTCTCGTTCGCTTCCATTGCATCTGATATACTTTTACCCATTTGCTCCACCTCTTCTTCTACTATATCAAGTCTCAGTATTCCTGCTGTTGATATAGCCTCCCATTCTTCTGTACTTTCATTTACTTGTTTTTTGCTTTTGGGTTTACTAAATGCCACCACCATTGACTGAAATTTGAATCGTTAAGAATAAAGCATTTAGAATCTGTTACTTACAGACTTAATTGAAGGTGTTCGAGTGTTTCGAGTTCTTGCAACATTGTCAACTGAGTCGCTGAAGTTATGATGGATGGATTTAGAATGGATGGTTGTCGAACTGGATGTACACATCGTATTAGCAGCTGCACATTAAGAATGTTTTCCAATATATTGGTAATTTTCAATTTTTCCAATTTAATACATAAATTAATCAACACGAAGAAACAACATTAATTTGAAAAACGTGCTCTTTCTCTCCCATTTACCTCAACTCCTGTCTTTTTCAGTTTAGCAGCGCTTTTTAAAGTTACTTCGGATCTCTTAGTTGGTGCGGTTACACCATCTGTCATCATGAGATGGAAATTCGTGTTGTTTTTCCTCCCACCAGTTTTCCGATGAAAAAACTCTGTCCTTACTCGATCAAGAGCTATATACGTCAGACGTCTACAGTCAAAAGGCTGCAGATCGGCATTTTTGATTGCATCTAGCAACGCGCCTTTCTCAGTATATTCGTTGAGGTAGAAAAGCTTTTTAACACCTCTATCGTAAGTTAACATGGCGACTTGATAGTCATTCTCCCCAGTACCTATAGTTTTGAAACTGTTGACGACAGTCATGACTATTTCTCTCATAACTTCTTTATCAGCAACTGTTACTGAACAACTAACATCAAGAGAGAATACGACGTCCAAACAACCTTGAACAAAGAACAAAGGGGTAGAATGATTTTCCATGGTTGTAACCCTGGAAAATGAGAGAGTTTTGGATGTTGATATTCAGAATAAGGAACATGTGAAATGTAACTTGCTTTGGTCCGGTTCATAAATTAAAGATTATTTCCATTTCGCTGGAAGTTTATGATTTTCCCTCTAATCAGCTGTTTCCTTAAAATCGAAATCTTAAATTTGGGTTGGGGCTGAGACGAAACTTTACTTTTGTAATGAATAAATCCAAAAGAGCCATATTCAGTTTGAATGGCTGATGAGCATGTCTCTACGATATTTTAGTGCATAAGCGTTCGGTATTTCAGTGCACTTTTCTCGAACTTTTTCTCGATGTACATCGCGATATGCATCGATGTTTACTACTGAAAATTGCCGATGCATCGATGTACGATTATGGCACATCGCGACAGCACTAGTCTCTAGTAGCAGGGAATAATACATTCTAGGCATGTTAAAGGTTATGAACATGTGTGATATAACTTGGCTTTCCGACAAAAACATGGTTTAACGAAAAAATCAATTCAATTAAATTCAATTTATTATTCAATTCTAGTTTTCATACAATATTAATTTACAAGTGATATGAAAAGGACACCCCGAGGGGTGTATGGATTCCATGTTCTGAAAAAATAAAATGTGTTATACATAAAGCATGTAATGTTAGAACACTTATTGTAATGTACAAATTTACAAAGCATACATTTTTAATTATCTTGATGTAACATAGTGGAAGTATGGTTCAAACTAACTAATAATGACTTAACAAATTGGACTTAAACTTTCGTTGAAACATTTTTATATGAATTGAGTTTCTCAAATCAGTAGATAAAGAGTTATAAATTGATGGGCCACTTGTCCCGATTGATTTCCTTCCATATTATGTTCTAAAAGGTTGAACAATCAAATCATTTTTGATTTTGTGTCATGTGAGTGAATTGTTGATCTTAATGAGAAAAGATGGTTGATTTTTTTAAAAGGGGGATCAATCCATGCATCAATTAAGAAGTATTCTATTTGCAAATTGTATCAAATAGTATATCGATTATTTTTGAACTCCTAATATATTTATGAAAAACAAGTGCGTGATACAGGGGTTGCCATTTTAGTAAAGGGTGTAAATACGTTTCTGTGCTTGATACAGGGTATATTTAATGGAAAAGGTTAAATTATGATGTTGAATTATTGGTGTCTATCATATATTTAAGAACTGCCATTTATATATGAATATAAAGTTTAAATAACTAACGTGATCAAAAGATTAATGAGATTCTGATTGTTTTGTTCTGAGAATGCTGCTGCCATCTTTGAATAAACTCTAAATTATCAATGATATAATTATAATCTATTGTGATAACGAACACCTCCCAATCTGAATGTTTTTAACTGCACGGTGGCATTTGGATTAGACAGGTTTTACTGTATGAGTAATAGTAATACTGAAATTAAAAAAAATCTGAAGGCCTAGTCAATCTATTTTGGGAAATATTCTCAGCTATTTGAAATGAAGATCAACTTTGTAAGAAGTCTCTATAATTATTTTTTTAATTTATACAATAACATTATACTCAACTTTAGTTCAAATTCCAATGCTCTGGCCTTGGCTAATCAAAACAGTTCATTGCAATTGTTTCATCAATTATTATATTATTATATTAATATATCATAATTATTTCACATGCAAATACTGTACTGCCACTAATATTTGATGCTGTTATCTTTCACAATTTTGCAATTTTGAAATTTTGCGGATGTCAATTTTCGCTAATTATAATTTTTTTATAATTTTGTATCTATTTCTTTCACCATCATATCATTTCTCAAAAAAATTTCCAGCTTATTTGATTACATGTTTTTAAAACCAAGAAATATGAATGAAACAGTACCTTCTTACCTTTAATTATTGCTATACCATGTACTTAAAGCCTTTACATGACACCTATCAGCTATCACCTGCTTCAAAAGCATAGGTGAAACTAAACTATTGAAATCAAGTGCTCACTTTAAATTTTTTTTATATTTTCTGTTTGGGAAAATCTGTTAGTTATCAGCTGCATTTTTGTCAGTCAAGATTTCTCTTCATCAAACCAAATCAAATCCAAGGAATGTTTAGTCAAATATCCAGTTGTTCAGGAATCGAACTCAATTCAAAGAATGATTAGTTCCATAGTGTAAACATATACAACTTTGAACAATATTGGTATCAGCCATTATGTTACATTAAAAAAAAAACAGAATGTAAAACTGTAAAAGACTTTCATGTAAGCAGGAAATTTCTTGAAAGAATACTAAAGGTTTCGCAACAGCATTTAGACGGTCATATGTTGAATTGCAGAAATTTTCTGAAAATGTAAGGTGTGTATGTTAGGCCAATGCATTATCTAAAGGAAAAGTACTCATACAGATGATAAAAAAATTGGAGATTGAGACAGGGAAGGTGCAAAGACCCCATCAACATTTTTTTTCAAAAATGTTTTCCTGATTTTCAGTTCCTTCCATTTTTTTAATAATGTTTTCACATTAATATGTTGCATTTGTAGACAAAGTTAACATACTAAAGAGAAAATATTTTCCTTTTAAGAGTTTATTTGTGTCTCCAAATGCAACATACTGATGCATAAAACATTTATAAAAATTGAGTAGAAGGGGAAATTTTAAATTCAACGAACATATAGGCCCACTGGGCATTTATTTTGCACATGGCCTTTATTAGAAAGAACTCAAAATAAATGCCATTGGCTTTTATTAAGACTAAGAGGGAAATTGAAAACATTTTTCCAAGGGGACAGGCATTTATTAAGAGGGAAAATAGCTTTCCCAAGCCAGTGGGTGTTTATTTCGAGGCGTATTATCAATCGAAGAGTTGACACATGGCCTTCATATACTCATGCAATAGTATCTATCATCTCTGATTGCACACTTCTGTTTTACCTTTCAAGCATTCGATTTGGATTTTGGAATGTCATAAAGCTATGCGGTCAAAAGTAATCTTAATACTTTTTAGTGAAAATGCATTTATATTTTTAAAATGCAGAATCTTGCGAATGCAAAATCCTCGAAATCCGATCACCTCCACATCTGAATGTTTTTTTTAACTGGTCATGGTGTTTTAACTGGTCATGGTGGCATTTGGATTAGACAGATATTACTGTATAAGTATTAGACAGATATTACTGTATAAGTATAATAGTATTACTGGAATTCCAAAAAATCATAACGCCTACAATGCTAGTAATATTAAGTGAAAATGCATTAATATTTTTTCAAAATCAAGAATCTTTCGGATGCAAAAACCTCGAAATCAGACGTTTAAATCTGAATGTTTTTAATTTGTAGCGGTGGCATTTGGATAAGACAGGTTTTACTGTATAAGTATAATAGACATTAATAGTATTACTGGAATTCCAAAAAATCATAAGGCCTATAGCAACAATCATGTGAACTTCAGGTCAAAATTCCAATGCTCCCTTGGCCAATCAAATCAGTTCATTGCATTTGTTTCATCAATGCTCTCAATATCATAATTATTCCACATGCAAATACTGTACTACCGGTTAATTTGCGAGTTTAAATTTTATGAATTTTGAGAAATACCAATTTTGCGGCCATTAAATTTTGCGGATATCAAAGGTTTAACTTCCATTATTCTCTGAATCCTCAAAATTAATTTATCTTATCTACAGTAATTACACCTACCCAATATCATATACTTTGGATAAGATTTACAATCTCTAGATCTTAGTCAATGGCATGTTGCACCTCAGCCTTTAATTGGCGATATTCGCGAATATTAATTTTCGTAATTTTTACACAACCGCGAAAAGCACGAAACTAAATTGCACGCGAAAAATATCGGGAGTACAGTACATTGAAACCATACACTCTTATATTTCATAAGAATTTGCAATCAAGCCTAACAAATCTATTGGCAAAATATTAAAAGGCCAGCAAATGTACACATGCTAAAGTGATGAAACTTTAATGAATTTTAATTTTGCCTATACTGAGATGTGTTAAACTCTATTTGGGTTAGATTTATTCGGCTACACCCTCTACTTACAGCCTTAACATGCCTCCTATCGGCTATCACCCGCTTCAAAATCATAACAGGTTCCTTTATATCTTCCTTTATCTTCTGTTTAAGAAAAGCTGTTAGCTATCAGCTGTATTTTTGTCAATCAAGATTTCTCTTCATCTGTGAATTACCTGAGTCTCAGGAATTACTCAGCGAGAAACCAAAATGGCAATTTTGATGGAAAGACACAAAGTACCAGTCAAAATCTCTGAAGATTTCCGGGCAAACAATGGCAGCTCTCCCAGTTAGGTTTTAGACTGTCTTCTCATATTTTGTCAATTTTATTCAATTTCAAGTATTGTTTAGAGTTGTGCGTTCAACATATTCGAGAAGTCAATAGCTATAATAAATCTGCAGATTTTGCTCGCATTTATGTAAGCTTTTCTCTTTTGACGGATACTTTGTGTCTTTCCTTGAAATCATGACAGGTGTAACTGATCTACTGAAATCAACTTCAAGTGCTTACTACTATCTCCCAATGTGAGCTACATCAGTGCTTTTTGTTGAGAAAATATGTAAGTTATTAGCCGCTTTTTTGCCGATCAGGATTTAAATTCTCTTTATCTGTCATGTACCTAGCAAGATTCAGAGATTTTGACTTGTACGTCATGTCTTTCCGTCAAAACTTCCATTTTTGGTTTCTTGGTAAAGAGTAGCTTCTCAATGTATAATGAGAATTTGCTGTTCGGCACAGAAGCAACTTTTAATTTTTTTTCGATTTTCGCGGAGGACACTAACACAATTTTGAAGCGGTTGATAGGGGGCTCTAAAGGCTGTTCTAACATATCAGTCACAGCCTCTGAAAGAGCTAGATCTAAGGCTCTAGCTTTAGGCTAGTCTAAGTCCTATAGATCTAGTAGTCTAGGCCTAGAGTCATAGCCCAGGCATAGGCCCGTAAAAATGTAAAGAAATAAAGCTTACAGCATGTTCTATTTAAGTGAATTTGACTCATGTTATACATGTTCCGGGCCTATGCCTAGTATAGTCCCGCAGAAGAAGATAGAATGTAAAAATCAAATTGAAAATCAAAATAATCGAACGAAAAAAAATTGAAAAAGTTGAAAATTCGATTTCGATTCAATTTGATTTTCTGCCATTATAAATGAAATACTGTACTTACCAACATGTTTCTCGGATATATATGTTGTTCTTACTTTATCTTCGCCGAAGATCGATGTTTATTTATATATAACAATCGAATAATCGACATAATTCAAACTCATCACTACGACACAAAAATATATCACTTTCGAAACCATGTAAACTGCTAAGATGACGTCATTTATATCCGGGATTGCTTTGCAAACTCCACACAACAGACTGTCCCATCTTTTCTCCTGCTTTCTCCCGATGCAATTCATACATTACTCGGAGATTACTGTCAAACGTTCCAAGTTTTACAATTTTAGCATGTTTATTACGATCTAATTCCTGCCAGTATCAATGAATAAATCTATTGACCAACAGATTGGAAATATGTATTCCAGCGATACCCTCATTTTGACGAAAGAATGGTACAAATATGTCCACTATTTATCGAGATATCGTGTAGAAAAATTGAAGAAAGACATCGCTTAAGAAATTTCTATTTCTAGACTGAACTGTTCACGCTCGCAAGTGGCATCTCCAACTCCATATATGGGCAAAAAGGTGGAGTTAACAATAAGCAATGCAGGGATTGACACGATTGAACCCGATTGACACGAAGAAGTCTCGATGAATCTCGCTTAAACTCCGCCCCTTCTTCGTGAAAAATCACGTGAATTCCGGCTTTTGCTGGGACATATCCGGGCATCTCGGCTTCGAACCCAATCAGAAGTTTCAATTTTGACTGGCGCCGCATACATTATCTCAAGTCTCACCCAATATATTTATGTATACGTTAATCATCAGCTTACTTGGAAGCGTGATCATGATGAATGTTATTAATATAAATATAGTAATACTCGAATGGGTGGCAAGTTTAAGAAAGTGTAAGAAGATGTGTTTCAAACATTCCTGACAAATCTAAGAATAGTTGATAGGGTGGGCCAAAAAACGCCACTTTTTTTTCAAGACACTATAACTTTTTTATTTTCCAACCTACATACCCCAAATTTTGCAGTTATATAGTGCCAAGGGTTCTTAGTAATAATATAATGTAACAAGTCCTTCAACTGGGATTATATTTGATCTAAAAAGAAGAGTTCAATTGGTCCGCCACCCCATTTGAAGATAAATTTTAGTTTTAGTCGCCTTGCTGATATAGCAGTATCAATGAAATGTTAGCTATATTTTTTTCAATGTGTCTTAATTGCCAGCTTTCACAGGCTGGTATCGAAAGATTTGTCCGCTGTGACGGAGCATGCTATTTTTCATAAAAACACTAAGAATGCTTCACGATTTAATTTTTAACTCATATGTTTCGTTATATCAAAGATAATTACTTACTCCATGCAATGGATATATCATTTGCGTGTAACCTTCACTTCTGTTTGAAGTCCAATAACGCTAGGAGTAAAATCTATTGAAAACGGCGCCAGAGTATCAAACTCTAAAATGTACCATTTCTTTTTTAACTTTTTAATGGCATGATATAGTGACACGATAATATTAACATATGTTTTCAGCATAACTCTGAATGTATTAATGAGATATAAATGCATTTGGGTCTTTTAAATCTTTTTATAAAAAATAATATTAATATTTTTTGTCCGCTGTGACGGAGCATTTTCACAGTTCACATTTGCAACTGCTCCGTCACAGCGGACAAAAAAATTAAACATTATTTTTTATAAAAGAATTAAAAAGACCAAATACATCAACATCTCATTTATACCTTCATAGTTATGCTGAAACCATGTGTAAATATTATCGTGTCACTATATCGTGCCATTAGAAAGTTAAACAAGAAATGGTACATTTTGAAGTATGATACTCCGGCGCCATTTTCAATAGCTTTTCTTCCCAGCGTAATTGGACTTCAAACAGAAGTGAAAGTTATCCGCAAATGATATATCCATTGCACGGAGTAAGTAATTTTGTATGGTATAACGAAACATATGAGTTAAAAAATAAATCGTGAAGTATTCTTAGTGTTTTTATGAAAAATAGCATGCTCCGTCACAGCGGACAAATATTTCGATACCAGCCTGTGAGGCTTTAGTTAAGCAATTTTTTAGATCGGGTGCCTTCATACCATCTCCTGGAGACCTCCCCATGCCCTATACTCACTTGGGTTTGAATTAGGGCTATTAGCTTGTGGTCATCAGGGCGTATCAGTTTAGGAACATTATGCAAATTATGCTTATTTCTCATGGCACACCACATGTTTAAGTGAGGCGCTGGTGACATATTTTATTCAAGTAAAAGTGTATAATTCATGATCAATGGCTAGATAACAACCTCAAGTTTCATTTGGTACATGAATTATGATTTTGTATCAAAAATTAAAAAAGCTATAGCATTTTGAAAAAAATTGTCGTTTTTTTGGGCCCACCCTGTATATTGCAGGGGCGTAGCCAGCTTTCAGTCAGGGGGTGCGATCGCCTAAAAAATCTGTTTTCAGTCAGAGGGGTGCGGTTGTGGCATAAACAAGCCAAAAAATAGGATTTCTTCAAAATTGAGCTAGAAGCTTCAAATAAAAAGCATTTTAAAGCTATTTTCTTCTTCTATTTAACCCCCCCCCCTCCCCCTGCTACGCCTACATGATATTGTATTACATTTAATACTACAATTACAGGGATATTATAAGAATATCTTAGACCGAGTATTATAGTACTGAATGTGACATTGAATCTCGTGACTCCATACACTTAAAATGGGTTTTGACTGAAATTAAAATGTTGTTACTCAATATAAATCTTACCTGATACGATGCAACCCTGGGCAAATACACCAAGAATTATAGCAATCGTTTTCATGATACGTGTAGCTCTGAAATAGATATTAACAATTAGATGTATTCCTGGCAGTGAAAAGCCAAGCAAATGTTTGCTATTAAAATTTTGATGTAACCCCAATGGTCCTTTTCCATATAGCTTTGAAATCTCGTTAAAGTCTCGTTTTTAATGATATTTTAGTATATCTGCATTTTTAACCATTGAAGACTAACATTTTCTTCAGGCATACTTGACTTGAATTCTGTGTGTAATTTTCTATCAAAACAACTTCGATTTGCACCATTGTTTACATTTATTCAAATTCTAATGATTTTTTAGTTGTCTACAAAAAGGTCGGGCTAAATCCCCATTGACACAATGATGAAAAACCTTTAAAAGTTCATTTACAAGGATTGCGATTCTAATGTGAAATCACAATCCACATGTCAATAAGATCATATAGTTATATTCCAATGGTGTTTTAAGTTGATCCAAATGGAATTACTTCTAAAATCGAGAAGTTAAGTGACTCTGGCAATACATTTACATGTAGTCTAGCCTTACTCAGCCCTACCAATACCCATGATGCCATCTATTTTCCATTTATATGGAAAAGGTCAACCGTATGCATGTGTCAGAAGTCAATACTGATAAATAAAGAGCTTTTGAGATATATCTTTAAATTATATTGCAATTTTATTTGACCTACATTTGTCTTTGTAAATCAAATATAATAGAATATAAACTGGTAGTGTCCATGGTTGCTTTTTAGTGTGAATCAATCAATATATTCAATGAGAATATCTGGAAATTGTTAAATTACAAAATACCTCTTTATTTGGCCCTATTCGGTGGTCCAGCTTGTAATCCAGAGTTATAAAGGATATTATTTAGATCCATTGGCGTATATTACTCCCTTTATTGTAAGTTTATTGCTTGATTTATTGTTCATTTATTCTAATATTGACATAATAGCGAAAATCTAATTGTAAATTGAATAAAATGTCACAGACCTACAAGCGATATGTCAATCAATCATCTGCCATATAAGATTGTTTTTTTAATCATAACTACTGAGAATGCTTTCCTAGAAGGAATAGGCAATGTCAAACATTGCTTTGTTTATTAGATTTGATGACAATAGCATCTCATGTTTTTATCGTCTTTATCCATTATCTTCGTAGCACTAGGATGTTAGAAGTCATGACCACCATTTACGGTTGACATCAATATCATTTTCATATCAATCCTGGAAATCGATCGATCATTGCCATTCTTTCAACTTAATTTGTATTTGAAGTAAACTGTTTATTTCTGACATGTATTTCGTATTCATAATGTAAGGTTTGGATTAATTACTTAAAAATTTATAGATTTGCTAAAGTAATGAGGAAAGTTGGGATATCGTTACTTTTTAAGCATTTGCGTAGTAAATGATATGCAAAGAAATGAAGAAATAGTCTTTAGAAAGAAAAGTGTTACATACTCTGAAAATGTTCTAGACAACTCAAGTACACATTCTTCAGCCTCGGTCTCTTTTAAATGTGTGTAGCAGGCGGGCAGGGTACCTGGCTGTATCTGAACTTTTAAATTTCCCGCGTAAAGCTCAATTAAAGTTCAATCATCCTCAGTCTATGAGCTACGGTACTAATCATTTTCTCAATTTCGTTCGTTCAAAGCAATCCTTGAGCATAAAATGTTCATAACAAATTCAAAATATGTAGATATATTCCATAATCAACATGTATTTACCTGAAGTGGGCAAACAAATGAGAGAAATACAAGATCAACATCAAACGGATTACTTAGACTGAGGTACGTTGCTACATGTGACGTCACCTTGTTTTCATTTATTCCAATATGGCGGACGAATGAAAAATCTGATTTCCAACTTCAAATGTAATATATTGTAAATTGTGTAGATTATATTGGTTTGTAAGAGCTGTGTATGATAGAATAAAAATAAGAGGTGAGTTTCTGAATGTTTATATATGTGTTGTATCATGTGTATGACCGTACAAATATCTGAAAATTGAGTTTTTCTTGATCTTGTCGAACTTGAACTTGAACATGTGAAGTTCAAAAGTTGAACTTCAATTTTTCAAAGATTAGAAAATAAAATCAATTTTCAAGTTCAGTTGAAGAAGTTGAACATCATGATGATCATATTTATAGAAGTATTATTATTTAATTTCTTCAGTCTTCCTTACAGCTTTAGAACTTTGCTCGAAGTGTGAGGTAATGTCGACATGAGAAATGGGGTAACTTCAAAGCAAGGTGTCAAAGGTACCTGTTACACTGCTGGGTTGAGTCTAACGAACCATTTTTGTAACGAAGGTTAGAGAAAAAATTGTGTCCACACTGGCTTAATCCAACCCTAACGAAGCAATTATTTGGTGTTACACTGCATTTAAAATGCTTCGTTGCGCGTGCGCATTACTCATCTGCCCCACCCACTTATTATGATTAATATTTTTATTCCTTTGATATAAACCATTGATCAAACTCAAAAATCTAATTTTTAATCTTTATTTTAACAAATCAGCACAGAAAAAGACTAGTTCAAAATTCTCGGGAAAATAAAACAAGCTGAATGTGATCATTCCGTACACATGTCCATACATTTTTCCTATCATTTCGATTTTTATATATTTCAGCTGTCAATACGATTACAAGTATTGTTTTCATTTTCTATTATTTCCTTTGGAAAACATATGGAATAAAATAGGCCTATGTTAATTACTAGGAGGAATTGGATTTGGGGTTTATACTAGTATGTAATATCGTATAAAAACGTTCAATTTCCAAATGGACTTCTCAGTTATATTTCAAATAGTGAAGCCATTACTAAAATATCTCGGTGTTCGGCTGGTGGTTTATTAATTTGAATTTTCGACCTTCCAGATGCTTGAAAATCAAGGATTGCAAGTCTCATACTGTACCGTTTTTCTTCAAACCTATACCATTAAAAGCAAAACAAAATTGCCTCTCTGTCGGTGCATTACTTTATTGTAAAGAGTCCTCGTTCTAGCAGCGTTTTGGTCCCCAGCTGTTAGAAAGGCCTTTTTACAGCTAGGGACCAAAATGCCGCTGGAAGTAGGGACTCTGTTTAGGAGAATAATGTACCACCAGAAAGGGATTTTTGTTATGCTTTGAATGGAACAAGTTTGAAGAAAAACGGTGCAGTATGAGACTCGTAATCCTTGATTTTCAAACATCCGGTAGGTCAAAAGTTCAAATTAACGGTCGAAGTTAGAACCGTGTGTACTATTTCATGACTTATTCATTTTAATATGAATATTACCCGTCTCGCCAATACTCCATGCATATTTGAGTGAGTTTGACATAAATTAGTATGTTAATCCATCAGCCGTCCGTTGAATTCGCAAATAGGAAGACATTTGAATATCAGTTGTAAGCATCGTCTTACGACACATCAATAGTGTTTGGGGCTGGCCTAAAACATGCAGCCTCTCTGTGGCAAATATCTGTCGACAAGAAACAATTTTGGCCACCGTTCCTTGTCCGCAGGTTTTACCGTATTTGTATACGGAAGTTTTGAAACGTTAATTAATTCAATATATTTAAACATGAAGTTTAAATTCAATTACAATTTAAAATCGTCGAAGAATAAAATAATGGAACGACTAGTACAAGTACATGTATTGCAATGGGGTGATAGCCTGTTGAATACGATTTCTGAAGAGGGACATTTTCGAATCAATCAAATCTGTTATATTCCCTGATGTGATTCACCGGGAAGCAATTGTATCAGTATCATGGTATTAACACCTTTAGAATTACATTCAAGGTATAATTCATATTTAGTTTCCAATACTGCACCAAAAGCGAATGTTGTGATGTTTCAATTTTAGTTTGTTGTTTATCTTTTTTTGATTTAAGGGGTAGTCTTATTTCAATGCATCATTCTTAAACTTTAAATGTAAGCGGCTAATTTACACCCCAATTTAAACTAACTTTAGATATAGCAATTAAACCTCAATTTAACAAATATTCTGGCAGGTGGAAAACCTAAAATAATGGTGTCACATGTACTGTTTGAATTTGAATCAGTCAGAAATTAATGTTATTTTATCAAAGATGAATAAATAAATTTCTTCATGATGCTATATTCTTAGAGATTGCGTCATCATAACATAAACACTGTATGTCTGAGTTCTGCCAATACATATAGGCTGACCTTGGGAGACCTTGACCTTGGGAGGCCCTTTATTTGGGCAAGAACCAGAAGTGAGAAACTTCCATTAGCTCCAACATTGCAGTATTGCAATGCAAGGATTTTGACATGTGACAATTGACCATTCAAAACCATCTCAAAACATTACAGATTTGCCTCAATAAACAAAGCAAACTATGACTTGTTTGTCAATGATATGATTGAAAATTTCTTCCGAATTTCAATATATTGTGCAATGAAATTGATATTCATCTGAGAACATATTTGTATTTTCATGATGAATTGTCCAAGATTTGTTTACGAAAAGTGTACTTCTTTTGACTGTGCATAAATAATGAGCTAACGCTGCAGTGCCATTGCTGATTGGTCAAAGTTGACAGACAATAACAAACTGTTGGTAAAGCATATGTAAAATTTAAAGGTGAAACTAACATTTAAAAATAAAAAAGACACCGACTTAGGCAAGGCTAAATTACCCCAGACCAGTGGAGAATATAAAAAGCACTAATTTAAAAACAATTATGATTTGTACAGCATTTATTTTATGTCTAAGCTTTGGACCTATCAAATCCCAATAAATACAAAACCAGTTTCATTGAAAAGATCAAAAATACTTTAACAAAAAGACATCATTCTATTTCATTCTTATCCCATCATAATGTTATGCCTAACCCAACAAGATACAGCATACTGAGCAGTAGTATTGAATGTTCAAGTCTCATTACTTAAAACAACCTTTAAACAAACAGCCAAGTTCCTGACAGAATAGAGAGGGATTGCTCCCTGGAGACTTTAATCTCATGCAAAATATATTAATGCAAAATAAGGAAGGTTAAAAATCCCATGATTCAATGATCCACATTCCATTTTAGCATTTTCTGATTGGATTCAAGAGAGTTGAATTTTCCTCCTGAAAATGGTATCTTGGTAAACTAGCATGCGTAGGTGTAATAATGTGATCATAACCAGAGTTTTCTAATCAATTTCAGGAGTGAATTAGATTATGATACGTTACTATGGAGAAACGCTACATTCATGACCTCAAAATGAAGATGGAAAGGAAAGTTGGACTATTGTCACTTGACATCGACAAATTCACCAAAGCTGGTACAGAGGAGCTACAAAAAGGGAACCTACATCATGCCTTAGATTGTTTTGAATTTGCATACAAGAGATCCTTGCAATTAAAGGAGAGTTACACAGAACGTGCTTGTGCCTTTAACCTTGGAGCTGTATATATTGCCCTCAACCAGGGGAAACAAGGTCTAGAGCTCTTACATAAAGCCGTACCTCCAAGTGATAAAAAGGATGGACGATCTAATGGCGATCTATTTTATAATTTTGCACTCGGGTATGACTCTATTAATGATAAAGCATCTACTGTGAAATACCTTGAACTAACTGCAAAGGAATACAAAGAAGAGAACAATGTGTTCATGTTAGCTGATGTGAACAGTCGTCTGGCACAGTTGTATGCTAAACTAAAGAATCATTCAAAGGCCGCTGTTTGCTTTGGTGCCGCTGCATCTGCCACAGAGCAATCCCGCGATCATGATCGTCAAGTGGTGTACCTGGCAAAACAGGCTAGTCAGTTGTACCAGTGTGGAGAGGGTGTACAAGCAGTGAAAGTACTAGATGATTGCTTAGTTGCATGTAACACTCATACACTCGCTAACAACAATACTCTAGGTATGTTTTTAATTTCCCTATGCATTAAACTTATCTTTGATATTCTTCTTTGGTAGTTTATATTCAAATCAATATGACAAAAATGAAAAATTTGAATATACTAATCTAATCATATATTACTAATTAGTAAATAAGAAAATGGAAATGGATTTATTTAGCCAAATACTATTTATATTCATTAGAATAATGAAACTGAGGTCAAAATAACTCCTTTTGTTTGTTAAACTGTCAATAAGGATAAATGCAGTAATCAATGATTGTTCTTTTCATAGCTCATGCGATTGGTGGAAATTGTACTGTATCATAGTATATTTTTATTTTAATTACCTTAGATAATGTGGTTTTAGTTATTGTACACTACATCATTACATCTCAAACATATTTGATGAAAAAATTATATTTATTTTATTTTTTACAGGCAAACTATACAATGACCTTGGTCTGACCTATACTCAATGTAAGCAGTTTGCTAAGGCAGCCCAATGCTTTGAGGAGGCCTTACCCCTTGCCCGAGGCACCCTTGGGGAGAAGAAACGTGAAGCTGTGGTCTTGCAGAATCTTGGTGCTGTTTATAACTCATTGGGGGACTTCCAGAGGGCTCTGGGGTTCCATGAGAGTGCTGCTGGTATACACGGTGAGTTCAGAATTCTGTTTATTTCAGTATTAAATCAAACAAATACATACAACATTAACAGCATACTTGTATGAAGCTTGTTCAGGTTTGGGAATATTGTTCAGCAACATCATGATGATATAAGTCATACAGAGAGAGAGGTGTTCACTAAGACAGGGTTTACTGTTACTCATCATAGTTTAAAAAGCTTTTAAAATTCACATTCTTGACTCTGTATATTTATTTGCAGCTGAACTGAAGAATCGCAACTCCCAGGGCCAATGCTTCAACAACCTCGCCTATGCCTTCAGTCAGCTAGGAGATAATGATAGTGCTGGGGAATCATACCTGCATGCCCTCCAGGCAGCAAGAGATACTGGTGAGTACACTACATGAGTGGGACATCAGGGGGACAATGGCAAAGAGGGGTACACTACAGGGATGGGGCATAGGGAGACAATGACAGAGAGGAGTACACTACATGGGTAGGGGCATGGGGACTGGGGAGACAATGACAGAGAGGTGTACACTACATGGGTGGGACATCAGGGGAACAATGACAGAGAGGGTTACACTACAGGGATGGGACATAGGGGGACAATGGCAAAGAGGGGTACACTACAGGGATGGGACATAGGGGGACAATGACAGAGAGGAGTACACTACAGGGATGGGACATAGGGGGACAATGACAGAGAGCAGTACACTACAGGGATGGGACATAGGGGGACAATGACAGAGAGGAGTACACTACAGGGATGGGACATAGGTGGACAATGACAGAGAGGAGTACACTACAGGGATGGGACATAGGGGGACAATGACAGAGAGGAGTACACTACAGGGATGGGACATAGGGGGATAATGACAGAGAGGGGTACACTACAGGGATGGGACATTGGGGGACAATGACAGAGAGGAGTACACTACAGGGATGGGACTTAGGGGGATAATGACAGAGAGGAGTACACTACAGGGATGGGACATAGGGGGACAATGACAGAGAGGGGTACACTACAGGGATGGGACATTGGGGGACAATGACAAAGAGGAGTACACTACAGGGATGGGACATTGGGAGACAATGACAGAGAGGAGTGCACTACAGGGATTGGACATAGGGGGACAATGACAGAGAGGAGTACACTACAGGGATGGGACATTGGGGGACAATGACATAGAGGAGTACACTGCAGGGATGGGACATTGGGGGACAATGACAAAGAGGAGTACACTACAAGAATGGGACATGGGGGATAATGACAGAAAGTGGAATCATATGACTAATATCGTCATGCCAGCAAGAGATACTGGTGGGTGCCTTACAGGGGTAGGGGCATAGGGGGACAATGACAGAGAGGAGTACACTACAGGGATGGGACATAGGGGGAGGACAATGACAGAAAGGGGAATCATATCATATCTTCATGCCCACCAGTTTTCTCTCTACATGTACATGTAGATGAGTGAAGGGTTGTAAGATACTCAATTTACGTTATGCTGATCTCAATGACTTAATATGTTTTTATTATCGTCAATAGAGTTTCTAACAGCAGTATTATCACTTATAAGTTATTTATAGTATATCACATCACTGGCCCATCCAGTACACTAGTACAGATCAATAAATGTTATACAATGTAGATTCATGTAATGTTTGTAAATATTTATAAATTATTAATTTGAACATCGTGAGTCCTGAATTAATAACCAAAAACCCTTCAACTAACTCTAACTCTGCATTAAGGAAACATGGTTTCAAATTATATAAGCTTCAGTATTAACTTTGTTTCATTGTTGAATTGTTGGTTTAAGGCAGTATGAAGTATACCCAGTTCATCTCTTAAGGGGTCAACAATTGTTTGGCTATATCTAAACTAAAATCAAATATTGAATGATTCAGTACAGAGTGAGACTGTAATGATTATCTATACTTAAACTTCAAGGGTTAAAAGGACAGGAATTGGCAATAGGAGTACAGTAAAAGAGAATGTAGTGATTAAAACAATTTTAAATTGGTTGTATATGATGATATGCCTCTTATACTGGTACACATGTATAATCGTTCATACACAGGTGACCATCATGCCCAATGGCAAGCATTGGAAGGACTTGGCGCTGTTGCGTTTAACAATGGTCAAATCGAAAAGGCAATTCGCAACTTCAAACAGGCACTTAGTCTCATCAAATCTTCCGAGGCAGATTTCGATGAAGCACAGGAGAGGATTGTGGGTAAATTAACCGATGCGTTGCAGTATCAAGTGACCCTGAACCTAAAGACAAGTCCTGTTGCAGTAGATTTGAAGAATGTCCGTCCAAGCTCAGTAAGTGTTCAAAAAGTATATCAAATCAACTAAGGCCTGGCTTGTGAATAATTAAAAATAAAATGAATTTTTAATTTAAAAAGAAATGACAGTACTGTTAGCATATGTTCTTGCATAGCTAGATCACTACAACTTTGCACCACCTACTGTACATGTAGTTCTATATTGTGCAATATAGATATTATGTACACTGTACATATTGAACTATCTTTTGCATTTAACCGATACATTTACAAGCCATGTCTATGTCGTGCATCCTCCAATCACAGGGCTTCAAAATCCAGAATATATTCTTTCTTTTTACACCCTGCGATAAGCAGTTAGCATTTCCCCGATTAAGAACTCACAATCTGATTGGTTGCGGCAGAAATCATATATAAGATCACGTGATTCAGTTTAATCGGGCGCTTCCAAATTGGTTATAGCAGGAAGACAAAGGAGGTACGGATTCTGGATACCTGCTTAGGAGGATGATGTCGTGCAAATGCCTTTTGAACTGTGAATGTATTTAGCGAACACTTGGTTCAATGAGTGTTTTCTCTGGGAAGGGCAAGCCAAGATCTAAAAACTTGTGAGGCAAAATATTAAAGGGACATGATTCAAGTGTTGAACTTACTTTTCGCAGTATGAATTTTTGTGTTTGTAGCAAATGGCAGGTGGTGATATTTTGCATATTAATGCCTTGTTATTATAACGACATATAAAATATTGATTTTCTTTTCCTTCCATATCAACTCTATTTATATTTATTAACATCATGGTTGAGAAACATATGCAATTTCACATTGACATTCACTATATAGGCATCTAAGATTGCAAAAGCTGTCAAGGAAGATCCACTCAGTGATTATAGAAAAAGGTACAACATAATAAACGGTATACTGTACATTGCATGCTTGTAAAGCCAAAGCCTGTCTCAATATATGAAGCAACACAAAATCATAATTCAATTTTTTGTTTTGTTAGCGTAAATGAAAGCTAATTATTGATACAGGTTTAGAGTAATTAACTCATATTGATGTGTAGTTAAGCCGTAATCCTTTTAACCCCGCATGTAGTTAACTATGAGGTATTGGGATTTATGTGACCAATCTGCACTTTTATATGATTTCGGCATTATTTTGGGCTCCAAGGCTTTGAATCAGTAAATATATTCCCTATTCAATGAAGTAAGTGTGACTTTTCAGACACAAATGAGCCAATCTAAAAAGAGGCTGACCTCATATAAGCAATAAAGGCCCAATGAAAGCAGATTAAGTTGCTTTAAAAATATCAAGGAGGATTGGCAGCCATTATGCAAACTCAATCTTCCATTGCCTGGCATGAAATAAATTAGTAATATTTCTTAAAGGGCCATCTTTGGACCAATTTTAAGAGAGACATTACGTGTATTATGGTAATACACAAACTCCCGTGACAGTGTTAAGTCTTCAACATATAGGTAATACTGCATTGTTACCAATGGTCCATGTCAGGCAAGTGAAGATGAGTTTGAATAATGGCTGCCAATCATCCTTGTTAAAATTTTCAGTTGTTGTTACAAGTAAACAGACATCAATCAAGATCTGTCCCTGTCCAAAACCATTGAGGCATTATTGCTCATGTTTGGATTTAGATGTAAAGTAGCCACACATTGATAAAATTATCATGCTTCAGTGAATCTTTTATTTGGTGGACCCATAATTGCTTTTTTAACCTCATCGACTGACCATGGAGATAATATTCATAATATCCTTAAAGCATGTTTTTCTTCAATCATTTTAAAGACAAATCCCTCCAGAGAAGGTCAATCAATCCCATGTTTTTCTCCAATCATTGTAAAGACAAATTCCTCCAGAGAAAGTCGATCAATCCCATGTTTTTCTCCAATCATTGTAAAGACAAATTCCTCCAGATTAGGCCCATCAATCCCATAATCCTCTGCACTGCACGTTGCTTGTACTATAGGATGAAGGAGGTACTAGGAGGGTGGTCCATGAGCATGGTGGTGGGGTTGATGTTATGGTGAGACCCCCAACAAGAGAGATGTTGAGGGAACACAACAGGGAAGAAAGGAGAAAGTAAGTAATTATCATAGTCAAAGAAAGAACATGTATAACAGTTCAATAATGATGTCCAATCAGATCTGTGTTATTAGACTAATATGCATCTTCCCTGGCCTTTGATATTGAGTGTTATGTTGCATTGTGGGTATAAGTGTTCTTTGTTAAGGTTATACTGTAAACACTTAAACAAAACTGCATGCATTTTCATTTTTAAAATTCACTAAATCTATTCACAGCCACATGTTAAATTCGTGAGTCTGATTTAAAAGATATGTTTTACAATTCAGAACAAACTATACAGCATGCAGTACTGTATTATTGATCATGTGTCTTCTTTTGGTGTTGTGTTGTGCAAATAAAATATTTTTAATATGGAAATTTTTGATCATTCACTGCATTAATTTTTTAATTCTTGGTATTAAAGTTCAAAGCACACAATAACTTGGGTGAAAAATACATTTTCGTTCCTTGTATATTCGTAAGAGCTTTTCTGTATTCCTGGATGTTGGGTTTAAATTAAAGTGTTTATCTGACATATAAACTTTCTTACTAGATCACGAAAAAAAGAGCATAAAGCGAGAAGGCGCGAAAATGATTTTGACACAATTGCACTTGGTGTGGGAGAGTATGATACAGATAGTGACAGGTCACTGTCCATATCTAGATCCTCATATAGTAATAATGATGAACCAGCTCCAGATGTGAAGGTTCGGGAACGGTTATATGATAAACCAATACGGCAGCATTCCATGGCATCTTCCAATAGAAGGTAAGGGCGGGAACTTTTGCAAATTGCCTGATTTTAGTTTCTCTCATAGCGGTCAATCAAATTTTATTTTTATCAATATTTTTACAGTAGGGCAATAAAAAATCTAGTTCGCCAGATTAATACATATTGGACCTGATTTTCCTTTGAACTTTAATCATATGGAAATCACAAAATCATTTATCATGTGATGCGGATCAGATTGCAAAAACTGTTGTTAAGGCATGTGTTTTAACACTTTCACCTAATATAACATTTGTTTAACATGCACTTTAGTAATTACAATTTAATTAACATATATAAGTTGATGAAGTGAGTACGTCATTAACCATGTTTTTGCTTGTAGGGTCATGAAATATTTACATGATATACAATTCAATCATTAGTGGGGGTTATTATTAGATACTAAGATCCAATAAATCACTAGATATTGACTCATCTTATAAATAAATAAGTTGCTGAATACCATGTACAATCATTCATGTTTTAATAAATTCTCCTTATATTGTATTTGTAAAGAAAATGCCCATTGCTCTATATTTACATCACAGTACTATATTTCACATCATTTTTTTTAATTTTCTTATCGATACACAGGACTTTGCAAAAATGCAATGATTGGCTAATCAATAATAAGTATAGGCCCAGTAGAAAGAGGTAAAAATAGAGTTTAGATATACATCATCTTGAAAGAACATGTTGCATGTACTTGTTTGACATGATAGCTTAATGTCCATTACCCCAAATCTGGGCATAAATCACTGACCAGGGGAAGGTGACTTGTCACAGTGATGTGTTATCCTTTTTTGGCAAAAAATCGATTTCAAGGTATACATTTAATCACTTTGTGTATGTATATTCTATATTTTTTGTAAAATTGTCATTTGACTTTTGCAAACAAATGTAGGTATAGACAGATGTCACGTCACGTGGGCTTTTACATCTTCAGTTATTAGCATGGTACTGATTTCTCTGTACGGTGTTTAGATTCATGCTTCATCACACATTATAGAGCTGAAATGAGAGAATGAAAATGTCATTTAATACAATTGTAGATATTTAGTGTTCAATAATTTGCATGGTCAATTCATGCTCATTGGTTTAGCTGCAAGTTTTCTATAATAAGCTTTATCCTAATGTATCAGTTTTCAATTGTGACATCATACACACATTATGTACTTAATAGAACAAAGAGTTATTCCAATTTACAATTTAATAACAAATCATTTAAGCTGCATTAACATTTCTAATGGTGACACATCTAAAGCTGTTCATACAAATGAGAAAAACATACAACTATAAATTAATTGATTAATTCACATTATTACATTTTCATTAAAACTTCTACAATTTCATACTTTATTTCACATTGCTGATTCAAAACATTATTCAAGATTATAACCAGTGATAAAATTTGATTTTAATATTAGATTATCATAATGATATATCTGTATGTGTAATTATATGTATATTACTAGGAGTAAAGCCCAGAGACGCAAAAATAGTGGAGAATATGAGAGTGACCAGCGCCACAGCAGTAACCATAGAAACTATGACCAGCCAATCAGAAGAGAGAATCGAAGGGCTGCCAGTGAAAATGAAGTTGACCATGGCCAAGTTAGGCAAGAAGGGGAAACAAAAAAGTAAGGCAAATCACTTTTCATATGAGTTATAGTTTGAAACATTATCACTCGATCACCATATTCACTTAAAGCAGTTGTTCCCATCCCATTAGAATCTAATGATTTAGTCCAAAGTCTCTAGTCGATAGTGATAGCAAATAGTCTTCACATGTATCCTCACAACATTTAGCATATTTGAAATATTTTGTTTTAGATTAATGCTTGGAGTTTCAGCGTAAGTTTAAATTATGTGTATAGCTAACAATCAACAAGTTTTCCCAAAGGTGTAGTATTCCTTTAATGTGGTATACTCCAAATTATACTCAGTTGAATTATTGCAGGATAACAGTGGTGAAAGTCTCCCTTTAGTGATCATTGTCCCAATGTGAATAGTCCTGTGTCATTAATTTTAATCATATGATCATAACGATGATATTGGTCAAATCAATATGGATCATTGTTTTGGGGGAAATAGGGCCAAAATATATGATCTTGACTCCAGCCCCCCAGACCCTTGTTCACAGACACATCCACCACTGTCATATTATTATATTGTCTATACCCCTGGAGGCATTCATCACTGTTATCAGGGCAAGATTCCTGAGATACAAGGTGTGTAAGCATAACATGGATCAGACCCTTAAGGACAAGGTGAAACTGCAGCACCAGTCATTTCAAAAAGATGGTCAGTTTTTTATACTGAACAAACAACTGTTTCCATAGCAATAATTTATATCATTCTGTGAGCAAGATATTTGTGCACTAATCTCAGGAAAATCAATCACTTTGCACAAATATTTTCTTTTGACAAATTGGCAACTTTTCTTGGATCAAAATCATGTTTTTAGCTTAGTACAATTCTAAATATACTCCTCAAAAAAAATTAAGGACCAATTTTTTCCTCATAGGTTTACATGATTAACCCCCGTGTATGTTTAAATTCTATTTTCTAAGACAGAAACGAAAGAAAAGATGATATTTGTAAATGGATATGTACCTTGACTCTATTCTTTATATTTTAGGAAATTTTAGGGTTCAAACATACATGGGGTTTAACATGTAAACCTATAAGGTAAAAGAGTGGTCCTTCACTTTTTTTAGGAGTATATATACATTGATCTGTCTGAGCTGTGTTGCACTTATCACCATGGCAGTGATCTGTAAACAGTATTCAAGGACTATGAAATGTCTGTGTGGTGCTGGTAAAAAACACTTTGTGATATCATTCACCATACCGCAAAAAGTATGCTTTTTTGAAATGACAACATAAGACATCCAGCTATTGCTAAATTAACATTTTTGTCACAAATGCTCATGGACTCCCTCTTTCTTTGTTTAAACATGATTTATGCTTTACTTGTGGTCAAAATAAGCATACGTTACCATATGCCAATAAAAATTATTAACAAAATATGCCAGTAAAAGCATGCAATTTAATCTGCAATGCTTTCAGCTGTTTGCACTAAACCATGATCAACGTCATCTCTTTACATACATTCACGGTGACTGCAGGCCCTGTATATCGCGAGTGAATATCCGCTGACATCGCGAGCAATGAGCTCATGTTAGAAGCATGGCCTTGAGAGATAATATATATGATAAAATATAGTTATAGTTGAATTGCCCTGCAATTAAATTAGCCACTGTACTATGAAATAAAGTTGTACTGAGTTTCACTAACTAAAGTTTCATAGAAAATTTTATATTTCGATTTCTCTCAAGGCCCCGGTTTTAGCATGAGCTCATTGCTCGCGATATCAGTGGGGCCCAGATAGTCCCCGTGTACATTGTTATTGTTGGACAATTTCAACTCAATCTAACAATTGAATTGTAAGAAATCTTATGAAAACTACATGATTGTGACTGTCTTTGAGTCTACTGTTGTTTAAATTAGGTTTCTTGTATCTATTGGTATAATTGATTCTAGCCATACTGATTAGTGTATGTGGATGGATCATTTCTAGGAGTCCCTTGTAGATATTGAGGTACTTTATGATATTGTTGAGTGATTCATTCTTCAAAACATTTCCTGGAAAATGACAAACATTTGAGCTTCCTATGGCTGCCATCTTACAAATCTGCAAAAGCTTACTTTTTGGTGAATTTCTTTAACTGAATTATTAATTTCTGTATATGGCATAAAAGTATTAGTAGTTATTCATTTTTGGGGAAGACTATAAGAATGAACGACTCAACGACTCAACATTTAGTAACCTTCACAGACCTGTAGCCATAGCCAGCTTTTTCTCATGGGGTTCACTTCTCAAAAATTCCCCCTCCCCTGGCAATTGTCCTGCCTTCACTTGGGTAATCTCTTAAGAATCTTTCTTCTGCATTGTGTTTCATGCAGTATGTACATCCTCCAGTGCGCTAAATGGGTTGGAATCGTGGGACATCATTGTATGTTTTCTGATATCTCATGCATTCTCCAGGTGGCGCTCATTTGCCCAGAAAGATTCTTTACTTCATGCATATCTTCTGTTGTGTGTTTTATTGGCAGATTTTAGTCATTTAGTCAAACTTGGCAAATTTTTGGCAAGCTTTGAACTCTTTTTACTTTTTGGCCAACTCCAAGTTCAACCCCTTCCATGTTGAAAGTTGGTTTAGGTCAGAATCTGTCCGTCAGATATTTATCTTATGGACATCATTTCCATGGTATCATCATGACTTTAATGTCATTGCCTAGCATCCCTAACACCTTTAATCTGCACGTTTGAGACAGCAGCATGATTGTAATATATATATATGCAGCTAGCACAATACATACATGTACTTAATATATATACATGTTTACTACATATGTAATTTCTACCATAAATGCAATACAGATAGCCTGAAATTATTGGAAATGTAAGAACTCAAAGCTAATCCATTGCAATTTGTTTATCAAATTAAAACTGTCCAAGTCCATCAAGGTTTATTGAAGATAAGTTGAATGTCTTCCCTGCATTGAAGTATATTTTTCATTTCTCCATGTAAATGTAAGAACTCAGATTTGTTCAAATTCAAATATTGTATATCAAATTCAACTTATTCAATTGTGAAATTAAGTTTTTTAGAGATGGAGCGTGCCTGCTATTCTATATATTGCTACAATAAATTGAATTATACATGTATAGTGCCTGATATTCTACCTATTGCTACAATAAATTGAATCATACATGTATAGCGTCGTGCTTGTTTTATCTATTTGAATAGGTTAAGTAACCCAATTTTCATTCTTTTTAGGTTTTCCAGTGGAAAGAAGCCTAGGGGTAGAGGCAACAGTTTCAGTAGCGCAGGCAGTAACATAAGCGTTGATCCAGATAAGCGACTTAAACGCAAACCCTTGCTTTATACAGAGGACCACGATTCAGAGGAGGAGTGGAAGAATGAACTTGGGAGGCTTGCAGGTGATCAGGAAATCAGCTCAGGTAAGAGGTGTTTCATGAATAAATTTGTAATTTCAGTTATGAAACATGATAGAGTCCAGGCACATAGCCAGCTTTTGCCAAGGGGGTTCACTTTTTGAAAAATCCAGGGGATTCATGGCCCAAAAATGGCTGAATCACTTGAACAGCCTTTAGAATGGTGAAAACTGCATGGTTTTGACAGAATTTTGGCCAGGGGGATGCGGGGTTCAACCCCCCCCCCCCCCCCCCCCCCCCGACTAAGGGCCTTGAGTCATGCAGGGATTCAGGATGTAGCAAGTATAAGACAGTTTAGGAGTTAAGCATGTCTTCCCATCATTCATAATTGAGATCATGCATTTAAGTGCAGTTAAACACACAAACACAAAGTTGATTTATTTCAATGCATCAAGTTCTAATGTACATTAGTGCATGCTTTTCATGATATTAATGATGAATAAGACATGCTCAAATTGAATGATTCTTGATAAAATGTTAAATCCTTCCCATTGTTTCAATATACATGTATAACGTTAACCTTATGATTTTGCACTACAAATTGATTCATTTTATATTGCTCGTTTTTATTTATGTTGTTATTTATTTCGTATAATTCTAATATAATTTTTGTATACAAGTGTTGTATTGTTTTGTTTTTATTGTGAGCAGTCTCGGGAGTGGACTTGGGTACTATACTTTTTAATGTTCCCAGATCATATCAGGAAGCTTTCACATTTATGTTTTTAAGTAGCTTTGTATTTAAATCCAGTTGGAGAAATGCTAATCCAAATCTCATTTGGAAAGGGGGCCATCATATGGGCTGAAAATAGGAGTTACAAGAAATCGTACCTATCTATATCCCCGAAAGACTACCATAATCACCTAAGCGTTGTATAGTATTGTTCACTAGTCCCACTATGGCTGCTATAAAACTGGTTAATATTTTGTTATGTCTGCCATCACGATCAAATTCACTACAACTGTTAATACTTCTCTTTATCCTAACAGCTAAAGCATCTGGTATACGCTACTTAAGTACACCCCGTAAAGGGTTGCGTTACACTAGCACACCCTCAAAACATGTTGAGTGGCAAGGTTTGTAGTAATTGTTTCAAGCCAGAATTTAGTGATATATATCATGCAGGCATGTGCATGTTTCCTAATTAAGCTAGGATTTAGTGATACATAAATGCATGCATTAGATCCCATTCTCTTCCCACGATTTAATCCATGTAGGGGTAAGAGTATGTCACAGGTAATGCCATCTATTTCCACTTGTAATGTAATTGTTAATTCGTTATTTTGATAAATGATTATTATCTCGAAGATAAAATTGAAATCAGAATGATTCCAAATTAGTTTTCTTTGTATTTAATATTAATTAAATTAAAATTAAGTACAATGTATATCTTCCCTAGAAGGATCAATTATTCTTAAATTAACAATTTAAATAAATAATGTTTATATCCTCCGAGCCCAATCAACTATTTTTAAATGTCCAATGCATTTTTGACTCTTTCAAAAATATACCTCCTACTACTCTATTGTTTTTTAAGAATATCTGGTTTGTGTTGGAATCTCTTTATCCCATCCCCTGCACTTTCCTACCCCCATTTCCATTTCTATTCTTATGTTTTTTTAATGTGATATATGAACAACTATGTAACCTATGAATATTTGCACTGTGTTATTGGATGTTGAAAAAGGGGCAGGGCTACACTATTGTGGTTTTGCAGTTAGTCAATCTGTAAAGCAAAGGCCCATCATTGTAAAAGTAAAAGCATTGAAATCAACATCTTTTTCAAAGTCTTCAAGCATTAACAAAGGAAGAGGGGAACTCATCCTTGGTTTAATTTTATTTTCCCAAAAGTATTTACAGCATGTCAATGTTCAAGTTATCAGCAAGTCATCCTCTTAAAGTATAATTTAATGTTGAAAATTTTGACTATTCCAATTGAATATGATACATCTACTGCTTTCTATTTTAAATGTGTAATGAATTTAATGTTTGAAAACGTTCAAGATGAAGACTTCAGGGAAAAATTGCGTCCTATGGTCACACCAAGTCCTGGAAATTCTCCAAACCCAAAGTATGGTCGACGAAACCATGAATATGATGAAGTAGATGCGGCACCTCAAAGGCGTAGTAAAAAAAGATCGGGTAGAGAAAGTAGTTCCCAGGATGCCCTGAAGATGTATCGACAGAAGAGTATGGAATCCATGGGAACTAAGGCCATGAACGTGGAGGAAAATATCAGAGCTCCCATTTCAAGGGCAAAAAGTTTTGGTATGTCATTGACTAAAAATCTTCATATTAGAAAGGGAGATGAGATGTTTTTGGCCATTGATGTCAAGATTTTTTCTGCATTGATGTTCTAGTTAAGGGGTTTTGCTTTATATTATCTCTTGCTGCAAGTTCTCAAAAGTGCAAATCTGACTATAGATTTGACCTTCAATGACATTCTCAAGGTCAAAAAAGATTTGACCTTCAATGACCTAAAAGGTCTCTTTTCACATTGCTTCAAATTCACCAATTTATTTTTTTCAAAATGATCAAAATTCAAATCTGACTTAAGATTGAACTTATAATATTGCGATCAACTAGGTGGTGAAATTTTGTCATGTTAATGCCTTGATCATCATTGTATTTATTGTTAACAAAATGATACTAACTTGTATTTTATGCAGAAAAGGGTGAAATTCTTTGAAGTGAAGGTTTAATCTATGTAATGTTTTCATGAGATTTGATTTGGCATATATTAACACCTTTCTTTAATGTGACCACCCAGGCTATATAAACATTACTTGCATTTTAAAGGGAATTCATTTTGTAAGCATTTAGATTTCATGTAACATGCATTACCATGACAACAATATGGAACTTAACCTTTTTTAAGATTTATGGTATTGAACAAAACTTCTTTTAATTATCCTAGGTTACCATTGCAATGAATAATTGATCCATCAATGATACTATAATATACTTGATGATGATGATTTTTTAGATTCCCTAAAACAACCTGTGTATCAGGCAGACAGGCGAGATTCCCCAAAGCCTGGATCACCAGTATCACCTAATCAAAGAAGACCAACTCCACTTGATTATGTCAGTCCTGAGCAACAGTCTACTCCTAGGAACCAGAAAGATGCCAGGACAAGCAGTGCGCTTAATGGTAGAAAGGATGCTGCTCCATCTACATCCAGTGACAGTGAAACTGGAAGTAGCTACACTGATGACAGTGAGACTGAGAGTGAGGTACCACCAAGAAGGTAAACAAAATAGTACTTAAAGCTGTTAAATGGTGCATAAATGCCATAAACCATGCATGCATGGCATTTTATGAGATATACGACCTCGCCATTGTGATTGATCTATGTTTGTACTTAGATTTTTGTGAAATATGATGATGTGAATTGTGAAAACATTTTTTAATCATATGTACAGTTGAAATAATGATCTCTCTGATTTATTGGGCATTTATGTAAATTCGGTTCATTATCTTCATTACTGTAAAAATATTTTTGATCTCCCTCTCTCAATTGCTATAGTACTTTGTAATTGCATGGCTGGTTGATAATAACTGGCTTACTTTATGAATAAACATGATCCTTTATTACAGTACATGAGTCCAATAACAACAATGATAATTAGTTTTTATAAGATCATAGATTTTATTAACTTATCGTGATATATTGAGTGATTTAGGAGCATTTTTGATGTGACCCTAAATTCCCTCTGTTTGTTTGTATCTTAATTGACAATAAAGGCAATTCTTTTTTCTGCTTTTAATATTTCATTTGATCATATCCATAAAATTACTATGATAATTTTGAGCTTGGTGATTGATCAGCTATTTATCAAATACATCAGATCTGAATTGCAGCTAACTTTGACATTTTCTGTTTGCTTCAAAAACTATAGCTTGAACATGTAGCTGCCTAGTCTTGCTTCAAGCCCCTGGATGGACCCCCCTTATCTACTTCAACAACAGATTGTTTAAGTAGTCATTTGGGTCTTGAAGCTAGACTATAAGCTGCCTTGTTATTCATCAATCATCAAAACATTTCATACTCACCAATAACCAGGACTGTAACTTTGGTACAATTCACATCTTTGAGTAATAAACTCTGTCCTGTCTCCTACATGAATTTGTATTTTAAGTTAATCTAATTCATGATCTTCCAGACTGCAAGTCATGTTAATAGAAAGCATTGTTAATAGCAATCTTTGTTAATAGCAAGCTTGGTTAATTGCAAGCTTAACTTGAACTTTGTTAATAGCAAGTTTGTTTAACAGCAAGCTTTGTTAATAGCAAGTTTGGTTAACAGCAAGCTTTGTTAATAGCAACCTTGGTTAATGGCAAGCTTTGTTAATACCAAGCTTTATTAATAGCAAGCTTTGTTAATAGCAAGTTTGGAAACAGCAAGCTTTGTTAATAGCAAGCTTGATTAATAGCAAGGTTTCTTAATAGCAAGATTGATTAATAACAAGCTTTGTTAATAGCAAGCTTTATTAATAACAGGCTTGGCTAATAGCAAGCTTTGTTATCCCAACGAACGAAGTTCGGTAGGGATATAGTGAAGCCCTCCGTCCGTCAGTCAGTCCGTCAGTCAGTCCGTCAGTCAGTCCGTCAGTCCGTCCGTCCGTCCGTCCGGAAGATAACTCAAATACGAGTTGACGGATTTTCTTCATATTTAGTGGAAAGATGTATATTGGTGAATAGTTGTACGCAAAAAAAAATTTTCAAGATGGCCGCCGCTTTAAAAATGACGGGACTTTTTCGCAAAAACCATAAATTTTTCATTCTAAACCAAAGTAATTAATATTATTGTTTGAAATTTTGGTAGTATATTCGCAACATCTATCTATTTCACATATATTCCGTGTTTTTCATCCTGACCCCCAGGGTCAGGAAAACAGTAATTTTCGCTAATTTTTAGATCTTTCTGAAGTATAGCTTTATTATACTCAAATGAAAGGCAATTAAGAGTAGATTGCAAATATTGTATCTTTTTTCTGATTCGAGCCTCGTAAAATTCAAAATGGCCGTCTAATGTACGATTTCGCAATAATTTTTCGATCCCTTCAAAGTATGGCTATATTATACTCAAATTGAAGGAATTTTGGAGTAGATCACAATTATGGTATTATTCTTCAGATTTGTACCTCAGAAAATTCAAAATGGCTGCTTTGCAGGAATTCACAATTCTAAAATTTAAATTTTTCAATTTTAACCAAAGTAATGAGTATAATTGATTGGAATTCGGTAATTGATATTTTGTTCGTTGGGATTTGCTACTCCGGGGAGTTGCCATTGTCTAGTTAATAACAGGCTTGGTTAATAGCAAGCTTTGTTAATATGACATTCAAGTCTTTTTTCGACTCATGCATATCTCTGCACTATTTACTCTCTGTGTTCTAGCCCAACACGACGCCATCCTCCACCTGTGCCAACACCGCTTCACTCTACTTATGAGTACCCCGCCCTGTCACCAGATTATGCCACTATACGCTCACTGTCACACACATCTAGGTCACAGAAAGATCACACTTACCATAATGATGATGTTTTCAGGAACCTTAATGAGACTACATATAGTACAGTCAACAAGACTGCAAATAAAGGTAGGTATATTTAACAATATATATTTTTCATAGATAGCTCATTTGATCACTTGTAGAAGTCTTCAAGTATAGTGGTCCTAACATGTATTGGACAATACACAATACACATGCAGAATTTCATTGGGGTTTCAATGAGTTATAGTGATTGTTGCTAGATGTAATCATTTTGACCAACCATGAGTGTTATTATTACTTGTGGCAATCCACAGAGCATGACGTATTTCCTCCAATAGTTCAAGTCTGTTTAGATTTAGATTTGCTTGCCATTAGGTATATAAATTCTAGTTGAATCAGTTTTATTTAAGTCACCTATTTGGTCACTGAATTATTCAGGAATGCTATGATTTCATTACTTTTGCCTTATTGTATACATGTTGGCGTACTGTATACATTTTGACTTATTGTATACATTTTGACTTATTGTATACATGTTGGCTTACTGTATACATTTTGCCTTATTGTATACATGTTGGCTTATTGTATACATATTGGCTTACTGTATACATTTTGACTTATTGTATACATGTTGGCTTGTTGTATACATGTTGGTTTACTGTATACATTTTGACTTACTATATACATATTGGCTAATTGTATGCATTTTGACGCTGTATACATATTGGCTTATTGTATACATTTTGACTTATTGTATACCTTTTGACTTATTGTATACATATAAGCTTATTGTAGGAATTACTGGCTCATTATTATTGGCTTGCTTTTTCATGCATGTATTATTTCAATATGAAATTAGGTGTAGGTCTATGGAAAGCTTCAGATATGCATCAAGTCGTAGGTAATATACCATGCTTGTAGTTTTAGTGTACTGTTAGATATGACTAAAATCGGATGTAACATACCAGGCCCGTAGCCAGGGGGGAGTTTGAGAGGTTCGAGCAAACTCCCTGGCCAAAAATTCTTTCAAAATGCAATTTTTCACCATCCTGGGCACTTTTTAGTGCAGTGATTTTTGCCATTTTTTGACCAAAGTTATCAAAAGTGAACCTCCTGGAATTTTTTAAAAGGTGAACGGGCCTGTATACCATGCTTGTAGTTGTAGTGTAGTGTTAGATATGACTAAAGTCGTATGTAATATCCCATGCTTGTATTTGTAGTGTAGTGTGAGATATGACTAAAGTCGTATGTAATATCCCATGCTTGTAGTTGTGGTGTAGTGTGAGATATGACTAAAGTCGTATGTAATATCCCATGCTTGTATTTGTAGTGTAGTGTGAGATATGACTAAAGTCGTATGTAATATCCCATGCTTGTAGTTGTGGTGTAGTGTGAGATATGACTAAAGTTGTATGTAATATCCCATGCTTGTAGTTGTAGTGTAGTGTGAGATACGACTAAAGTTGTATGTAATATCCCATGCTTGTAGTTGTAGTGTAGTGTGAGATATGACTAAAGTCGTATGTAATATCCCATGCTTGTAGTTGTAGTGTAGTGTGAGATATGACTAAAGTTGTATGTAATATCCCATGCTTGTAGTTGTAGTGTAGTGTGAGATATGACTAAAGTCGTATGTAATATCCCATGCTTGTGTTTGAAGTGTAGTGTGAGATATGAAAAGTTGTACATAATATCCCATGCTTGTGTTTGAAGTGTAGTGTGAGATATGACTAAAGTCGTATGTAATATCCCATGCTTGTAGTTGTAGTGTAGTGTGAGATATGACTAAAGTCGTATGTAATATCCCATGCTTGTGTTTAAAGTGTAGTGTTAGATATGACTAAAGTTGTACATAATATCCCATGCTTGTGTTTGAAGTGTAGTGTGAGATACGACTAAAGTCGTATGTAATATCCCATGCTTGTGTTTGAAGTGTAGTGTTAGATATGACTAAAGTTGTACATAATATCCCATGCTTGTGTTTGAAGTGTAGTGTGAGATACGACTAATATCCCGTGCTTGTGTTTGAAGTGTAGTGTTAGATATGACTAAAGTTGTACATAATATCCCATGCTTGTGTTTGAAGTGTAGTGTGAGATATGAAAAGTTGTACATAATATCCCATGCTTGTAGTTGTAGTGTAGTGTGAGATACGACTAAAGTCGTATGTAATATCCCATGCTTGTGTTTGAAGTGTAGTATGAGATATGACTAAAGTCGTATGTAATATCCCATGCTTGTGTTTGAAGTGTAGTATGAGATATGACTAAAGTCGTATGTAATATCCCATGCTTGTGGTTAAAGTGTACAGTTAGATACAAATCTAAATAGGATTAGTCTGGAAATAAATGGTTCACTTTTGAAATAAACCCCTTAATAAGGTATGTGCAATTGTAAGAAATTACTTAATACATGTATGTTAATATGTGGAAAGTTTCACACTTCATTCCAAGAGAGAAATATTGATACTGGATTTAGCTATCTAATCTCACGGGGTACCATCGAATAATTTTGGCAACGTAGCGGAGAACGACATTTTACTAAGAAATGGCAATAATTTAGCACAATATATTTTTTAACTAGAGTTCTATTTTGATTTTGACAAAAGTAAGTATTCCATGCAATAACTATTTCATTCATGAGTTTGTAGGAATTCTGTTGGAACCCAGTTCTGATCAAGTACGAAGTTATTGAAAAGCGGCGCAGTCGGACTTTACTCGGAAAGATGGTTTTTCGATTATAACATTTTACAACATTTAAGTATAGACTTTTGAAAAAAGTACAGAATAGTCCTTATACTTTTGAATAATTCTGTTATTTCTGATTCACAGGACTCTGATTTGTTTAATTAAAAAAAAAGTTTTAAAAATATTACTTAGGAACGTAACCGGAGCTGGGAACGTAACCGGAGCAGATCAGTTGAATTATTTAATCAAAAAAATTAAAATATATGATTTAAAGCACATATACTAATTTAAAAACATACGGGATTGTTCGAATGCGTATTTATTGATATATATGCTTTAAATCATATGTTTTATTTTTTTAAATTATATAATTCAACTGATCTGCACCGGTTACGTTCCCAGCTCCGGTTACGTTCCTAAGTAATATTTTTAAAACTTTTTTTTTAATTAAACAAATCAGAGTCGTGTGAATCAGAAATAACAGAATTATTCAATAGTATAAGGACTATTCTGTACTTTTTTCAAAAGTCTATACTTTAATGTTGTAAAAAGTTATAATCGAAAAACCATCTTTCCGAGTAAAGTCCGACTGCGCCGATTTCAATAACTTCGTACTTGATCAGAACTGGGTTCCAACAGAATTCCTACAAACTCATGAATGAAATAGCCATTGCATGGAATACTTACTTTTGTCAAAATCAAAGTAGAACTCTAGTTAAAAAATATATTGTGCTAAATTATTGCCATTTCTTAGTAAAATGTCGTTCTCCGCTACGTTGCCAAAATTATTCGATGGTACCCCGTGAATCTATTGGTTTATTTCTTGTAGTTCCTTAAGATACAAGAGATGACAACTAATGTTCATTCTATAGACTTGTATAGTCAGCACTCTTGTATTGAGTTTATTGCACCCATTGCACCCCCCCCCCCTCCTCACTGGGTATACTCATATATTGTTCCTTCAATGCTGTTTATAAGTGATTTTAGACATTTATTGTTAACTGCCTGTCTTGACTAGATCTGGAAATTACACTCCATAGAAGGCCTACTTTAGGCTTAAGTCTGTCGACAATGTGTTGTTTATGGTACTTTAGGTCTAATCTGCTAAACCTGACAGTAGACTCGGAATTCATATGAAATGGTTTATCTACTGAAATATAACTGTGTGGTCCATATATAGTGCTGCAACCTGCCAGAAAAATGCCACTTAAGTAAAAAGTGTGAAAATGCCACTAAGATTGAGTGTCAATCGCAAAATTGGGGGAAAATTATGTAAAAATTAAAAACTCACCCTGAAGACTATTCGAAGAACAAATAAAAACTATTTTAGTGACTTTAATGATTTTAGTGAGAATATAGTATCGTGCATATGTCACATTGTTATGATATGCAGGCCCGTAGCCAGGATTTCCCAAGGGGGGGTTCAGTTTTCAAAAATTTCCAGGGGGGGGTTCACATTTGAAAATTTTGGCCCAAATATGCCTAAAATCACTAATTTCTTCGCCAGCTAAAATGTCACTCAACTTTTTTGTGATTATGAGTTTCAAATTGACTTCTGTGGTAACTTGAAACCATCTTCTAATTTATTCCACTTACCTTTTATTGTTTCTCCAAATATATTCTTTGAAAATCGGATTTTAAGGGTGTTATCAGGGTAATTCTGTGCCATTTTATCAAAAATCTTGTTGCTATCTAGAAACGAGCAATTGTGATCTTGTTGTTACCTAGGAACGAGCAACTGTGATGTCACGTCACACTCATGTTAATTCTGGAATCACATGGCAGCCATTTTGGAAATTTCAAAAAAGTTCCCAATTAAAAAGGCTAAATGCTGTTTACAAATTGGAAACTATGGCAGAATCAACAAAGGGTTTGTGAAATAATTAGGATATGGTTTCAAAATTATGCACATGACAATATATGACTACTAAATGCAGGCAGGGACTTTTAATTGCCAAAAAGTCGAGTGACATTTTAGCTGGCAAAGAACTTAGTGAAAAACTGCATGATTTTGCATGATTTCGCCCGAACCCTGCGAACCCCCCCTGGCTACGGGCCTGATATGTTATGTTTTGATATGTTTGTAAATATTTTAAACGGAACAATGAACTTAAACTAAAAAATATGTGTTATTTGTATTATAGAAAAGCTGACTGAGACACGTCAACTGAACAGTACTGGACAGTCTAACCCAGGCGACCCACTGTATGATACAATTCGTTCTGGGAAGTACTCACCTATTGATGGCCCTCGCCCTTCAGCCAGTGGGGTCAGCGAGGCAGACGTACCACCACCCCTACCCCCTCCTCTTCCTACGACTAGGGGTATTAGGTTAGTATTGAATCAAACTGATTATGGACTTATATATTTTGCTAACCTTTTTTATTGATTTAATAACAAATAATTTTATTTTGCAATATTTGTCTGAATTAATGTATGACAATGCTTGTCATAACTTCAGATCTCTCTCTTTAAACAGTTTTAGTACCATTTTAAAGATGCTGACCTTCATGTGACCATATAAGGAAAGATATTTAGTTTAAGGGAGGTACCTTTGGGTGAACGTTTTTTGATAAGAATTAGAAAAAGATAGAAACATAATTTAATTTTATGTCTTTAAAGAATCTGAATGAATCAGTATCAAATTGAATTGGACGTTATTGGGCCATCTCCAATTATCACCTAACTTACTATTGATAATTAGTTGAAAGTTAGGTGTAAAAATTCACATGCAAATGAGCTAATTATCAACTTAATTAACGCTTAATTTGCAACTTAATTAACGATTAACTACCATCAATATGCAAATGAGCTATTTACGTAAATTAGTTGAAAGTTAGTTGTAAGTTTGATGTAAGTTAATCTCTAATTATCACCTAACTTACTATTGATAATTAGTTGAAAGAAGTCAGATTTGTGACATCTCAAAAATGACTCGCTTCTTTTTTGCTTCTCTTCACTCGGAGATTTTGCTTCATCTTGAACTATTTTGTGACGAAATATTCATCTTAATTAGGATCTTTCAGAACAGACAACATTGAACTTGAACTATTGAAATTTCACAGCAAGAGGAGGGAAAACCCCATGATTCAATTGATGACATACGATTTCCTCCTTCGCACACCTCCTTTTGTCGAAAACGTACCCTCCATCTTGGTTTTCAAAGTTTTCAAATTGACCTAGTTTTAAACCAATCAATGATCGACTCGCTAAACCATTCAGCGACGATGTCATCTCAATACAGATTTACATTATAAGCGTATGTCATCTTTGAACCCTGGGGTTTATCCCCCTCTTTTTTAAAGCTATTCTATTTTCCAAATTTTTAAGATTCATGAAAAGCATGTGAAAACATCATTATTGCCATCAACAATGAAAATCAGAACACAAATAGACTATAATGTTACATAATAAGGACGTAACAGATACAATCAAAAATATGTTTTGAAATGTCCTTGATCTAACAAACATTATTTAGAAGAGCACATTTGGATTACTTGTGAAATATAGGTAACCCATATTAGTACCTAAATTGCATTCTAGGATTAATATTATATGATATCTGATTCAAAAAGATTTTCAAATTCAAAACATTTCAGACAGAAGTGTGAATAAGATTTAACATACATTGTATTCATGTTCTACATACCCTTATAATAATGTTGACCAAATTTCATGGTAGTATACGCACAATTCCCGTTGTAATTCTCAATTTTATGAGAGAAATATCTCTCACATGTTTTCTTTTTCCACCATCTTGAAATTAAACTTAGGGGGTTTGTATTTCTAAATCATGGGCCTAATTTACTACTAATTATCATTATAATCATCCTATATGTTAACTATCAACCAATAATCTACTTCAGAACAAAAACGTTTTAATTTACCACTTACTATCACCCTCAAACATTTCATATCTTAATTATCAACTAAAAATCATAAATCAGCATTATTGTAAGTTAATTTACGTTGAACTTGCTACTGATAATTAGGCCATAATTATCATTGATTTAATTAACGCTTAACTTTAATTCCAATTGCCAGCAGAATTGTTGATAATTAGTTGTAAATTAGTTGGTAATAAGTTGGTAATTAGTTTTATTTTTCAATTGGGGGGCTAATGAATAAAAGGCTATACATGCATAAAGAATCATAAAAATCAAATACAGATTAAATTAACTTGGTGGAAAAGGCATCAGCAATTTTTATCTTTGGTTATTTAAAAGAAAGCATTGTGGGCCTTGGCTAAAGGATGAACATTTCCTGGGCTTAAAAAGGTTTTGGCTGATTATTGAAAGATTAGATCGTACACCCCCAAGGTGCAATGATTTGTTCCAAAAGGCAGGCAGAGGTCAGGGTCTTTAATATCTAAATGATTTCCATTCATTTATTTATCTCAAGATCTTTCTACCATACATACTCATATAAATGTAACATAATTAAATTCGCTATTAAAAACCTATTCGATTCTAATTTATTCTGGTTTTCTCTTTAGTCTCTCCTAAGCCCATCAATACTTGCACATAACAGCTTGTTCTTTATTATTTTCTGCATTAATTAATTCTGCATAATATTGTAGTAGTGTAAATGAAGCAGAAGGGTAAGTTGTATGTAGTTCAATTATGAACTTAGTGTTTCGTGTTGATCAGTGTTGTTATAGAACCATTGTCGCTTTAGTAGTACATAATTGTGTAACTATATGCAAGGTGTTACATCATGTGTTTTTAAGTCAATATGTATTGCAAAAGGTAGGATGCAAATATGCAATCATATAATGTGTTATGCATTTTTAAGTCAATATGTATTGCAAAAGGTATAATGCAAATATGCAATCACATAATGTGCTATGCATTTTTAAGTCAATATGTATTGCAAAAGGTATAATGCAAATATGCAATCACATAATGTGTTATGCATTTTTAAGTCAATATGTATTGCAAAAGGTATAATGCAAATATGCAATCACATAATGTGCTATGCATTTTTAAGTCAATATGTATTGCAAAAGGTATTATGCAAATATGCAATCACATAATGTGCTATGCATTTTTAAGTCAATATATACTGCAAAAGGTATAATGCAAATATGCAGTCACATTATGTGTTATGTATTTTTAAGTCAATATATATTGCAAAAGGTACAATGCAAATATGCAATCACATAATGTGCTTAATATTGCATATGTTGATTCACATTTCATATTTACATTGAGCATATGCCTGTACATTTGAAACTTTATATTGATATACAGTACAGCACATTTGTGGTGTATGCTTGTTCGCTTCTATACGATTATTATGTCACCACCAGAAGTGCTGACATATTGTTATAGTCTCCAACTTTTTGTGGTTGGTGTTCAGCTCTAGCAAATGGGGTCTGTAACAAATTATGGCATCTGTAACAAATGGCAGGTGGTGACATTTTGCATGTTAATGCCTTGTACTTTTTTTGGCTCACCCTGTATTAGTCTACGATGATTTCACCAATTGTGATGTTGGTTGTGTTTCCTTGTGCAGGTGTCTTAAAACTATTTCATAGACGAGGGTGAAACATCCATTAGTATCTTTTCAAATGTTTGAAACAACAATGAATGATAGAGAAAATATTCTCCAAATATCTCTTTTTCCATTGGATTTGAAAAAAACTTTTGACATATAGCAATTCAAGTATTGAAATGAAATATGATTTGTAAGATAAGATGAACTAAGGAATGAATAGAACATTCTCTGATTTTTTGTAATAGGGCGTAAGTTGAATTCAACATGTGAAATCATAGTCTAGCTGCAATACCTTATGAACCAACCCCACGACCCCCCTCCCCCCCCCCCCCCAATACACACCTCACATTGGTTAAGTAGATAAGGGGGTCCACAGTCTTGAAACAAGATAAGTAAAATCACATCTTTTTTAAGCTAGTCGGGTGATTGAATTTCATTTGAAAAATGTAGGAGATTGCAATTTAATATTCAGACCAATTAAAACAATCAAAATTGTTTATGATATCATGCTCTCATCATATCAATATTGATTTTCTCTCAATAAATTGAGGTATACAGGTTGCCATGAACTCATAAACACTAGTAGAACAAGAGGAAGTTTGTTCATAAGGTTAAAGACACAATAACTTAATAACACCCACACTTACATTAAAGTCAGTCCGGACATTATACAACCATATAGCTTCAATTCAAATTACTTTAAAAGACATTGACATTAAGAATAGAACTCATTGTGACTTTAGAAATTAGTAGTGTACTAAATAATTATTAAGATCTTCTCACACCTTTTATCTAAAGGGAAACACCTAGATGATAATTCCAGGTCTTCTACCACAATGTTTAGTGGATGCGTATTATAATGTATTCCCAGTATATATGTCATACACTGCTTCAGCCATTTGAAATACCTGTATGGATCAAGGTCTCCAAGTGAATGTGCATGAATCATGTATCTATTATCCATATTAGATTAGGAGTTTATGTATACATGTATATAATAGTCAGAACACTGCTTTGAGGTAAAACATCACCTGCTTTAGATACATGTTTAACAATGTAGAATCAAAAACAAAAAAGAAAATTACTATGCATTAATAGATGTCACCATACTACAATAATCACAGTATATATTGTGAAAACTGAACTCATGCTCTATCAAGGACTCTCTTCCAAAGGGATGGCAACCCCAACACCCCATTCAACCATTTATTAAAGCCTCCAGATTTTGATTTTTGTCATTGATTTTTTTAAGTAGTATGATAAATGCTTGATAAATGATGGCTTGTATCAAACTTGCCCCATCATTATACTGAAAGGCCCAACCCTCTGTTATAATAATGGGGCAACACAGGAACTCGTTGAGACAATAAGCAATTTTGAAGTTGTTTGAATAATGATAGTGCATGGCATTCTGATGACATTGTGAGTTTTTATGTGTAGCGTATATTATTTGTAAATATCTAGAATTTTATTTCTGTGTTTTCAGAGAAAATGTTCTGTATGATGCTCATGTAAAACAGATGAAGGACCAGGTGGAACTACCAACCAAAGAGGAGAAGTCTAAGACGTGTAGCATCATGTGAAGTGAAGTATTGTATTGTGTGAAATTTATAAGAGACCTGACAGTGGGACTTCTGATGGACAAATCTATGTTTAGTCAAGAGCATTTTTTACTGTGCCAAATTCATAAAGGACTTGGCAGTGGAACTACTGACTTGAGGAACAAATCTAAGATACAAACATCATATACAGATATAAGATTGACACCCACAGTGCAGGTGTGAACGTTCACCTCCATTTGATAAGTGAATTATACACAATGGCCCCTCAATAATGATAAAGGGTGTAGTGTTTAATAATGTAATATTAGGGTGCAAAGTTTGTAATAATCATGTACATTAATGTATAATACACGATAAATATATTTTTGCACAAAAAGTGTAAGTGACTGAGACGGTACTTATTCGTTGAGGAGAAAATAATTTGAGATTATGATTGTATTAAGGCTGCATTTCTTTGGCTGGGTGTGTTACAAATAGAACATACTCTTGTCATTAAAATTCTAGGAAAACTCAACTTGTTATACCAATATTTTGTATTCTTGAGTTAGTAAGATCACTTTTGACATTGAATAGTTGAGATGACACATTATCTTGACAATGACAGGTTGTTAATGAAATAGGGACATTGGGTTTATATAAACAGTTGTGATCTAAACAACTTCTGTGTTTTTGTGGTGATTTAATGGTTAAAATACACTCAAATGTGAGAGATGTCCATGATCCATGCTAGACATTGATAGTTTAGTAACATTAGGGAAATAACAATAGCATTATCATTGTTTATTGGGTCACAACCAGCTAAGTGGAAGCACCCTCAATGTATGATAGAAATATGAGTGCAATATGTGGTCACAAAATGTACCAAAGTGAAATTTCTGAATGTGTGGTCATAAAAATTACACTTTAAAGTCCAAATTATTTATGACATTGATTAAATCAACTAATTTTAACAAACTTAATGAAATTACATAAAATATTACATACATCACATTTAATAGTGCTACGATTTTTATTTGCCTGATTCACTTTTACAACAGTCATATTTATAAATAATGTTAATTATGCTGTATCATAATCAATTAAGAATTGAAGTTTTTATATCTACTATCCTGATGACAAGGACTTGCCCTTTGTAGATGCTGATGTACACCTGTATCATTGCATTAATGAATTATAATAGAAGGATGTAATCCTTTAACATTCCTACATGTATAGTCAAGTCTATTGTCATATTATTTTGGTACTAAAACTTGGGTGATTTAGGAATTTCTAATTTACGAATACTTAAAAAAATAACTTCAGGCATGATTAGATATTAGATTGCCAGTTGGTTGTTAAGAAGGCAATTGTTTTCATTCACTTTTATGCTTATTGATTTAATCCGTCCAGCATGATTTTAATGTGCAAGAAATTCAATGTATACACATGTATGTATCTCAGTCTTATATAACTTTTATTTTTTAACTTGAATTATAAATAAATAGGCAAAATGAATAGCATGGTGTTTTGTTCAACCATTGTAGATGCCACAAGATCATTCAATAAAATTGTTCCGAAACATCAGGGGCAATGCAGGCGCATCCTCTGAACACAGTTCTCCAGAGATCATCCACTACGTTCTTTCCTTCTTACTTACAGAGGTACCAGTTCTGGAGACCTGTGTTCCGAGGATGTGCAGGAGTAAAATAAATAAGTGAAGCTTTAGATTTGTGAGGCAAATTTTAGTTGGAGAAGTAATACTGTTCACTACTCATAATCATAAATAAGATTTCTTTTCATAGTTTCGATTGATAATATGTTTGAAATCATATTTTTCTAAGCAGGGACAGTTCTTTAATAATCTTTCAAAGGCTCTGCCATTTTCAGGTGGCTCCAGTGTGTACAATGCTGTACAAAATGCATTTCCTCTAACAAAATATAATAAAAATATCTTCCCACTCCCTTGCAGATAAAGCACACACGTATTATTATCTTGAGCTGTATATATCCCAGAAACATAATGTGACATTAATGGGCCCAAAAATTCAATGAATAGTGTAAAGTTTGGGATACCAGTAAATTAACTTCACATACTCACAGTAATCAAGTGGATCACCAGTGATATTTGGTGCATTTACTAAGAGAACAAAACTAAATGTTTATATTTTTCACATTAAATAATCTATTTGCATTCAATTGTAAATAATACATATACAATATAACTTAGATATTGGCAAAAGTTCCAATATACAACATGAGTGATTTATGGTTTATAAATTCAATAGTATGAATAATAGAATGACATAGACTTTAAAGGTGGCTGGGGGTAGTTAAATCTTCTTAATTACAAATATATAACATTGTACAGTTCATACAGTCTGAACCAAAATTAAATAATACATAATGGGATTGATATTTTAGGTCAAGTAGTGCCCCCTGGTGATTGTAAACAAATAAGATTTTATTAATATGACACTGTAGTTGAATTTGAAAATCTTTAAGATTTATTGGCCTAAAGTGTGTAAGTATTTGTCAACAGATCTTGTACTTGTACTATGTTAGGAGTAGATCATTTTTGCACTAAACAATGTACTGTAGATCTAATACATATACTATTGTTATGAGTAGATCATTTTTGCACTTGAATGACTAAACAATGTAGATCTAAAACATGTACTATTGTTATGAGTAGATCATTTTTGCACTAAACAATGTACTGTAGATCTAATACATGTACTATTGTTATGAGTAGAACATTTTTGCACTAAACAATGTACTGTAGATCTAATACATGTACTGCATCTTTATAATAAAAGATCTTTTACATTTTTCATCTCTTAAGATGCTTATTGGATATACTGTAAAATAAATTGTAGGATCTCATTACAAGACAAGATTTACTTTAAATTCTGAACCGTACAAAAGATATGTGTCATTTAGGATTACAGACACATATATTACTGACACATGGTTTGTGTGACACACATATCTGCATCACAATGAGATCTGTTTTATCTTTATTCAATTTGAAATACATAAATTTGCTATAAATAGCAATGTTGAATATCTGCTTTGATCTTCCCCATAATTTTTCTCATCGGGGAGCTACACGTATATCACAATTTTACAAGTTAAAATACCCCAGAGTCGATTTAATTTTCACGATGCAGCACCTCACTCGCTCTTTGCTGGGAGATTCTGTAAAACCTTGTGATTCATTTTTTAAATATTGCACTGGTTTCTTAAAGCATGGCACTAAAGAGAGAGACATATTGGATTCGAAAGAACATGTACCATATGTTAAAATATGCATTTCATATAACAGCATCAATATAAACAACAGTAAATAAATGCAACTACAAGCTCATCTCTGACTAGAATGTTTAAAATACAAGCATTTGAGTAACCTGGTTTATTACGCACTAAAATTCTACCATACAAGGGATAAATATCTCGGACATATAAAAATGTCATTGATGCTTAAATCACATTCCGATTAGGCTTTCCCAAATACCAAATGATATCAATAATAATACCAGAAATGGTAACAGATTTATGATTTATTCAAGACCAACTTCCTGGACTATAGTTTTTTCACTACAATTGCACTGATTCTTTTTTGCCTCCTCCCTCCAGCCTCAATTAAACATGTCCTAACTATTTCATCAGTACACCAGTTCGTTACTTAATTCCCAATAGTTCATTATCTCTGTGAATACTTCTATTTTTATCCTCTTTGAGATATCGTCTCTCTGATACCCCTTATATAGGGGGCTTAAATTGCTTCATGGTGAAGCATTTTTGCAAAAAGCTTCATAACGAAGGATTTCTTGCCTATAATTTTAGCACCTCAAAAATCGTTCGTTACGAGCTTTTTTGTCAAAATGCAAAGCAAATAAACCTGATGTGTAACTCTAACCACTGATCATATATTCCTCATGGTACCCTTTATGCAATAGTTTCACATAATTAATGAGAACACACAGAGAAACTAAGGTATCAGAAATAATGTAAATAATGTATCATACCCTAGACTAGTTACCCACACTGGGCTAACTAAATGACTGTAACTTATAATTGCAGATATGAAATGTTTTCTAACAGATAATTAATCACCCATTAATGGCAGTAGAAGGGATAAAGGTGAGTTGAAAGCACAACATTTTACAAATATCTTTTTGCCCTCATCACTCAATGTCCTGCCTTATTCTCTAAAAAAAACAAGTTTTTTTTCAAAGATTAAAAGTAGGATTTTTGAAATTGTTGAACTGAACACTCTCTGTCCCTTCCACTACCTCTAATATTTCCTATATACAATGTTTGTTGGCATAATTTATAATGTTGAGTTGATATTCTCCTAATGCAGCGTCTCACTGTCATGCATATACCTGGAATGGAACACAGAAATATAATAACATTTCATTAAAGGCTGCGATTAAGTCTAAATTAGAAATACTGAAATTAAATCTAAATTAGAAATACAGATTGAGAATATGAAACATGGTCAATTTTTTTAGTTTCATGAACATGATAATAAGTAATGTTTCCGTATCTTATATAAGTGTAACTTAAATTGAAATGCTACAAAAGCCCATTTTTCTATGGAATTATTTCACCATTGGATAACCATGAAGTTAAACTTCTTTTTAGGAATCAAAGATGTGACTCAAGGCACACCTTTTTAAGTGAGAATTGCAACTGATAGATCATTATGTATTCTTCAGTAATACTTACTCTCAAAGTGTGGTCCCAACTTCCTGTACATAAAGCAGTGCCATCTGGGGACATCCCCAGACAACTAACTCTGTTCTCATGCCCATACAGCAGCTGTATGCGGGTGCCTTTTAGCACATCCCAAACATTGATGTTGTAGTCATTATAACCAGCAAATAAAAGACGTCCTTAAAGAAATAAACATATAAATCTGAAATATGTCACTGAATAATAAACACATGTTTTGTCCACAATCCGTTTGGTTTGACATACAAATGGAACCCTCGCTTTTAATTGTGGGGCCCTTTGGGCTATGTGAATTTGATGAAAAAACATTGGTAACTTAATTTGGAACTTCTAATGTAAGTGTGAGTTTCAGATTCTATTTAGTCATTTCAATTTGTTTAAGTTAACATTGACTGAAGATCTTGGCAAATAAGAGAAAGAGAAAATAATATGTACATAACTAGATTTTTATTGTTAGCCTGTATTTACATGATTTACGGAGTGAGTTAGAAACTGACAATATCAATCAGCCTGTAGATTCCCTTCAGGTATTATTGTATTCTAAACTTACCACTTAGGGAAAAATCAACAGAGTTGCAGCCAAAAATGATGCTCTCTTTTGTGTAACAGTTCACCTCTCGATCTGCCCGCAGATCAAACAGTCGACACTAAAACAAAATGGAGTCATATGTACGATAATATATCAAATACACTGATTTTGTGTCAAGTTGATGCATTTTACATTTGAAATAAATATCTACTTGAATTCTCATGACTTGCTCTATCTATGAACTTACTGGTTAGAAGATGACAAAGTAATATGAACCAACTCACAATTTTGAACAACATGAATCAAAATCATGTCTAGATGCAAATACATGTACTTGCCTTATATAGAAACACTAAAATAGCACTGTTTTGCACATTGAACACTTTTCCCACGAGAAACATCAAGAATATAAATATTTACAAAGTTCTTCCAAAATGAAAGAGTCGCATTTTTGTGTCAACCTTAACACATCTTTCAAATATTACACTGTACTACCATCTTATGTCTTTGCTCGCTTTACCAGTTGTACTGTTTACTGGTGGTCCTATGGACAATTATAAACACCCACTCACTGTTGCATCATCTGAGCCTGTTGCGAATGCATCCCCACTGGGGTAGAACCTTACAGAGTTGATATCAGAATCATGCCCCTCAAACACCTGAACACAAGTCCCTGTGCGCATATCCCACACCATGGCCATTTTGTCACAACCCTAAAAATAACAAACGATACAATATCACCATCTGGTTGTGAAGTATTGGTAGTATTGTGACTTTCCCTTTCTAGGTTGTTGAAGAAGTTCGATAAATCAATTCCCATGGCAGTAGAAAATGACTTAATTCTTAGACTATATACTTTCAGACTTTCACAATATCTCTATACCGGATTTTCTTGCATATACGCCCCCCTAAATTTAGGCCCATGGGCCAAAAATCGAATGTAGTACGCTTATACGCCCATGGGCCTATAAAAAATGACTATTTATTGATTTTTTTCAATAAATTCAAGAGTATTTTGTCACTGGCAGATCGTTCTGTCGTTACTTTGTTTCAACATTAAGTTCAACGCTGTGCCGTAAGTGGCAGTGGTGGATCGTTCTGTTGTTACTTTGTTTCAACATTAAGTCCAAGGTTGTATGTGACATTTCCTTTATAATTCTTACAAAACATGTGGTAGGACTACAACAGTAGGTACGGTTGTCCATTGTATTCATCAGCTCTTCTCACATTTACGCCCACTGGGCCAAAAATCGAAAGTAGTACACTTATAAGCCCATGGGCGAAAAATAAGAGGTGAAATAACAGATGAAATAACCCCTTCTTTCAGTTATACGCCCAGGGCTTATATGCGAGAAAATCCGGTAAGTGTTCACTGTATGAGTTTCAAGTCAGTCTTACCACTACTTTTCAAGTTATCACAATGTTACAAATGCTGCAAAAATGTTTCAATTTCCATAATACTGTATATTGCAATGGTTCACAGATATTGCTTAAATTCTGAACTTTCATGAAATGCAATTCTTAATTTTTTGTTTCCTTCTATTTCTAAATTTTCATTAATTTTTAAAGTTTTTTGCCAGAATTTAAATTGACTTACCCCGGATACAAATGTGTTTCCACTTTCTGAAGGAGATAAATCGAGACTCATTACATCACCCGCTTGTCCATGAAAACTTTGAATCATAGTGCTACTCTCGACATCCCATAATGCACAGGTGCTATCACCACTTCCTGTCAGAATCTAATATAAAAAATGGTTTAATTTATTATACGCTATTCATAATATATAAAATGGTACATGTTTCAGTTTATTTCATTATTACATTGTTTTTAATGGTTTACTGGGAGTACAGTTTTTTGTCAATAATAATTTTATAATCTACAAAACAATTTGTGTGAGCCTATTCAATTACCTGGTTATCGGAATTAGTGAAGCGACAACATGAAAGATAGCTTGTATGAGTTGCAATTGTGCGCTTTCTAGTAGCTGGATCTTCTTCCAAAGACAGAGGATAAATAGTACACTTGTTGTCAAGGCCCCTGAAATTAATTATAAGAATGAATGAATAAAAACAATAAAATCAAATAACATGTAACACATTTAATAAATACAGAATATTCGTGGAAAGAGAATTTGAATAAAAGCTGAACTGGGAAACGTCCTCTTTTGCTTCAAATATGACTTAGAAAGGATATCCTAGCCCATATGTCATGATTGAGGGAGAATGTTCTTACCCACAACCACAATGCATGATTGAGGGAGGATGTACTTTTTCACAAGCCATGATATATAAGGACAGGATGTTCTTACCCACATATCAGGGTTAATAGAGAATGTTCCTACCCACAAATCATGACTGAGGGAGGATATACTTTCCCACAAGCCGTGGTAAGGATCAAGAGGATGTGCTTATCCAAACAAACAATGACAGGGGGAGATGTGCCAACACACAAAGCATGACCAAGAGAGGATGTACTTACCCACAAGCAACAACTGAGCCAGAAGGACCATATGCACAAGCCATAATCCAAGTGGTAGGCATTGTTATTGCATGCTCCTGGAAATAAAACATCAAGCACAACATGTGAATTGGTAAAAAGCCTTTATAAATTGTATGATTTAGCGAACAATAAATGAGCCATGGATCTTTTTTGGACTGAAATTGAGGCAAGTGAAGAGGGATGTTTAAAGGGACTTGGAGAGATACAAACAAGTTGTAAGTTAGTTTCAAAAAGTCACAGTGCTCTCATCATTCAATCAAACAGACTTTATTTCAGGATAAATGTTTGATTTTTGAAGTTATTTTTTTTATTAAATCCTCAATAACTTTTATATTTCATTGGATACCTCAATAATTTTTTAGAAAATAAAATTAGGATTGTAAGAAAACCATTGGCATGATTTATAAAAAAACGCTTTTAATGTTCAACTTTTTGAAGAGAAGATATAAATAGACGAAGCACTACTATCATCTCACCAGTCCTATGCCTATTCTTCTTCAGAGTAGAAATTGAATACTCACTTTATTTGTTGTGAATGCATCCCAAACAAGCATTTTGCCATCCTAAAATATAAAACAATTATACTTTTAATTCTCATTATCATTATCACACAGTATATTGTTTACAATAACTGAACCACCAAGACTTTTATTTTATAAGAACAAAACAAAATCTGTAGAGAATTATGTAAATCAAGTCATACTTATCGCAAAACACTGCATTAGCAAGTTTAAATATGGAGAACATCGAAATATAGCATTTCTTTTTCAAAACAAACTAGAAATGAGAAAATTATGGTGAACATTTTGGTATTTTGTTGTTTTTTCTTCTAATACTCCTGCTGACTTTAAACTTTGTACATGTACTGTAAAATGTTGAAAAGGAAGTAAATAAAAAAGAAAAAAGGACCACTAAGAGTTTGACAAATTGTAAACCTGTAACAAGGCAATAATAACATGCAAAATGTCACCACCATGCCAACCATTAAACACAAACTGCCAAACACAGTGCGCAAAATATGTTGAGTCCAAACCAATATGTCACCACTTGCAGTGATGGCATAATATTGACTATATGATAACTGCAAATTGAGGTCAACAGTGAAATTGAGGTATACATAGATATGATTTACTCAGTGCACTATTTGTATTCATGTAGGTTGACAATAAGTTTAACGAAAGAATTCTTTGAAATAAGATTGCTCTTATTCAGAGACTGGAGAAATCATACACTTCTGATTGACGAGTCAGAATGAATTGTCATTTAGAATGAATTGCTCAAAAATGCATGTTGCACTCACATAAATAAACAAATGAAAATGTACAATATGCATTATGCAGTATACATACTCATACCTGAGATGAGCTAACAATATGACGCTTATCTGTAGACCATCCCATGCATAGCACCTTGCCTTGATGACCTTTCAAAACTCTGCGAACCTTGATGTTTAAGGGAGGCACATTTTCAAGTCTTTGTGCTACAACAGCCACTGAAAATATCAAATTGTTTCAATCAGACCAGAATTCTGATCTCACTGTCTTTTATAAGGCCACACTCTGGGAAGAATTATGTTATCCTCCACAGACTATCTTCTGCACTGTTCGACAAATAAGTAAAAGTAAAACTTATTCTTTAGTAAGACTATCATTAGAAAATTAAATAAAGACAGTAACATGCAGCTGCCAATAATTATTTTGACTTCAATTTGAAAAGACATTGATGAGTGAATTTATTTTTGCAAAAACTTTTGACATCTTATCTTTTTGAAACAAAAATAAACATATTTGTAGGTTAAGTTGAATTCTTAATATATAACTCACAATCAACGTCATTTAGCTTTGCCTTTTCTTCTTCTAGCTTTGTCTTTAGTAGCTCTGCTTCGCGACTGAGAGCTTCTATTGAGTCTTGTTGATTTTCTGCAACTCTCAGAGCTTCCGTCGCCATATTGGTTTTTTCTAAACATAATAAAGTGGGACGAAGTATTCACAATTACCACTGATATTTTTTTATTGAATGTGCAGTAGTTTATAACAAATGAATTATTTTGAAAAGGGAACTGCATCAGTATCAAATACTATGGTTTTCTTACACGAATTATTGAATAATTTGATGAGTAAATGACACCTCATTTACACTTTACAACCTCAGTTTAAAGTGACGTCACGAGCACCTTGGTTCCAGTAAATATTAGCTTTCCAAGCTTTTCTGAAATCATTCATCTGCAATAACCACTTCTTTTTCTAAGACATATTCACATCTTACTTTTTATTCAGTATTTATGTCGATTGTAATTAATTTGGTCTCTATGATTGAATTCATTCTAATATTTTAGTTCCAAAAGTGACCGCAAGTGGCGCTGTTGTAAATGACGTCAGATTCGAAGCCATTGCTAAAAAAAGTTTAGGAGCAGAGAATATCCACCATAAAACGTGTAAAGCTTGACGCAGAGAGTATCAAAGACCGTAAGAACAACACCTCTCCAAAGCCGTGATTACCATTCTTTAAATATGAGGATCTCGTTCGCCATACTGGGCGCTGTTTTAGTAACTCAGGCATTTGCAATTGGCAACTCCTCAGGTAATTTTCTCATTTATGATTTTTTTCTTGCAGCTTTTGCTTTTTTATTTTTCATTTTCAGGTTAGAATGTTGATCATTAATTATTATTTAGGCTTATCCATGTTTTCGGAATAGCATATATATGTGTACTTCACTGTACAAATTCTGTTTGTACCCCAATGTCATTGCATGTATTATAACACATTGTCATAATCTTTGTTGCGTCTTGCGGGTGTAACTTCGACATGAGGGATAATGTAGGCTTGAGAAATGGGGTAACTTTGGCACTTACTTATTTGAAACTAGAAACAGTTTTCTGCCAAAAACTATGCTGATACAAATTAATTGATAAGTCGTATAATTGGCATATTTTCTTGAAATTTAACATTTACAGTTGGGGACAAAAATAAATGACAGGTCGATTTTCGATCACCATTTCCTAATTATGGTGGTCTGAAAGCCCATAATTTCCAATATTGTCTAGATACATATCCCTTAAAATTTGTATATTTTACATTTTGTAAAATCGCATCCACTGATTTATGGCCTCTTGTAAATTCTCTTATTTTTAACATGGGAAATCCTCACTTCAGCAAATCCACCAGTCATTTATTTATGTCCCCAACTGTATGTCCCAATTTCCCACAAATTGCAGAAAAGTATACACCATAAATCATATTTACCAAAATGAGTGTCTCCAAGGCTTCATACCAGTGTATGCATAATGCATTTGTCACAAGTTTGAGCTGAAATTTCGCTAAAATGAAGTAGGCTAAGGGTAGTCTCTGCCAGGTTTGTTTATTGTGGTTAGCTTATAAGTGCTCAGAAGCAAATAATTCATGTGCGCAAAATAATCAAATAATCTGATTGGTTTAAACTTTGCTGCACATGCGCACAATGTGTGCCATGGTTTTTTAAGTGATTTCGTTTCATTTCATGAAGTTTGCGTTTCACTGTAACTTCCACAAAAATGGCGGACCAATGACAGAATTTACAGGTAAAATCACTTCGAAATTTTAAGAGAACTTTTTACCTATAAGCGCAAAACTTTTGTTTTATTTGTGCATTCTATCTATCAGATAAGAGTCTCAGAGGTATGTAGGCAAATTCATTTTGGTAGGAGCACTCTGTTTAGTTTGAAAACGCACCCTTTATTATTTTATATCAGCACTGTAGTCGGATTTCAGAGAAGATAAAAATCTTGTGAGGTCTCAATCCATGTCAGAAAAAAACATAGCTTCCCCCTAGATTTGAAATTAAAACAAATAAACAACAAGGTTACCCCATATGTCCAGGTTACCACAAATTGAAACAAAATGGTGTCAACGTCATACCCCTTCCTAGATCTAACTCTTAAAAAATAATGTACCTGGAGTCTGAGCAATAAATAAATGAGCTATGGATTTGCCAAAGTGAGGATTTCCCATGTTAAAAATAAGAGAATTTTCAAGAAGCCATACATCAGTGAATGCGAGTATACAAAATGTAAAATATACAAATTTTAGGGGATATGTATCTTGACAATATTGGAAACTGTGGGCTTTCAAACCACTTGGTTTTGAAGTGGTGATGGAAAATCGACTACTCATTTATATATTGCTCAGACAATAAGCTAATATAAATGTATGTGCTTCAAGTGTGACCTTTGTTTCAATATCACTAGAAATCATTTTCTCTTTATTCAGATTATTGTTTTTGAAATGATTAAAACCAAGCGTCATCTTTTTTTGGTACATCTCTGATCTAAACTAAACTAAATAGACATTTTAGTTATGGATCTCTGAATATAAATCTGAAAACCCACATTCCCTATCCTGTAATGAGGAAGGTCAACATGTCATTATAAATGTCAGTCATTAGGCCACTAATACAAGATGTTTGGTTGTTTCACTAAAGTGTATGTTGTTTATTGTGTAGGAACTGTACTTATTATATCTCGTACATGTAACTATTATATTATGTACATGTACCATAATCAATTGTTCTCTGATGGTTATTAATATCTTTATTAATATATATTGTTGTTGCTCATTTTGATCGCCTGCTCATTTGATTGTATTAGATTAATGAAAACACATCAATATGTGATGAAATAAAGCTAGCCTAAAATATTGTGCAATAAATCCTACAGTATATGTGTTTAACTCCAATATATGTGACAAGCCTTTGCTTTTAGTATTCATCTAGGCCCCCACATGTCCCAATAACATATGTCATTTAAGGTGACTCACTGTCATGTTTGTTGTTTTTAACATTATGAACAAAGAAACTTGATCCTGTTCCATTTTCTTACATATTGGGTTTCCCTTATAGAGTTCACAGATGATAGCTATTTTAATGCATTGATTGCTGTCAACTCTACATGGGCAAAGTCTGAATATTTTGATTACAATAGTTGTCTCAAGTAATCGCAGTGAGATCAGCTGTTCATTTGGCTCTGCTCCAATATGAAGAAAATGTATAACATTAACATTTGTAGGTTGAGAAGAATATGATCTGAATATCTTCATGTAGTGTTTTAGTTAAAACCCTGATCTAAATGTAAACTTTCCCCTGATATGACTATAAATCGGTTATTTTATCATATGACATTCAGCAGATTATAGGGCCAACATGAATAAGTTTGCTTTTTTCTGTGTTATGTCAGGGTAACAACAATTTCTGTTTGACACCCAATATCAAAAGCTCCAAATGTTTACCTGAAGTATAATGACTTAGATGAAATCTATCCGTCTTGCATACATGCAAGTATGATAAATGTGTATTACTGGTTCAATGTTCTAAGATTGTCCAGTGTATTATTGATAGCACTGAAACTGCTCTCTGAAATTAGGTTGAACTATTTGACTACTGATGATCAGGAAAAATCAATATATTGGCATAATATCTACATACGAAAGACCATATAATAGATTTATTTTGTCTCTTGAGTCCAAAGTTGCTCTTTCTCTTTAAGCTACCAATTCAAAGATTAGTTTTGATTAATGTGAGATGAGGGTAGTCTTGAATCAAGTCCTTGCTTTATATTCATCCCTATAGGCGAGAAGAGGAGAGTGCACAGGGGAAGTGGGAGATAGTAGGGGAAGAAGCAGTGAGTTGAACTTCAAAAATAGCCCATATTAAGCTGATATATTGGAGGACTCACTTTTTTCGGTTGGGACTCATTTTTTAAAGAAATGTTCCCCTCATTGGGACTCACAATTTTCAGAGCCTAATGCAAGCACTGAGTAGGGCATAGGAATTGAGGGAAAGGGATGTCGGTAGGGGAAACGAACATAAGCTTGATGTAAGACTACCGGGGTGCTTGTAGAGTATATAGTGCATATATATATTTTAAATCAGAATATGATTATGTCATATCTTATGTCAGTATATTAATTATTCGTTGTCACATTTTATTTCATTTGCTCAATTTCGCTTTTATTTTATTTTTTTGTTCTAGCGCATGTATATGTAAACATAAAATATATTTTCTATTCCAGATGTTGTCAAGTTAGCTGAAACATTGATGAAACTCTGATTTACTGCTTTAAATATGCATGTACACATACATGTGGAAAATTCATAGACAAAATATTTTCCTTCTGAATGTATCGATCATAGACATAAAGTAACTTATTCATCTACAGAGTTTAACACCACATTCCAGATGTAACACCTTTTGCTATTTCTGCATCTTCCAATTGGATTATATCTGCATGCAGTATTCTTGGTTGCAATTGCAAAGCTCTGATTATCTTGCATTTTGCCCTGATTTTATTGCTTGGATTAATAACTAAAATTGGTGGTATAAGAGTAAACTGTATCAAGACCAGGTCCAAACTTTGGGGAGATATCAGATCCATAGTTATCTGATACTTAGTATTCATTAAGTATAATGTTGATTTTGGTATGCCTTATCTCTCAATTGAAAGAGAGTGAACTGGTGATCTACACTCAGTCACCGCAGTCCCATTTGATCGACAGCAACTGTACGGCGGCCATAGCTTCCTAAATCGAGAGAAATATGCAAGTTATAGGGATATGCAGTACAATGTAGATTTCCTATATCAATTTTGTGAAGCTAAGGCCACTGTACACCCGTCCTAGAGCAAATGTGATTGAGATTTGAGTACTACTGGGCATAATAGAGTAATTACATACATTTTGTGCAGGTGAGAATGAGCACATTTATATAAGACAGAATTATTCAATTAGAAATAAACATCTCATGCATCTGCTTCCTATAAACAACAGAAAATCTCCAGTAATTAACTGAATTAACCGAATTTGATTGGTACCGTGGTAAAACACTGGGAATGAACCACCACATAGTAATGGGACAGAAAAATCAGTAATTTGTTCCAAGGGGTGTTATAACCACTTGGAATTCAAAGATGATGTTGGAGTCATTCAAAGAGTCTAAATTGCAACTGTGATATCTGTATTGATTGAATAGATGTCAGTATAATTGTCTTGAATTGATTGCGTTGGTCCCAGCTGTCCTTGTATTTCCCTGTACAGATTATATCACAGTTCATAAAGCTTTTTTTTCTCTTTTCTGCCACTATCATTTTGACCAACCAAAGTATCTTTCTTGATCAAAAGAATAAACATCGGGGCTATCTTAGTTCATTTTTTTTTTGCTTCAAAAGGCTTTTATCAAAAAATTTCCATTTTCTTAGAAATTCTAGATATCCTTGATTCACCCCCCCCCCCCTCCCTATGTTTCCCACTTCTACACTGCTTCAACCTACTCTGAAATAATTCATTTTTTCCTCAGTAGGATTTAACCCTGGGTTCTGGCCTTATTACATATCAATAAATGGATTGAAAAAGTTAGTTCAATGCTGAAGTAGATTGTGTAAATTGCTATGATTGCATTTGGGATTGATTCAATATTTGTGACTTATCTAAAATATAAGTAGCTTGATCACGCCATGCATACTTTAAATCATAATGTTCATTGAAAGTTTATTGTTCACATTGATTGTTACCTTGCCTTGTGCCATGTCCATATAAGTAAATTGCACAATCGAAT